CCAAGGGTTCACGGTGGGCTGCTGTCGACGCCGGAAGAGGGCTTTTGGTACAACAAAAATTCCAAAATAAAAAGAAAATAAAAAAAAGGGAGCAACAACGAGGAGAGAGAGAGAAAAAAGGACAAAGAAGAGCAACCCACTTCGTTGTTGCTTTAGTCTTTCATTCGCCTATTGTCCTACGCGGCCGCGGACACCATTTGTCCTCGACAAACGCCCTTTCCCTTTATCCTTACTCACTAAGCTTGTTTCCCTGCCGTTCTGACATTACTAGTTCCTGCAGTCCGACGACGCTATCCCTATATCATTTGGGTCGAGAAGACTTTGTCTTGACCCTTACTACTCTCCACCGTATCGGGGCATCTCCCAGTGCCGCCTCGATTTGGACCCAGCAACTAACCCCCCCCCTCCCCTCTCCTCCAGCGGGATCAACTGTTGGGTGTCCGGGACATTCAGCTGGAATTTTGCAGTATCCCAGGAATGGGGAGAGTGCCCCAAAAAGCTAGAGTATCAAACTCGTTTGCGCAATGACAGTGGCGTGCTAGATTGAATACGCCCCAACTGCTGCCTTCCCCGTTGTGTTTCCATCCTCCGGGAGTGTATGGAAGCGTTCAAGTGAGCCCGTGTGGCGCGAAGTCGTTCTTTTTTGTTGCAGAAAGCTGGTCACAGATCATCCAATTCTGGTAGCCATTCTCTATTCTCTCGGCGTCCGCCACCTCCGCATTCGGTATATTCGATTCAGTTCCCTTGATAGAGGGTATTTGTCACCACTACGAGGCTCGAAGAGAGCCCGATTCTATCTGCCCTTTCAATCCAAAGAGGGCTTAAATACGGCTTTTATCTATCAGTTTTCATTCGATTTTATGACACCTATCTTGCTACGACACCTTTGAAGTTTTATTAACGCCAAAAGCATCGCAAAGTCAATAGGAGGTGTGTGGATGCATTTCGACCCGTCCGTTCACTTGATTTACCGTTACCATACCCCCTTTGGTAAACAATGTTAATCGTTTGTCCTGTTCTCCTCACCAGATTTTCCCCCCAGTGCTTGATACCTTAAGACCTCGGATCTCGTTTGGCTTTCAAGCAGACACTTGGATACCAACTTGAAAGCTGTTGCTGTTGGGTATAGGATCTTAGGCACCTGTGCAGAACCGACTCGTGTTTACGCCCGATGTCAACCATGTCGAATTACTATGTGGGACAGTTCGGACGTATGTTACCTGCCATCGATGGCCAGTCGAGTCGTCGGGAGTCCAACCCGCCAGCTAACCCGCCAGTCCCCGGATCTCACCCATACCAACTTCCACCACCGCGTGCTTCGGCACCTTTGCAGTTAGGAACTGATCCCTTCTTGCACCAGAGAAATCAGGGAGAGGGTGCCGATTCTGGAGGGGCACTTTCGAGGCCTTCTCCAGGCCACCAGCAGACCCCAAACAAGCAGCTTCCATCCGTTAGCCAGTTGTTGACCCCCACCGTGCACGAAAGCCGACCACCATCACCCTATCATCCCCATGCATTTAACTATGCGCCTCATAATGGAGCGACAGATCCCACACATCGATATCGTTCTAAGGAGACAGGCCCTGTCTTCGCGACGCCCCGGGGTGACACCCACGAGAGCGCCAAATTCCATCCAGCTCCCAGTCCACAGCTGCAGTCGGGGCCCTTGCCCCGTCTCGCTCATATGTCACCCCATGCTTTAGGGCATGAACCTCACCTTAGCTCTGCAAGCCAGGGCAGCCCTTCTATTCCACCCTTCGCACCCCCCTCTTATTCCCCCCAGGGCTTCAGATCTCATGAACGGGACCCAGGAGATGTGGCTGGCTCAGAAACCTCGGATTCTGGCAGTGCGACAGCAAACAAATCCCAGTCCAATGTCAGACCTCATGTTATCGATGAAAAGTATATCGATGGAGAGGGTTTGTGCTATATATACGCCGACGGCTCTCATTGCCCGAAGATCATCGACGGTGTGCCGGTGAACGCCAATTGGGGCATCACAAAGGCTGGGAAGCCGAGAAAGCGGCTGGCACAGGCGTGCCTAACCTGCAGGGAAAAGAAAATCAAATGCCAACCAAACCTTCCTAAATGCGACCAGTGCCAGAAATCCGGACGAGAGTGCAGGTTTGAGAGCGCGTAAGTACCGAAGATTTAGTCAAATGTAATGTAAAAATGTGTCTAATATTTGCGTTTACTAGGCCCCGCGGTCACCGTGCAGCACTGAAGGCTTCGCAGCTACTAAACCGATACGAAATAAGAGATGGTTTCACTGCGGGCCACAACTATCCGGGATCTTCTAGTTCATTTTACTCGATGGTTCGGGCATCGGAGAGTTCAACCTCCCTTCCAGGAACCAGCTCACAGTCGCCGGTATCCGAAGGCGCCGTGCTTACTCCTTCCGCCATGGATGGTGTTCAGGACAATACGCTGGAAGCTGAACATCAACGCAGACTACGAGTACAGAGCTTGAGTCGGGTCTCCGTGGGGGCTGAGGAATTTAGCAAACGTCCTGTGGCCCATGTGTCGCCAGATTACAACGAGATCTTGATGGAAATGAAAGATTTAGATCCTCAAGATCCCATCGCTTGCGACTGGAGCATCGATCCGTATGAAGCCGATCCCGAACTGACAATTCATTATGTTGAAACCTATTTTAACTACATCAATGATCGCTTGTATTACATGCTTCCCCGGAAACGTTTCCTGCTGTGGTTGAGGTCATGTCATACGAAATCATTGGACGATAATATGCTTCTTTACTCGATGATGGCGTTGGGTGCGGTATTCTCAGATCGTCCAGATCGAGTGATGGCACTTAAAAGGTATTCGCGCACTGCCCGATATGCAGTAGAGCGCAGCCAACATAGCCTCACGTTACAACTTGCGCAAAGCCGTATTATCATGAGTCTCTGGTTTTACGCTATCGGTGCACTCGTGAAGTCGTGGGACGCCGCAGGTGCAGCCGTCCGAGCCGTGTGCGGATTACGATATAATGTCGAGTCAGGTGGCGTTATCGTAGACCAAAACCAACAAACTTGTGAATACGGTCTACACCCGCAAGCGTTAATTGAATGCCGCCGGAGGACGTTTTGGATTGCGTTTATGATGGATGTAGGTTCCCCAGAACGCCCTGATATTACTCGGTTTCATCTCCGAACTTGCGCTGACCACTTGCCTACTAGCGCCTGTCCTCCTTCTACACACCCTCCTCGACCTTTATTTCCTCCCAATCAGCCTACCTTAGACTCCCTTGCCGAGAAGAAGTCTACGAAGCCCAACAATATACCACCGTACCTTATTTCCAAAACTTCTTGAACCAGACACCGGTATCGCCAGAGGATGAGCTCTCTGGCATAAGTGCCATGGCGCTTTTGATAGATGTTATGGCCATCTGGGGAGATGTGTCAGATCATGTATTCCGATTATCATTGATACCCGCGGATGCATATCGCAAGCTCTTCGAAGAATTCCATTCCTCCATCGTCCGGCGGTCAGATGAGTTGATCTCGAGACTCCCTGATCATCTTACCTTCACGGCAGTAAATATGGAGCGAAGCATTCGGACAAAGAAGGCAGACGCATTTGTGGAGATTCACTTGCTCTACCATGCCACGTTGATGAAGCTCAATCGACATGCTCGTCATCGCAGCCTGCCCGAAACAACAGTCGATTGGCACGTACATACAACTCGAAATCACGCGGCCGAGATTCTTCGGATATCTCTTACTCTCATGCGCTACGCAGCCGAGTATGAACCGTCACGACTTGTCATGGAGCCGACCACGGCCAAGGGCACAATCCTTAGTCCTTACCTGGGCTACGCGATAGTCTCTGCGGTCGACGTCCTCAGTGCGGGTGGGTTGATTGTTGATATCCCTGAGACCATCACTCTCATTCGGGGTGGCCTTGAAGCATTGAAGGAGCTGAGCCGTTTCTGGGCTGGATCTGTGCCCTTAGTGTCATTGGTCGAAACACGACTAGACGCTATGCTGGAGCATCGCCATCACCCGATGATGTCGGAAGGCAAGGTTGCTTTCATGGTGACCGGACCGTCTCTGGATAGTCAGATCCGCAACGGTACCCAGAAGCAAGAACCACCATCCAACGAAGATCTCATGTACGGTGGCCTGCCCCGCGAACGGTTCTTTGCCGCCGTGGGCGCCGGGAATGTTCCATTTTTGGAAGAAAATATTCTCTGGATCCGAGACACCAGTTGAATAAGAAGCATTGCATTTGCAGCGTTACGTTCTCATTTAGTGTTGGTGGTCTGCTACCATTTCTACCCATTATCCTTTCCCTCACTTGTTCTCTGAATCCTTGCATGGCGCGGTTTATCAAAATGGGCTATAATAATTTATTACCGTATACCCTGGAGGCTGGTCTTTTTCTTCTGTCTACCCTTGAGCCCTTGCGCTGTTTTGAATTTCCTGCTCGATTTAATTGAAGGGTTGAGGATGCCTTGCTAAATTAGATGGGGATCCGTTGTGTGGTCCCCTACTATGACATGACTGATACGCTGGATGCATTGACATGGACGTGTATATTAGCGAGACATGGTTGATCTAAGCATGCTTTGAATTGAAATTTTTCGCAACATTGATCCATGGATCTAATTCTATCATGTTATGAAATATCTATATCAGTGTCCCATCTATATGAAGACAAAGAGTAAGTAGGCTGCAGGACCCAAAACAAAACGGAAGAACACAAACATCGTACCTTAAATTTCCCACCATACCGAATCCGTCAAGGTACACGGGACCAACGGGGCTCCACAGCCGAACCCCCGACACTTTTTTCCCGCGACGTCATCCCAAATAACAGCTAAACCTATCCCCGCAAAAAAAGAAAGAAAAAAATAGCCAAAAAATCCCCGGCGCATCACCGACTTACCAAGAGCAATTCGTAAAATCAAGCATCGCAAGAAGATGCCTCGTCGCCACTTCCACAACCAATTCTCAAACTGATCGCCCCCCAGAGAGCCAACCACAAAGGACACGATGGAAGCGTCCTATGCATCTGAGTCCTCGGACTGGGTCCATGCTGAAGCAACAACATCTCAAGAATGGAACACCGACCCCGAATACCCAGATAACACCACGGATCGCAATCAAGCAGATCCCACCACCGACCCGGAACCAGACTACTCAGCTCTATTATCCTACCCCGAAGAAACAGATTACTATGCCCTCCTGGGATTATCCCGGACACCGCCGCCCAGCGACGCAGAGATCCGCTCCGCGTACAGGAATCTGACGCTGAGTTTCCACCCGGACAAACAGCCCGGTGAGTGGCAGGAGATCGCGAGACGGCATTTCGAGCGCATCCGCGAGGCGTACGACACGCTGATTGATCACCGGAAGAGGACTGTGTATGATCTCCTGGGCGCCGAGGGCGTCCGGGCGGAATGGGGTCCCGGCGGGAGTATGGGGAGGGGCGGGGAGGCGGAGCGGGAACGCAGGCTGGGTGTCAGGGCTAGGTCGCCTGAGGAGTTCCGGAAGTGGTTTTTGGAGGCGATGAAGCGCAGGGAGAGGAAGGCGATTAATTCCATGGTGCAGAGTCGGGTATGTTATCTTTCTTCTCCTGTCGGTGGTTGTTGTTTAGGGTAGGGGTATCATTTGGGTGTGGTTGCTGACCTGGTGGGTTCTCTTTCTTTTTTGTCGTCCCGTAGGGTTCCATTGTCTTGGGTATCGATGCTTCCGATATGATTTCTGTGGATGAGGATGAGGGTGAGGTGTATTTCAGTGTGCCTTCGGCTAGGCCGTCGAAGTTTAATGTGGGGTATTTCTTCAAGGCGCCTTTGCCGACGCCGAGGAAGCTGTTGGGGAAGTTGGAGAGGGATGAGCCTGTGGAGGAGGGTGCTGAGCAACAGGAGCTGGAGGATGAGGGCGGTGATGAGCTGGAAATGGTCATTAATGCTGGGATTTCGGGTGAGATGCGGCACTTGGCTCAGAAACTTTCACTCGAGCATGAGGATGGAACTACGGAAATACGCAAGGTAAGAGAGAGGTGTTGTTGTTGTTGTTGTTGTTGTTGTTGTGGATAGATTGGATCGTGGCTAATGGTGTTGTGCAGGTTCCGTTGCCGCCAATTATAGCCTCGCAGGAGATCACGCTTGGGGCCACTGTCAATCATGTGTTTGGTGACGTTGCAAGCCAGAAGGGGATCCTGAGCAAGCGGCCTTTCTCGTTCCTCAGATACTCTGCTGTCTCTGTTGGTGCCATGGTCTTGCCTGTTCCGTCAGTGCAGGCGAACATGGTGAAGGCTTTTACGCCTGTTGCCGGGACGAAGCCTTTTAATGTTAACTTCAGCAGCTCGTTCTATAAGTCACCTGTGAAATGCCCGCCAGCAATGGCCGTTCAGGTCATGAAAGAGGTGGGTGATAGAAAGCACGCCTTCTGTAGATGGCAAAGCGGTACTATCAGCTGGCCAGGCGCCGTAGAGCGCTTGCTTAGCCCCTTTCTTGACATTGGTCTAGACGTCGACTCTGCGTTCACCATTCCAAAACAGATTAGCCAGTTCCAGGTTGGTTTCGTATCTCTCCCAAAATCTCACAGGCAGGCTGCTTTTATGGATGACTATGATGAACAATCGGAGAGCGAGGAAGAGGAGAGTGAGTACCAGCAGCTTCGGTCCAAGCAGCGCGCAGAAGACAAGGTGGGCGAATCTTGGCAAATAGGCTTTTCTGTTTCTCCTGAAGCAAGTGGCCTACAGCTGAGCTATGCACGTAATCTCTTTTCCGGAACGGCCGCCAATGACCCCTTGCGCTCTGAATGGAGCTCTGAGGGCCATTATGCTTTGCCACCGGCAAATGAACCTCGGTCTGTGCGGGTTGAAGTGGGCAGTACTGTCAACATGGATTTGTCGCTTTCGTGGAAAATTGAAGGGTCGCGGCAGGTTGGAGAATTGACTCGCATGGGACTTGGTATTGGAGTTGAAGGCCCCCATGGTCTCGTCATGACGGTCTCGTGGAGTAGACTTGGCCAAAGAATCAAACTTCCTATCGCTGTCTGTCCCATTGACATGGTCAATGCAGACGCTGCCGCGCTTGCTGTCATATTCCCATGGCTGGCATACTGTGCATGGGAATTTGGGTTCATCCGGCCAAGAGAAAGGAAGAACCGTCGACGTGTGATAGCTCGACGACAGAAGGAGCTGAAGAAATTGGTGCCAATAAAGAGAGCAGAAAGCCTGCAAGCGACTGAAATCATGACTGAGCAGGTACGGCGGAGACAAGCGAAGGAGGAGAGACAGGACGGACTAGTCATTACCAAGGCTGAGTATGGCCATTATCCTTCAAAGAAGAAGGGCAATGACACCGGTAAGGAATATGAGGTGGTAGATGTTACCACCGCCGTGGCTGGTTTGGTGGACCGTAGCCAGCTGGTGATTCCCAAGAACATGGTCAAGGTGAGTTGATTATCAGCCTGCAGTCTCATGGAGATGCAATTAGTTAATAATGCGCAGTTCCATATCCTTGGCTTTTATGACCCGGCCCCTCTTCTGCCCAAGACCTTGAGGATTTGGTATACATACCACGGGGCGCAGCATTATGTAGAAGCCACGGATTCTGAGGCCATTGCTTGCCCTATGCGCACTCATTTGGTGCCAGATGAAAGCTGACCAGTATCTGGTAAAAGCATGACATCCGTATTAATATGTTAATGACTGTGATACTGTTGGCAGTGTTGTTGTTTTGGACATCGCCACTCTTGGACCGCACAGCTTTGCATTTTTGCCTCTTGCATGTTTGGTGTACTGATGGATAGACGTGTTATTCTGTGTTCTTGGGGTCTAAATGTCATAAACCACTACTAGTATACATACTAATTGGAATACTGAAGCTGTGGAATGTAGTTTGTCTTCAGGAGATGAAGGTTGGGGTGAGTTTTTGAGATTTCAAGTGAAGTAGGGGAGGCATCCGATAGGTAACGGACTTTGGCTTCTGCCTGTCATGCCAACAATCCTACTGGAGTCTCACCGTTTGTTTGCCGGTGTTACTATCTTAGATTACCTGAGCACCCCTCATATATTCCCTTCTGTGTTTATCCATCTTCGCGATCTTTTCACTTTACACCTTCATCCTGTCACATCCTTTCACACCCTCAACCGCGTAACCGCACCTCCTTACCCAACTAACCCTACATAAACATGACTGCAATTCGCGATGACAACGCCAAAGATGGCACGCGTTTTGCTGCTATCAATACACCAGCTAGTACTTTTGCCACTGCCAAATATCGATCTGCTTGCCCGGCGCTGCAGCTAGAAGACCATACTGCGACTGCGACTGCGACTCCCACTACTTCTACTTCTACTTCTACTCCTTTCACTGCTTCTGCTAGACCTGCTGCCACTTTTTCAACTGCCACTTTTCCGGCTGCAACCGGTGCAACCCATGCTCAAGCTGGCTATGGGTACTGCCCTGGGCCTAAGCTTCACCCGAGCTGCTACTCCAGTGGACCATACGTGATCCCAGCTACCTCCTCCTGCCAAAAGGTACGCTAAAATACGCATGACGCCATCTCCTAACTAACAAGCCATACCTGTAGGCTCCAGGATTTCCTGGCCGGTGTGTCTGCTACTCTGAAGATGTGCCTGACCCTGTTACACCTGAGCCTTATCACCGCGAGGTTTTTGAACTAAAGAAGTCGATGGGTGTTTCTGCTGGTATCATCGGCCCTATCTCCCCTCTTCCATTTGGTATCGAAATAAAAGCGGAGAAGAAGTACAACATACTAACTTCTCGCTCACAGTGTATGGCTCCAGAAAGCTGATGTATCAGGTCCCATATCTTGTCGAGGAAGACTGCAAGTTCTGGTTCCACGCGCCCAATGGTGATTATATGCACCTCACTGTCAAGCAAATTGCTGAAAAGCAGTGTGCCGGCCACTGGGCGAACACTTGTACTGGCCAGCCTTACTACCAGTGTGAGCCTAAGGACAGGATCAGATATGACGCTCAGGACTTTAATGCAGTCTTCCAGAAAAGTGGGCTCAGTCACATTGAGTTCCACAAGCGCTACCAGCCTTTCTGACCCTTGGTATGTCTTTTCCATTCTTCTCCGTCCTTCCTTTCTTTGTCTTGTTTTTGTTCCGTGCTTTGGTTACTCGTGCTTTTGGAATGCTGATATCGCACAGCGGACCCAATGCCTTCTTTTGCTGATTTGCTGGACTGGTCTGCTTCTGGACACAGGTGATAGCTTGATGCTCGCTGGATAGATTGAAGGTCTCGCGATTTAACTGTGGAGAGGGGATATTGAATGAGAAATGCGATGGAGGGTTTGGGATAGCGAAAGCTTAGTTGTACCTGGTGTACTTTACTCAATGGAACTCCCTCCTTTAAATCTTTAGTCCCTCCTAGGTGTAACTATGGCATTTTATGGCCATATTCAAGTAGCCACTGTTGATATAGTAAGCTAAAATACTTGATACTGGCTCTATTCAACAAGCCTTAGACATAATCAGAATCCTTATGTAGTTAATGTTGGGTTGAACGATGATAGAACTCCACGAGAAACAGGAGGAACGGAAAAAAATTATTTTAGTCTGAGTGTATGTATCCTGCAGATAAATAAGTTAACTTTTACCCCTACTACTCTAGTACTACAGCAGTAATTTAATTATTGATATCGTGATACACTACTATGAAAACGGATGTCTTCCCGATCGGGAAACAATGACGATGAGACGACTGGAAAGACAACTACGGCACGCCGCAGAATCCACTCCTGCAATCCCGCCGCCAAAAAGAGAAAAAGCATCCAACCACCAACTAGAACTTTCAACTTATCAATCACTCCCCTCCCCCCATTCCCTTATCAACTTTCCCCCCCCCCCTTGACAATGACTTCCATTGCAGAGGGGCTTTTTAAATCCCTTCCAAAGCCGAAATACACCGGCGAGGATGAGGAGATCCCGCATCACGCGCAGCCCCGTGGTCCGCGAATCGTGGGCGCGGACCAGATCGATGAGACTCAGATTGTGTTAAGGGTGAGTTGATTCCCGTTTTTTAAATGTGGGAATTATGTGTCATTGGGATGCTAATGATTTACACTTTAGAAAACCGGCCCTCCCCCGTATGGAAACCGTACCGGCTGGCGTCCTCGAGCCCCCGAAGACTTTGGCGACGGTGGCGCGTTCCCCGAGATTTTGGTCGCACAGTATCCGCTCGACATGGGCCGGAAAGGCTCATCATCGACATCTAATGCACTTGCTGTCCAAGTTGATGCAGAGGGGAAGGTTAAATACGATGCAATCGCGCGACGAGGCCACAGCGATAACCGGATTGTGCACGCCTCCTTTAAGGATTTGATCCCGCTCCGACAGCGGGTGGATATGGGTGAAATCTCACTTGATCGGCCGTCAGAAGAGGAAGTTGAGGCACAGATGGAGAAGACGAAGAATGCGCTGGCGAACCTGGTGTCGGGAGCCGTGGCAGCACAGAAGCCTAAGAACGTTAAGGGTGGTAGTCGGGCGGAGCCGACCTTTGTTCGTTATACGCCTGCGAACCAGATGGGTGATAATTCTCGGAAGAATGACCGGATCATGAAGATTGTGGAAAGACAGCAGGATCCCATGGAACCGCCGAAGTTCAAGCATAAGAAAATCCCTCGTGGACCGCCGTCGCCGCCTCCGCCGATCATGCATTCGCCGCCCCGGAAGCTTACGGCGGAAGATCAGGAGGCCTGGAAGATCCCACCGCCCGTGTCGAATTGGAAGAATCCTAAGGGTTATACGGTTCCGCTCGATAAGCGTTTGGCCGCCGATGGTCGTGGTCTGCAGGATGTTACTATTAACGATAAGTTTGCTCAGTTTGCCGAGGCTTTATTCACTGCCGATAGACATGCTCGTGAGGAGGTTAGACTGCGTGCCCAGATGCAGCAGAAGCTGGCGGAAAAGGAAAAGGCCCAGAAGGAGGACCACTTGCGGGCACTTGCCCAGAAGGCCCGCGAAGAGAGAGCTACCAGCAGCCGTCACGAGTCCCGTGCCGTGTCTCGCTCTCGTTCTCGTTCTCGCAGTGTCAGTCGAAGTCCGTCTCCGCACTCTGATCGGTCTGGCACTCCAAGTGATGACGAGCGCGCTGCCCGGGAGCGTGAGCGCATGCGTCGCGAGCGCCGCCAGGAAAACGAGAGACAGCTTCGTCAGTCGAGGATGGGTACAGAGAGACGGATTCAAACAATGGCCCGTGAACAGAACCGTGATATCTCGGAGAAGGTCGCTCTGGGATTAGCCAAACCGACTCAGTCTTCCGAGACTATGTGGGATTCTCGTCTGTTTAACCAGACGAGTGGAATGGACTCCGGATTCAACGAAGATAACCCTTATGACAAGCCGTTGTTTGCTGCGCAGGACGCCATCAACAGTATATACCGTCCCCAGGCCCAAGTCGATGCCGATGACGACGAGGGCGGTGCCGAGGGAGAAATGAGCCGGATTCAGAAGTCGAGCCGATTCGAGGTTTTGGGTAAGGCTAAGGAAGGCTTCCGTGGAGCCGCTGATGCCGAGGTGAGTGACTCAACTAGTCCTTTTCGTCAACTTTATAGTAGGATCACTACTAACGAACGAAACAGGCTCGTGATGGCCCTGTTCAATTCGAGAAAGACACCACCGATCCCTTCGGCATCGACAGTATGATTGCCGACGTCACTGGTGGAGCTGGACAGAAGCGCTACGGCATTCAGGAAGTTGATCGTGAAGACCGTGGCTCCAAGCGCGCCAGAGTTGACGAGGAATAATCACTAGATGCAGTTGGGTTGGCTCGGTAGGATTCGATTTATACCATTGTCGTTTGTTGGGATGATTCATGCATTGCCGGCGTTGTCATCGTTTCTTCTATCTATGTGATTGGTTTCTTACTCTGGCTCAGAGGACAAATTCAAAATTCATTGGGCTGCTTTTGTTGATATATGTAACTGTATTGTTGTCAGACAGACAAGACTCGGTAATGATTTTGAATCAATGATATATACACATGTATAACTGTTATCTAGAGAGCACTTGCTTTATTTCTAATCTCTGATATTAGGGCTGCCGCCCCCCTGATTTCACTAAGCCTGATACAGCGTATTCTGAGCATACCTCTAGAACTTCTTCACTCATTATAGTAGACAGGGTAGATAAATACGTAAAGACGTGACTTATGTTTAGATTAGTGACAGTATCTAGCTCCTTTCCCCCGTTCCCTCCAGGGTATATACACTTCTAGAGCATCTCTAGAGCATCAATAGACTCAGATACCAGGGCATTTCCCCCTATGTAGTCCTCACTACTCGCACGTAAAGGTATCTGAAACAAAAAAGAAAGAAAGAAAGAAAGCAACCACACGCCAGACCCAACAGCGAATCCATCAAATCCACAAGCACAAACAGCCCATCACTACTTAAACCCCCTTCTCCCAACGCCAAACCCAACCCCCATCTCCTCCCCAACCCTTTTCCTCCGACCCGCCTCCCCAAGCAACTTATTCTGCAGATCAAACTCCGTCTGCCACCCATCATCCCCTGTAACAGGCGGCGCAACTCCAACCGGCAGCTCCCCCTCGCACCGCTCCCGAAACACCCGCAGCTGCTTCTCACTCCAGCCCTGAGCGCGGAACCACCCCGATAGAGACTCTTGCATATGGTCGGTGCTTCGTAGCCAGGTCGTGCAGTGGGTGTCCGTCCAGCCTTGGGAGCGGAGACAGTTGTAGATGGCTTGTTGGGAGGGGGTTAGCCGGGTTAGGTCGATTGGGGAGGTTGGGGGGATGAAGTGGGCTGGTAGTTGTTGGGGGCGGTTTGGGTTGGTGGCCATTGTGTGTGGTTTTGCGTGAGTTGGTAGGTTAGGAGTGGGTTGTGGGTTCATATGTTGTTGTTGTTGTTTATATTGAGGTCATATAAGTTCACTTGGCAAGGATGGGGGGTTGTGTGTTTCATATCTTGGATATGGACGTGGAAATGAGAACAACGAGGCTAAATTAAAGGATTCGCTCTGGCTATTTAAACTATTTACAATGACTGAGCTACTAGTAGTACATTGTGGTGCTTTGGATCCTTCAAGTACGACGGAATCCCTGGCTGTATACTAATACTCGGTTGATGTGACGTCTGATAGGTAGGTAAGGCCGTGACACTCTGGTCATGGTTTAGTGGTAATTCAAACATGTTTCAGAGCACAGGGCAATGCGATTGTTCTTCTCATTGGATGATATTAAAGGACAAGTAATTGAGTACGTCCAAGTCATGTGATAGTGGTAGTCTCGAATGGTACTACTAGTAATAGGACCCTTAGTGGCCCCATGGATGGTTGGTAGCAGCCGTTGGTTCTCTAACTTCAAGTATCCAAATCGTACAGCTACAGAGAATGTGGCCCTTCGGGGTAGATTCTCGATATTCGGCAAGGGATCCTTCATCGGAAAGATATGTATGCTAGTGGACCTTGAGGCATTATACGAATGGACAGAGAATGGGACATTAAGTGCATGTCTTATAGACTCCAGAAATACTAGGATCCGGGAGAACAAATACCGCCGAGAGGAAGTTGGAAAGCATGTGAAACTGTTGGAAGCGACAAGGGATCTAAATCGCTCATAATGGAGCCCCCATCAGCCTGGGGACTGGTGATGGTATCTGCCTAACGGGGAGCGAAAGCCGGAAATGGTCAGGTTGGGTACATGTTGACACGCTAGACACCCAAATTATTAAGAGAGCAGCATCATCGTCAAATATTGTGAGGGGATGTAGTGGACCCTACATGCGTCAGACTCTGACTATGCAAGCGTATCCAGTAGATCGCTGAGATGGCGACACGATCTGATGATTGAGATCCCTAACATCCAATGAACGCGAGAGTTGTTATTTTGGCTGCCTCCTATCAGTGCCTGTAGATGATCGTCAGAGGTAGACAACGGTATGCATGAAGAGCAAGATATGGGAAATCTCTTGGGAAACGACCATGCTACTGAGTTTTGCAAAAGATAGAGGCTGCGTTTTGAGAGGGTCATGGGACATAGATTGCATAGTTATTTGCTGTTGTAGCGCTGCAAGCGCAGTCAGATGAATGTCTTGGATGTTTTAACCGGCAGTGCCGAGGAACGTAAAACAAGACTCGCAATTTGTGGTGATTGCCGTTGCGAATGACGAGCTAGTAGACCTCCAACGGGATTCAGAGACATCATTTGGTACGACGCCGTTGGAGTGACATTGCTTGCGAGACGAAACAATATCTGCACCAGGGTTGTACCGCTGGTGTTATGTTTCGAAGGGGAAATGGTTGATACCATGATTATGGCAGGTTCAAAGAATGCGGAAAGGTTTTCTTATCGTAGGGGTTTCCCGCTGGCATTCCGTGGATGGACAAGAACTCCACCCAACTCATTGCGGTGTCACTGGGACCCTCCCAAATCCACCCGCTTTATCTCCCGTCGAAAACGGGCTCCCCTTGCTTGCGAAGAGGTGGAGATTCATATCTTACGATACGAATGGTGCTGCCACACTCTACCCAGCTGCAGATTGTGTGACCGATCAGTCTTGCGGTGCCTGACTAGCCCGAGTAAGTTACCCCATGATCCTGGTTGCTTGAAAGTGCGGGGAGCCCATGAGCGTCCACTATGAATCAGTCGTTTCAAATCCTGATCTGCCCACACAAGGCCATTGGATTGGCATAGGAACCGTGCGCCGGGAGGATTCGACCAGCAAAAGCACAGGCATTTATCGGTAGTGGCGCCTACCGCGGAGTGGCGATCGCAACGGAATTGCTCATTTGCTACTACTGCTGATAAGCAGTGGTGTTGGTGGAGACGCGACACTGGAGATAAAGCTGGATGAACCACTCGGCCAACGGCTATATCTATTGCGAAAGATCATTAGGTAAAAAAAGAGGATAAGGCATTAACGAATTTTCCTCAAGCAGTTGCTCAGGCCTCAGGGGGCCAAAAAGCCAGAAAAAAAATCTGAAGGGAGAGACTATCGGTCATATATACCCTCATATTTTATTTTAATTTTCTTTTTCATTTGCCTTGGTTAAGCTTCCAACGATTGTGGATATCTGTGTGGGGACCTTTTTTTGCGACAAACCTTGGGTGACTCAAGTTTCAGCAAGTCAGAAAGAGCAGCCAACAAAAGAATTATTAATTCATTGCATTGCATTGGAAAGTGAAGGAGAGGGAAAGAAGTGGGAGTGTAAGTGAGCGAGCGAGGAAAAGAAACGCACGTACAGAACAGGCATAGAGTCCAAGTCACCTGAGAAGCTCTTGTCCTCTTCCACCATCCTGACTCATTCTGGTTCTGGTGTGCTTCGAACCATCTCTGATGCCATGCTCATCGCCTTTCCCTTATTGACTATCTCTTATAACATCATTGTTCGACTGTCCCTTACTTGTGTGCTGGTCTTATTGATATCATTCCCTCGGAAAATGGCGTAACGGAAGGCGGTCGACGAGAAGGAATGATTGCTCAACGTCTCAAAATATTCGACGGAAACAAAACTATGCAGTATAAGACAAACAGGCGAAGTGACTCCATGCTGGCTGCGGTCTATCCGAAGATACCTCGTCGTTCGGTTCTTCTAGTTACTCACAAAGGCGAGCTGTCAATAACACCAGTCCCGTCTCAATATTATTCTTAGTATTTCATTTGCGCCTTCCAAACTCTCGAAAGGAATCAATCACGCGGAGTGGACTGTCTAGTCTTCCCTCTTCCTTGATTTTCATTCCTATATATAGTTCTACCGGCTGGAATCCAGCCTTGCCACACCATTAACGAAGAAGCCTCAATTCAGCCTGGCTTTATTGTCCTGCGCCGCACTAAATCCACCAGTGATTTATCCACGAGATCACCCTCGTGAAGCGCCGGCGTCTGACCTGTTCTTGGACCACACAGGCTTTACAATACACCTGACAAGATGGAACAGTCGCTATCGCTCATCTCTGCTCAGGTCCAGTTCATGGTGAGCCTCTTATGTCCTACATGCAAAAGCTCATCTTACAACATGATTCCTGAACATGGCTTCTTCGGACAATTGCTGGACGTTTCCAGTGATCCTCCGTTTTATGAGGCTTAGCTTGCTAACAACAATGATGGTAATGCAGGACGACCGACTGGCCCTTGTCCATATTCCACTGGACCTCTACCCGTATTTTCTGAATCCAATCCTTCAGGTCCTTTTTCATGAGGTACCTCCAATTAGTGGGAATCATGCAGATTTCCAGAATGGTGGCCCCGATGGTGTCCACAAACGCGCTCAACCCGCGTTCTTGAACCTCTCCATTACGCCTGTGGAATGTTCTATTATGTGTCCTAGGCAACTTGCCAATGACTATTTCGCTCCGTTGGTTGAACGTTTTGCGAAAGATAATGTATCCAATCCGTGCCGCTTGTCCATTAGCCGTGATGATTTCATTGCCATGCAAGTGTACGGAGAAGGCCTCGAGGCGGGCCAACGAGTACTTGAACTCACCAGTCCATTAGCGATGGCGGGAATGTATGTCTCTTTCTCCACTCCTCCCTAAGTCGTAGGTTGTGCTAATGGGGATATGTTGCAGCTCCATATTTTTTATTTCCACCTACTTCTCAGACTATATCATTGTTCCTCTGCGTAGCAAGACGCAGGTAATTCAAACTCTGGAAAAACGTGGGTTTCAATTCGAGATGTCGACGGACGCATTCATCAACAACAACCAGTTCAACAGCTGCCTCAGTCCCGTGTCCTCTCGGTCCACCAGCAGCCTGGGATCTCCCCCGCCCACTCCTCCACCATCGTCACTTGATGAATTACAGACTCGCACATTCTCTTCCTTGCGAAAGAATAGCATCACTCCTTCGGTTGATAGATCCCTCCGCTTAGTTCAATGTGCTGTTCACCATCGTGACAGCAGTGAGATCAGCTCTATATCTATACTGCGCGACGCGCTGACCATAGCGCTTGTCGTGGATAAGCCACGTTTTCTATCTCTTACCATGACCGCTGCCGATCCTGCAGCCTCGATCTTATTGGAACAACGGCTTTTGCCCCGATTCTCAAGTGATCCTGCATTCCCTGCCGAGCTAGATGACGAAACCAGTCTCTTATTGGGCTCGAAAGAGGAGATCCTCGTTCCTATCATGCTAGATCTGCGCAAACTTCCACTAGAGGCTACTGGTATTGTTTGTGGCGTAGCTGGTAGGTTGGCAGACGCTACGCATGCTCGAGGCGATGACATCACGGACAATTCTTCCACGATTATATCTCATTCATTCAATGGTTTTTCTTCCTTTGATGAGACCATGAATCGGTTTTTCTCTTCGAGTGTCGGATCCGGCGGACCCGTGAAACCTCCAACCCCTGGGTCTGGACGCAAATCAGCTAGCAACGGCAAACTGACCCACCACCTGCAGCCGGACTTGGACAGCTCGATAGAGGCTGTTGAGATCAGCTTCCTCAGCACTGCACGAGCGGGGACCATAATTGTCGGTGAGCATGAGCTTCAGCGCGCCGTGGGTGCTTTGGAAGCTGAGAGTCATGATCCCGAGGACCTTGAAGGATTCGAGATATGATTATATTCAGCTTGCTGCATTCGATTATACCCCAGCTTCGACACTCAAACGAGCACCAGCCTTCCGCAGAAGATACCGAGGTTTAATTTTGATTTTTCTTATTTTTGAGAGCATCTGTGGCAATGTTGAACTCTCTTCTTTCCATCTATGATTTACGCCTGGATCGCAAAATTTCGTTGAAGTCTATCATAATTCGCTACACTGGCGCCTAAAAGTTCTCCTCCCATCGTTTTGGACTATACCACAATACGGATAACAGTACATTCCTCTTTTAGCCTTTCTTTCACCAAAACTTGTATTGATAGTTAGCGAAGTTGTCCGTCTCGGCACGAGATGCCGTGATTGATGTTCATGATTTTGATTGGAAGTTAAATATCTAAGTTTGGATTGTTATCGATATCCACGGCGCTTTGACTACTTGCCATTTATCTTGTCCCTCGTATCCTTTGTTCTTAGAATGACTATTTTCGTTCGGACTGGGCTGTATCTCCAATGACAATTGCATAGTACTTTTCAGACAAACCTATATCAGCTGAGAAAACCACAGCATTCGTAATTGCAGGCGCCTAAAAGCTTGAACCAGGCCAATTTAAAATCCAGCCTCGTCGTAGCGTAAAGCCCTGCGAATGAACCCTCACGACTCCACAGTGGCAATCCATTAATTCCCGGGAAACCGAAGGAACTAATCAATAGATCGGTGTTTGTGACTGTGTCATGCGTTCGTGGTAGGGGAAAGTATATCCCAGTTTCTGAAGTCTTAGTGGTGGCGCAGCTGAGGCCCTATGGCTATTAGCTACGAGCTGTGGAGATTGAGATATCGCTTGAGTGGTTTGCTTTGTCTCAGGGAAGCGATCTGAGCCACGATGTTTTCCTTTTAGGGACTGCGATGCGTTCGCCTCTCTTTGGGGGGTTGGCCTAACAAAAAGCCTGTGAGCTGTAGATGGTGAAAATCGATATGTGCAACGTGACTAGTGCACGTGGTATCTTTGAGTTAATTATTCATCGCTGGGCAGAGCCTGCTTTAGCCGTAGATTTTGACGCTTCCTATTGTTCGAGACATGTTAACTGGCACATTCCAAGACTCAATATGTGGGGCCAATGCAGATTGAGAGATGTTTGTCGGCCCTCGCGATGTAATGGACTGAAATGAGGAATAGAGAGTGGAATAAGAGAAAATACGCACCGTCGGAACAACCACCGGCCCAACATCCCCCCTTCTCATTCCACGCCACGCAACTGACAACCTTGACGCCCTCGCCAACTGGAACACTAGCGATGAGCTCCCCGCTCACAACATCCCAAGCATATACGTATGCCTGGGCCGACCGGTCTTCCTTATCCGTTTCGCTTCCACTGAGCACCATCGCATCCCCCTTGGCAAACGCAGACCTGATTCGCAGCTCATTGTTTCGATACCCGGTCTTCCCGGGGTTTTTATTTCCACTTCCAAAAGCCTGGAGGAGTTTGCCATCTGTGCGATCAAGCATTCGAATGCGACTGTCTAATGTTGAAGCCAGGAGGGCATTCCCGTCCGTCGAACAGCGCACGCTCGTTACTGGGTGTGCGAGAACATCGACCGTTGTACGACCCATGCGAACATCGTAGATACGGGCACGGCCGTCGTAGCTTCCACTTGCGATGGAATACGTAGGGGTGTGAACGTGGATGGATGAGACCGTGTCGCTGGCTTCAGTGAGGGTTTGGATTGGCTTCGTTGAGTTGGACCGTGTGTCCCAGAGATTAATCGTAGTGTCCGCGCTACCTGTAGTATAGGGTAACGTTAGCATCGATTGATTTAGTCACCACGTAGGTTGAGATGGTGATTCCAATTGGTAAAACGTACCAGAAACGACCACCGAGTCGCCTTCGCCTGCGAATTGGACCGCTTCAATACGGGCCGCATGTCCACTCCATCGCTTTATAGTTATGCCCTGTTCAACATCCCAGAGGAAAACCTGTCGGTCTCCGCCAACGCTGGCAAAGCGGGAATTGTCACCCGCGACGGCGACATCGAGCACCGAGTACCCGTGCGCTTCGTACTTTTGGATCGGGGATGTCGTTTCTGTACCAGGTTTGTTGGGTATCGCGCGGGAGAGATGAACAGTGCGATCGGAGGAACCGGTCAAAACGTACGTTCCAGGATAGCTGGAGAATGTGACGGCATTCACGGGCCCTAGGCGATGTCAGAGGGAAGAAGCTCCTGAAGGTGGGGGGCAACATACCATTATGTGTCTTGAGAGTGTGGGCTAAATTTGTAGGGAATTGTTTCGTCACAGGCATTGTACACAGTAATGCTAATTATACGCCGCTGTTTAAGGTGTTGATCCGAATCGCAAAGGAGTCGCTGTTTAAGTGGATGTGGAGAAAAGAGCTCTCGTTCTTGGCAATCAGTTAAAGGGCGGGCGGGAGCGCAGAGGTAACTTTATTCTAGTGGCATTTCTCCCGCGGCTCCTCCGCGGAGGTCGAGTTATTTGTATACTTCCATACGGACAACTCAAACAAATTAAATATGTATTGGCATGCCACAGAACACAAGTAGGTTATTATCAATGATGTAGAAAAACCATCGCTAGCTACCAGCAGGTAAAGAGAATAATAACAAGAAAACCCAGCGAAACTCAGGACAGGGCGTCTATGCCCTATGCAAATTGTCTCCCTCGAGTACACAGAAAGCCGAAAATAGGAAAGTTAAAGAAAATTTCAAGGGGTAGTCAAATGAACATGAATTAAAATTGACGAATGCAAAGTCTGCTGTTCCCACTGTTGGTCGAAAGACCACAGTTTGCAGTGGCTCAAAAGTGCCTTAGCGACGTCCATGGCTGCGGGTGGATGAGCCCTGCAAGGACTCGATTTCCTGTTCCAGCGATTTGATCCTGTTCCCTCGTTAGCCTGATTATCATATCGAAACTGAAGAATGGGAGAAACATACGCGGCATGCGTAGCCTCCAGATCCTTGTTGAGGCGGTCTCTTTCGGCAATGAGCTTCTGCTCCCACTGTCGGAAACGCTGTTCCTCGACCTTGACCTGCTCGGTGAACCGCTTGCGAAGAGACTCCTCCTCTTCCTTGAACTTGGGGTTATCCAACTTCCTGGGGCGGGCTTCGCCGAATTTCCGGGTCTCCATCTGTTGCGCACGGTAGGCCTCGTAGTGTTGCTCCTCGGTGGTGTGGATAAGATCCAGCATGTGGGTACGGATCAGGATCGAACGAAGCTTCTTAAAGTCGCAGTGGTCCTCATTCTCAACTTCGGCAACACCCCAAGCATATTGACGGCCCTTTACAACCCGATTGTCGCTAGTCTTCACATCCTTCTCGGAACCGATCACGGCGAAAGGCATGGCAGCCATCAGGCTCCGCGCGTGGGTGGCAGCGTGCTCATCATCTTCTTCAATCGGGGGAGTGTAGATCTTGATGCCCTGGGCTTCAATGACAGCTTTAACCTATATGAAAGCAATAGGTTAATTCAAGACCACACAAATGGAGAACCTAAGTCAATCTTACTCTCTGCTTGTAACGAGCCAGATCGGCGGGGCTGAGGGTGTCGGCCTTAGCAATGACGGGGATAAGATTGACGCGAGAGCTCAGGCGCTTCATAACCTCAATATCGAGGGGCTTCAGGGTGTGGCCGGTGGGTCTGATGAAATACAGACAGGCATGCACACGCATATCGATCTTCTCTGTGCGGCGGGGCTGTTGCTCCTGCAACATGTAGGACTCATGCTGATCGTCGAGGAACTCAATGATAGGTTGCCAGGAATCGCGGTTGTTGACGTAGTCTCCAAATCCGGGGGTATCGATGACGGTCAGGCGAACTGTAAAATACACCCAGAGCGTCAGCTGTCGGCCAGCAAACGGGAAGTGCTATGGTGTACCTTTGAAGAACTTCTCCTCCAACTCGGCCTTAGTGATCTCGATTTCAACAGTGCGGTCAATCTGCTTCTGGTGACGACGCTTGTGGTCGGCATAGTTCTTGATGGTCGTCGAGAACAAGGTGTTGATAAAAGTAGTCTTTCCCAAACCAGACTCTCCTGCAACCTGCAAGACCATCAGCACTTATCTGGTTTATTGTGTTGAGGTCCTATTAGACAAACCATGATAGTGAAAGCCGCACCCCGCTTAGCGACAATCTTGTGACTGTAAAGCTTCAGTTAGGACCCTCCACCCTTTCTCCACCATAGCTAATCCAGAAACATACCGCTGATTGGGAAGCTATTGCAATAGTATTATCAGTGATAGGTCCATTTTGGAGAAGCTCCCGAGCGTATTCCAGCACTTACGTTGGCAATCCCAATGGGGGAGCAGTCTCAGTAGTGGAGGCCATTGTGATAAAGGGGTCGATCAACGAGAGATGGGAATTCAATCAAGACAAAAAAACAAAACGATGGTGGGTGGGAGGAACGACGCCCTGCACTCGACAAAAATCAGCCAACGGGGGAAGGAAAAGAGCAATAGGAAGAAATTCAATGGGTAGCAATACCAGTCCGTAATCAATGGCCGTTGGGAATGTAAAGGAAGACGGGCAAACAAGAGGATGCGGCAGTACCTTCTTTTGGTTTGGGTTGGGTTAAACTGCCCCTGAATCCCGTCTGGTAGTCAGCAGTGGAGAAGCAAACAGAAGCAAACAGGCAGAAAGGCATGACCAGGACCATGACCTGACCTCTCCAATTCTGGGGCTTCACTATACCCCTTCCGGACTAGCCCCTCGGTGTCGGATTAACATGCGGATCAGCTCTCTTATCGCCCGTTTGGGTGGAAAAGTCATTTTTTTTGGAGGTCCAGATAAAAGGTGATTGTTTGACTGACTGCACGCTGGGGTACACGTGCTGGCGACAATGAAGACAGATTTCAAGGTCAGTTATCTTTAGCTGTAGCTCCTTTTTGTTTACTTATTCGGAATTCCAACTCCAAGTGAAGCCTTCTGACAATGCTCTAGTTTTCCAACCTACTGGGTACGGTCTATCGCAAAGGAAATCTTCTTTTCACTCCCGATGGCACCTGTCTGCTTTCCCCGGTAGGAAACCGGGTTACGGTCTTCGACCTTGTTCAGTATGTACTTATATGCATCTCTACAAGTACCAATTGACAATTATCACTAATGCGACATCGCGCGAAGCAATACATCATACACTCTCCCCTTTGCGCACCGCACGAACATCGACCGTTTAGACCTGACGCCTCAAGGCAACCTCCTGCTGTCCGTTGACGAAAATGGGCGCGCAATCTTGACGAACTTCAAGCGCCGGATTGTTATCCACCACTTCTCTTTTAAGGGCCGTGTCTCCTCCCTCAAATTCTCCCCGTCCGGCCGATTCTTTGCTGTAGGAGTGGGGCGACGACTGCAGTTTTGGCACACCCCTTCAACGCCAGGTGCGGACAATAATGGAGAGCTTGAGTTCGCACCTTTTGTCTTACACCGAGACCTTGCTGGCCATTTTGACGTCATTCAGCATTTGGAATGGTCTCACGATTCGCGTTTCATTCTCACTGCTTCCAAGGATTTAACAGCACGGGTATGGAGTTTGGATCCAGAGGAGGGCTTTGAACCCACCACATTGGCAGGGCACCGGCAAGGTGTGAAGGCGGCATTCTTTTCTGCTGACCAAGAATCTGTAGGTCTTCTTGATTGTGCGTCTGGATATTAGCTGACTTCCTTGTAGATCTATACCGTTAGTCAAGATGGAGCTTTATTTAGGTGGGAATATGTGACCAAGAAAGACCCCGATACCATGGATGACGTCGCCGAGGCCCGCTGGAGGATTGTGAAAAAGGACTTCTTTATGCAAAATGATGCCAAGGTCAATTGCACTGCATTCCATGCCCCCACTAATCTTCTAGTGGTGGGCTTTTCGAACGGTCTTTTTGGGCTCTACGACTTGCCCGAGTTCAACATGATACACCTTCTGAGGTATAATATGCTTCCTAAATTACATAATGTGCTTATTGCTAACAGAGAGCAGCGTCTCCCAGAGCAACATCGACTATGTGACGGTAAACAAATCTGGCGAATGGCTGGCTTTTGGCTCCTCTAAGCATGGCCAACTGCTAGTATGGGAATGGCAGTCCGAGTCGTACATTTTGAAACAACAGGGTCATCTCGAGTCTATGGGCTCCCTAGTTTACTCCCCCGACGGCCAGAAGATCGTTACGACTTCAGACGATGGAAAAGTCAAGGTCTGGGACGTTAAGTCGGGCTTCTGTATCGTGACATTTACGGAACACAGCAGCGGAGTCACTGCTTGCCAGTTCGCCAAGAAAGGAAGTGTCTTGTTCACAGCTTCATTGGATGGTTCAGTGAGAGCGTGGGACCTCATCCGTTATCGCAATTTCCGAACCTTCACCGCGCCGTCTCGATTGTCATTTTCTTCGCTTGCTGTCGACCCAAGTGGCGAAGTGGTCTGTGCCGGATCTCCAGATTCGTTTGATATTCATATATGGTCTGTCCAGACCGGACAACTGCTTGATCAACTCAGTGGCCACGAAGGCCCCGTTTCCGCTCTTGCTTTTGCTGCAGACGGCAACCACCTTGTCAGTGGTAGCTGGGATCGTACAGTTCGCATATGGAGCATTTTCGGGCGAACACAGACCAGCGAGCCGTTGCAACTCGTGTCTGATGTTCTCAGCGTTGCTTTTAGGCCAGATGGTAAACAGGTGGCTGCATCATCGCTAGATGGCCAGTTAACTTTCTGGTCTGTGGCCGATGCAGTACAAGAAAGCGGAATTGATGGTCGTCGTGACGTCTCAGGAGGCCGCAAGACAGCTGATCGCCAAACCGCTGCAAACGCCGCAGGAACTAAGTTTTTCAACTGTATTACATACAGCGCTGATGGAAGCTGTATCCTCGCTGGAGGCAACAGCAAGTACATTTGCCTGTATGACGTGAGGACGGGCTCGTTGGTGAAGAAGTACACAGTTTCCGTCAACACCTCGCTTGATGGTACCCAGGAGATCTTAAACAGTCGCGACATGACAGAAGCTGGTCCCCGAGACCTGATCGATGAGACAGGCGAGGCATCGGATCGCGAAGACCGTATTGATCGCTCCCTTCCTGGCGCAAAGCGTGGCGACGCTGGAGCTCGTACTACTCGGCCGGAAGTACGCGTCACTTCCGTTAATTTCTCCCCAACTGGACGTGCATTTTGTGCGGCGTCTACGGAGGGTCTTCTCATCTATAGCCTGGATACAGAATATGTTTTCGATCCCTTTGATCTTGACATTTCGATCACCCCGGCTAGCATTATGGAGACTCTTGAGAATGCCAAACAGGCATATACAACAGGCACGAGCGATAATGATGACACTTTCCTGAAGGCGATGGTTATGGCGTTCCGGCTGAATGTGTCGAAGTTTATCCGCCTAGTTCATGAAGCAGTCCCGCCGTCCGAAATCTCTCATGTCGTTCGTGCCGTGCCAACTGTCTACCTTCCTCGTCTGCTGCGTTATGTCGCTCACGCCGCTGAGGAAACCCCTCACCTGGAGTTCAACTTGCTGTGGATTGAATCTCTCCTGAGCAGCCATGGCCGATATTTTAAGGAAAATTCCGGTACTTTTGCGCCAGAGCTTCGCGCTGTTCAGCGTGCCATTGACGACATCCGGGAGAACCTGAAGAGGATGACAGAGAAGAACCTGTACGATTTGAACTATCTACTGTCGAAACCCGTACTTGCGGGCAAGAAGACGAGCAACACTCTAACCTTGGCGGATGTTGAAACGGATGACACGACAGCAAATTATGAGGACATGGCTGGCACCGCAGGTGAGGAAGAGGAATGGATTGGGCTTGAGTGATTGCGAGTCATCTTCCTTTGGTTACACACTTGTTCTTCTGATCCAACATTCTTCTATCCTTCGCATTTGCGTCTGGCGTTCGATACTGGTATACCTGGAAGATAAAAGGGGACAGCAAAAGTTTGGGGGTCGTTTGATGCTTGTATTTGGATAGCATGATGTACATACGTCTAGACACGTCTTTATATGAATAATCGAAATCTTGCAAGACAGCAACAACCATGTTCTACCCTGTGTAGTTCAATAACAATGAATCACTGTCTACAGACTTTAAGAACGTAACATGGGTATTTATAAGACTAATATCTACACACTGCAAGTGGGCAACGATTGAAGCTCATGGTATCAGATGCGTTTGCGTAACAAACACTTGTACGCAATTACCCATATATGGCCGTTTGTATTGATACTCACTGAAACGCAATGCTGTTGTTTTTCACAACACCACTTCAATCGCCATGGCGCCCAACATATTGGCCTGCTTATTACTCAAGTTGTCTCTCTCTTTTCTTCCATCTTTCTGTTTGACTGTGTTCATGAAAGGACAAATCTTCTCTGCGCATCTACATCCATATCTTCAGTCTCTTGGCTTCCGGTTCTTCTCGCAGTTCCTTAGTTAAATCATAATGGATTACATGGACTACTTGAAAGAAATGGAACTCGCATGGCACTGGGTCTCTATCTTTGTGGGCCTACTTGCCTTTTATATTATCATGGATTGCTCTACTGCAAACGTGAGCCAGCCCAGTCTGCCTACGGTCAAGCACTTCAAGCTTCTGCCCCCATTTCTCAACCGCATCCTTTATGTCGTTAAGGCGCCTTTCCTGATCTACTCGGGATATGAAAAGGTATGTTTCCATCTGTATTGAAAGACTCATCGATACTGATTATATTTTAGTACAAGTCCAAGCCCTTCCGGATTCTCAAACTGGATGGAGATCTAGTCGTCCTACCTCAGAGTTATCTTGAGGAACTTGGAGATCTTCATTCACGTCAGGCAAGCCTTGTCGGTGCTAAGTACAAGGTGAGCACATCCACCCAGTACTGAGCAGATAAGTTGTATCCAGCTAACCAGGTGTCATCCAGAATATTCTGGGAGGATGTACCAACATACTCATAAACAGCAAGTTGCCCGCACGCACCGTTTCGGGGAGGTTGAATCCAGTTTTAGGTATGTAGAAAGAGCGCTGAAATACGTGCAATATATTACTGCATCACCTATCTCATTATATACCGAGCATCAGCGCTGACATCCAGATCATAGACCGTCAAATCCCTCGGCTACTCTTTGAGCTCCACCATGCGTTCTCGGCTGTAGTCCCTTATTGCGAAGGCAAGTATGTGCCCATCAATTTGTACAACATGATCCTCAAGCTCGTTACACACTCGACATCCCGCATCATCATCGGCCAAAGGCTCTGCAGAAGCGAACAATGGATCAACACTATTACCAATTGTACATACGAAGTGTGCATTACCGTCAAACGACTACAGCTCGTTCCAAGGTTCCTCCGTCGCCTGATTACTCCGTTCCTTCCAAGTGTCCGGAGACTCGAAATGCAACTCCGATGGGCCGCAGAACAACTTATTATGCCTATGATCCAACACCGCAGGGGACGTGAGTTCAATGAACCGTCCTACAAGAAACAAGATGACTTTCTGCAGTGGATGATGGATCTGGCGGACAATGACTCCGATAGAGACCCCAAGAATTTGGCATATGGACTGATGATCACCATGGCTTTGGCTGTCGTTCAGACCAGCACAATGCTCATTACCCATGCTATATATGATCTGCTGGTCCATCCCGAGTACTCTGAACCTCTGAGAGATGAAATATATGAGACCTTGACAAACGGCTGGATTAGGGCCTCGTTGAGCAACTTTGGCGCCCAGCGTCGATTGGATAGCTTTCTTCGCGAGTCACAGCGCCTTAACCCCCCTTCTGAAGGTAAGTACTAACTCTCTTATTTATGCACATTTGCTCAATTCTCTGCGCCTTGGGAGCCTTGCTCATAAACCAATGACTAACGATGCCAGTCTCCGCCCAACGCATCCTCGAACGACCAGTCACCCTCTCCGATGGAGTCACTTTCCCTAAAGGAACTCATATCTGCTTCCCATCCGGACCCATGTCTCACGATCCAGCTGTCGTTCCTGATCCACTTACCTTCGACGGGTTCCGTTGGTGTAAAGACCTTGATGCCCCAGATGGAAGCATTACTGATGTCACCCCCGCCAACCTCCACTTCGGGTTCGATGGACAGGCTTGCCCTGGCCGGTTCTTTGGGGTGGCCATTGCAAAGGCCGTCCTCAGTCGACTCCTGGCTGAGTATGATCTCAGATTTGAGGAGGGTCAAACCGAAAGACCAAAGAATATCGTGAACGGAGAACAGGTTATGCCGAGCATCAGTACTAAGGTTCTCATCAAGAAAAAGAATGTTGATATCTAATGTGACGGTTTGGTATTATGTCGGAACGGGATACTTAGGGCTCGATGCGATACAATGTATTGCTTGAACTGGCACCATTCATTCACATTGATTGATATTGAGTTTTGTTATCTGTCTTTGGCTCCCACCTTGAGTTAGTCTGGAAATAGTCTAAATTCACACACACACACACTTTCAAAGTAAAGCCTCCGCAACTCCCGGAAATGAATTCACCCTGTATATCAAAGAATAGCAACCGCATTAGGCGGGCTCGCGACACCCCCCGGAACCTAAAACATCAATCAGCACCCACCTTGTAAACTCCCGCCAAAGCTCAATTCACTCACCTTAAGTGGCACGCTTGACAAGAAGAAGCTCCACCTTCCATTCAGCCGGCAATACTCTGCAAGCTCCTCCAAATCAAAGTACTCCCCAATTGGCATCCCCCACCCTGCAAGACACCACTGATGCAATGTCGTATCCGCTGGTGAATCCTCCCTGACGACAGGCGAAGGCTCAAAGCTCGGCGAGTCAGTGGCAATTGCGGCAAACTGGTTCTCCCACAGCCAGCGCAGCGTGGATTCACCGTTCTCGACGCCGGAGAAATCGGGGCTGGGGCGCTGGGCTAGCGCGGCTTCTTCTTCCTTCGAGAGGTTGTTGTAGGCTTCTGTGAAGCCGGTGCGGACGAAGATGATATCGCCGGGTCGGAATTGAATATTGTTTTCCTGGACTATGCTTTTGATATAGGAGAGGGAGATACTGGTTGTTTGGAAGGGGGTTAGGGGGATTGAGTTCTTTTTCGCCCAGGTTGCATAGTCGAGGAGGACTCCTCGGCCTACGATGCCGCCGTTGTTTACCCATGCTTTATATTTTTCATTGCGTTAGTACGGTATGAATTTCGGTGGTGATCAGGAGTAAATTGGCGTACAATCAATCCCGATAACTGGTGAGTTCTGCAACTCTTCTAACGTATGTCCCTTATAGTAACGTGCCAATTCCTGGTGCCCTATGTATATTATTTCCCGAAGTTAACCCTGACCACAAATACTATCCCCATCACATCGGAAACACTCCAAAGAGACACGGATACACATACCATAATGCCGGAACCCATCCCACTGACTACTCGTCTGCGTATTAAACATTAAAATATCGTCATTCACAATTCTGGGTGCCTTATTCACCATTTCCCGGGTGAACGGCTTGCGTCCATAACTCGGGTGGTTGAGTCGGTCTAATGTCAGATCGAGCGAAATTCGAACACCCGTGCGAATCTCTTCGCTCGCTGCCTGCTGAACGGTTTCTGGAGTGAGCAGGTTGAGCATGCCGATGTCATTTCTAGGGAACAGGCCCCATGCGTTTCCTACGGGACACTTGGGGTCTAGGGTTAGGCTGTCGAAGTCGGGTATTGAGGTCATGATTGGGGGTCTGTTTCAGGGGAAGGGTATGGACGACTGTGTTGATTACTAGGCTTTGGTATTCATTTATCAGAGGATGAACTACGACTGCTCGGATATTTATCCATCTCCGCACTACTTGATCAAGCTCAATGGAGATGCATTTAAATATGCGGGGAAGGCCACTACTGACTAGTCACCTTTGGGTCTAGTCTGTTGCTACCTCGGGTAAGTTCACTCCGATACCAAGTAAGTACGAGTAGTGGTAGGCTATGATACAGTATATACAGGTTCATCTCAATGCTTGTATATTCCGTAGGCTTCCATGCCTCTATTCGCATCTAAGGTGAGAGATAAACCCAATGCATCTTTTCGTAAACTTTCATCCCGACCAGTTCAGGTTCAGTCAGATGTTTTAATACCAAGAGGCAACCTCTACACACACGGAGAATCAAACCTGATCGTTCCCTGTAGTAGCACCTCTGCCGCGATGGCTCCCCCGAGGGTTTCCTCGGCCACCACGTCCGCCACGGTTGCTCAAGTTCTTAGGTGGGGGAACTTGTGAGTAATTCTGTGCCCGGAAGTTCGGGTTGTGCTTCACTACACCCGCATCCGGATTGGGATCCACAGCGATGTATCCTCCTCGAGTACGGGTCATGCCACCGCGGCCTCTCCCTCTGCCTCCACGATATGGCCCATCAGTTTGCTGTTCTCCACCGTTGGGATGTGGCCGGAAGGGTAGGGTTGTCTGCGGCCCGACACCATTAGATGTGCCCCGTCCGCCACGACCACCTCGGCCCCTTTGAGGGAAACCATTACCGCGACCGTTGCCCATACCTGCTACAGCACCCCGGTAAGAGTGGCTGAGAGGTGGAGGGGCTGAAGCTTCTTTCAGCTGCCCCTTTCCATCAGGCCCAGAAGGAGCACCATAACCCGCAACTGTCAAAGGCGATTGTTGACTTTGCTGGCTGCTGGCTGCTCGAGTTGTGGCGAGTAGCTGTCGGTATGAAACATTAAGGACAGAAGATGACAGAACTGTCTGTCCCCGGAATGGAGAGCATCGGTCACCTAGAGTGGTTCCGCTCATGAACGAAACGTCGAAAACAACATCCAGGAGAAGGGCCCGCGATGTCCGGGTGAGACCAACGACCGTTCCGCGAGTGGCTATGGGCACTTTACCGGAGTCTTGGGCATAGACAACGCGGTCACCAAGTTTAAATGTCTGGTTCCCAAGTCTCTGCTCCACATCAGATGGTCTGAGAAGAGCACTTCGTGGAACACCCCCTACTTTCTTTGCTTGCATCGCGGGCTGGCTTTGAATTAATTGGTCCGCATCCTGCTCGATCAGCTTGACAATGTCGGAGTCGAGCTGTTCAGCATCGAGAGGAACTCTCTCGAAATTCTTAGCCTCGATAGATTTGAGCCACTCACGAATCTCCTTGACCTTCAGAAGGGCGGTCTCTTCAGGATAGAAATCAGTTGGCTTATAGCGATCACCCTGAGGGTTACGCTGGATACCAGCGATGAATTCAGGAAACTTGATCATGTATTGCTGGAGTAATTCAACTGCTTTGGGACTAAACTCCCAGCCGGAGTCTCCACGGCGTGAATAACCCAGAACCTTCTGTTTCCTCGCCTCAAACTTCAGGTTGAGACCCAAATTAACACGCTGACCCTCCACATCCACAGAGAAGGCCGAAGTGATTTTCGCCAATACTAAGGGATTCAGCTGCAGACTGCGTGCAATCGCGTAAGAGGGCATGTAGGGACAAAACCTCTCAGCATCCCTAGCACGCTCCTTTCCAAACTCGGGTTCCCGACCCTTAACGGCAGCGATTAATCCGTTCACTTTGCCATTACTATGTCCTGTGATATGCATGGGCCTACCGTAATTGAATTCCCCCAGGAAAAATGCACGAGAGCCTTCGGGAAATTCTTCTTCGATAGGTAGAGCATCACGTTCAATGAAACGTTCATCGGGATTGATCACTTCATCAACGACGAGCTGAAGAGCGTAATCGGTTTCTTGTCCCGGGATATCTGCAAACTCTTTTACTGTAGCACCTTCATCGGTCTTGAGCAACCCCTTCAGTAGTTGAACGTGTACCATCGCCTCAACAGGGCCAATGATCGTGCCAAGCCGCCTGCTGTACGTCCCTTCGATTTTGTCGGCTTTCTTCTTCCATTGCTCGATTTGAGCCTCAGTATGGGGGATATTTACAACATGCTCCTCCCCTTCAGGCTTGATGTAATCGAACAGCTCATCGGAAACACGGACTACGTATGCTTCTTGCAGGAATGGATAACCCACAAAAACACGCTGTCCGAGTTTCTGCTTAGCCAATAAGCTACTTGACCTGCTTCCAGGATCAAGTACTGTGATGACCATGCTTTCGTTGCGGCTCTCTTGCTGGAAGACGCACACACCATGGAAGCCTAATTGGCCAACGTGAGGTAAAGTCTTCAAACTTGGGAAACCTGCTAATGCCGATGCTCCAAGTTGAGCTCCATCAACCAGACCAATGTAGGGCTCGAGACCATCCATAGTAGGCAAGTCGAAGATATTCTCGATGCAATGGCAATTGGAAATATCTGGGAAAACACCAGGAAAAGACGATGGGTAGATAAACTGTACATCGGGCGAGTAGGTGAACTTAAGGCTAGCACCGAAGCCATTCCGTGCCTTTTCTTCCGGAGTTAATAGGTGCTCTTTCGTTTTGAGAGCATCCAACAAGCGTTTCTCCTCGATAAATGGGATTTTGACAACTGCCTCCCACTCCATCTTCTTTCCATTCATATCCAACTCAAAATCACGAGGGTAAAAATCGACAATAGGAGATTCCGGTGAAGTCATCAAGTCCCGGTAGGCAGCAGGCACAATTTTTTTGCTTCGATCGGGTAAAACACCCATAAGCTGATCGTAAGGCCTGAAGGGTTGACCAAGCTGGAAATTCGTATCTGCTTTCAGGCCCTTTTTAACATCTAGAGCAAGTCAGCGAAGACTATTTGAAGGGCGGTAGGAAAACAAACCAGAGATCATTGGGGCATAGTGGTACTGGAAGAACCACGGCCAGGACGCAATGCCTCTGTAATAATAGTACAGAACCCACTGGAGACCCTGCACATAGTTCTCTGTTAATTTCCTCATTTCTTCATGGTTTTCCAACCCCCATTCAAACTTCTCTGTATAATACTTGTTTTTCCATTCCTGGAATTTTTCCTCATATTTCTTCTCAGCGGCTTTCTGGGCGTCTTCAGCAGAGAGCTCTTGAACCTTTGCATTCTCGTACTTTCGGATGATACGTTGAACAGCCATGGATGCCTCTTCGTCTTCCTCATCGTCGCTATCGTCACCCTGCCTTGCTGGAAGCTTAAATCTGATAAACCGTTCCCCATGTTCGTCTGGCTCAGTGGTCCACGGCAGTCGAAGGTCATCTGCAAGTTGCTCCAAGAACTTGCGATCTCGAGCAGGCAGTGTAGGAGGGAAGTCAAGAGGCTGAGGGTCAGCCGCCTTTTCAGGTCGGTTGAGCACATATTTCTTGACCTCTTTCAAAAGACTCTTCTGTGCTGGGGTAATTGTAAGACTCCTAGGTCTCTCCTGGGATTCGGAGTTGTCTTCTCCGCCATTTTTCTTGGCCTGGATCCATCGCTCGCCTGAGTACTCAGCTTCAAAAAAGCGGAATTCAACATCGCTCAGGCCGTCAAGAAGCATACCCAAACGCTCCATGTTGATAACGCCCTGCTCGTTAATATACCCGCCCATCTTTGGCAAGATCTCCTTGTAGACTTTGAACAAGAATGCTAACGCACCCTCGTTGATATGCAGATTAGGCAAATTAGGTAGAAAATCGTTTCCAACAAAGAACGCCATCAAAATGAAGTCGTCGATAACCCGTTCCATGTCAAAAGAAAAGCCCAAAACGTCGTTCCGTTCCAACTCCTGAAACTCCAATTCTAAGTACTCTCTGACCATGCACAGATGTAGAAGGTAGAAATTCTGATGCTCAAGTTCCTTGGGCTTTTTCTGGACTTGGCGCCCAAACGTCACTTCCTCACGAAGAAGACAGAAGTGAGGATCATGACTGAGGAGCCCCAACATGATCAAATCGGCATCGAGACCATAAAGGCAGTGGCGAACATTGGGATCATAACCTGTTTGTGCTTTCGCATGCCGGATATATTCCATAATCTTATGTTCACCTTCTCCCGGTACTTCATGACCTGACAGTACGATCTCGACTCCTTGCCAATCTTTATCTTCCGATATCTTCTTGTTGATGAAATATTTTAGTTGCTCTGTCAATTTAGCCATGAATTCCGTGCCCGGGGTAATACAATTGCTGTCGAAAGCATCCTCCTTGGGCATCTCAATTCCTTGGCTGATGGCTTTCTCTTTCGCAACCTCAGCATCCAAAGCTGTTCGGAATCGTCGTGCACGCTGTTGGTTCATCTTGGCCCGAGGGGCCACACCATCAATCGCCATGAAGAAGAGTTTCTTTGGTTTGATTTTGCCGTAGAGATGCTCGATATAATTAAATATGGCGATAAACATCTTATCTTCGGTCATGCGAAAAGTAGGGGAGTCGCTATCTTTGTGTGTACAGTTATGAATAATACCATTCATGTCGAGGTACAAATTGTCGAACTCAGGTATCCGATTCTCTGCGATCAGCATCGAGATCGCAGGATACCGCTCGCTCAGCCATCGGAAGAACTTAGGGACACCCATGATGAATCAATACAATGAAATCCCCTGTAGACTATATTGTAGAGATAAGAAAATGCGAAGGTATCTAGCCTGCCGTGGTGGCCGTCGTAGTCGTCAAAAGCGAAGTATTCGAATTCGGAGGCAAATCATTCAATGAATGGGAAGATGCGGTCGTACAGATAGGAAAGCTGACTGCGAATTCTCAGAGAATGTGAGACTCCAAGCTAAAAAGAAACAAGGCGATGTTCCAAACAGACAGAAACATTAAACGAAGGCGAGAGCGCCTTTAAGAATCGTAAAGGTCAGCAGTGAGGTTTGGTGACTCTGCCGAGTCAACGGTCGTAAGGTCTAAGGATGGAGATGATGGTGCCAAGCTGTAATCGCCGAAACTGGCTTAGCTCTCCTGAGCGCCCATTAACGCGGTGTCAACGGGGAAGGTCGCGTTTCTCCAAGCGGGAGCTCAGTCCGCAAGCTCTGTCACTGTTGGCCCTACACAGCTCTCATTCGTCTAACGACGTCCCTTCTCCCTCTTGTGGTGCACTTTTCACAGTTACTTAATAATTACTCCCTGTCACGCTGTTCTTTTTCTCTGTCTTATAGTGATTTCCTAAGCTCATCATGGAGCCCTACGACGACGGTGCGATTTCTGTTCCACTTCTATTTGCGCAAACGAATCTAACACCTCGTCGCTTTAGGATTTATTGAGGAGCAAGAAGAGCAGGAGGAAGAGCGCACCGAGGAGAAAGTCATTAATGAAGGTGACTGAGCTTTATTCCTCCAAATTTGGTTATGAGGCTAAAGGCTTAAATCAGAATACAAAACCTGGAAGAAGAATGCGCCTTTCTTATATGACATGATTCTTAGTACGGCATTAGAATGGCCTACTCTTACAACACAATGGCTACCTGACAAGCAAGAGTATGAGCCTGTCCTGCTGTTAGCTGTTTACATGGAATCTAACCTTTCTAGGGTCCCCGACAAGCCGTATTCAACTCATCGATTGCTGCTTGGTACACACACCTCAAGTGACGCGCAAAACTATCTACAGATTGCTCATGTGCAACTTCCCAACCCTTCGGCTCCTAATCCAGACGACTACGACGAGGAGCGTGGGGAAATTGGTGGCTATGGCGGTAGCTCTAAAAAGGCCCCGATGGAAATTAAGTTCAACATTGTCCAGAAGATTGATCACAAAGGCGAAGTCAACAAGGCGCGGTATCAACCTCAAAACCCCAACGTGATTGCCACTATGTGTACGGATGGAAGGGTGATGATTTGGGATCGCTCGAAACACCCCAGTCTACCTACGGGCACAGTGAACCCTCAAATGGAGCTTCTAGGTCACACGAAGGAAGGATTTGGTCTTAGTTGGAGCCCACACACCGCAGGTCACCTCGTCACTGGTAGTGAAGACAAGACTGTCCGACTCTGGTAATTGCACGGTTCTCCGGTCGCTGTGTCTACCCTCTGATAATTAACTCTCTTTGCAGGGACTTAACGACGTACACGAAAGGCAATAAGGCGTTGAAGCCAACTCGCACATACACCCATCATTCGTCGATTGTTAACGATGTTCAGTATCACCCACTCCATTCGTCTCTCATTGGCACAGTGTCCGACGATATTACCCTTCAAATCCTTGACATACGAGAAGCAGAAACAAGCCGTGCGGCAGCTTCTGCAGAAGGCCAACATCGTGATGCAATCAACGCAATTGCGTTCAACCCTGCTGCAGAAACCGTTCTCGCGACAGGCTCAGCTGATAAATCCATTGGCCTCTGGGATCTGCGTAATCTCAAGACTAAACTGCACACACTCGAGTGCCATACCGACTCCGTAACTTCCTTGTCTTGGCACCCATTCGAGGAAGCTGTCTTGGCGAGTGCAAGCTATGATCGTAAAATTATGTTCTGGGATCTTAGCCGAAGTGGCGAGGAGCAAACCCCTGATGATGCACAAGATGGCCCCCCTGAGCTGTATGTCACTCTAGTTGCGCTTTTCATTTTACTAACATTGTTTTGCTAATATAACCTTCTTTCAGCCTCTTCATGCACGGCGGCCATACCAACCGTATCTCTGATTTCAGTTGGAACCTTAATGACCCATGGGTTTTGTGTTCTGCCGCTGAAGACAATCTGTTACAAGTGTGGAAGGTTGCTGATGCCATTGTTGGTAAGGACTTGGAGGATGTGCCAACCGAGGAATTGGAGGCCTGATTAACTTCATGTTAATATCCAATATCTCGAGGATGTTATTACCTGATGCGGCAGTATCCCGAAATCTTGTATAAGTGCTGCAGATAGGACGAAGATATCAATGAGAAAGAGTCATGTGAGCTTGTGTTAGAACGGAAGTTTCGCTGTATTGATAGTCATTGCCAGAAGAACAGTATTACAGTCTGACCACACTTCCTGAACACTCTCGCGCCACCAAAGCATTTTAAAAATCAATCACTACTGCTTCGTGCGATATTACGTCTAACCTGGGGATACCACTTACCACTTCCGATAATGCCCGATTTCTCCCGTCGTTATGTCACCGCGCTCATCCACGCACTAGAAAAGGGGCCATCCATTAAGCATGAATGTGGTGGTATATGGCCGTGATCGATTTCAGGTATAGCCCGCTAGTTATCTGAGCAGATTGGTATGTTGGGCTGCAGGATTAGCGTATATGGCGTCCCCACCCATACGAAGACTCTTAAGCAGTAGGCTCTATACATCATTTCCCTACTATATTACTAAATGATCACACAAATCATAGTCCGCTCTAAACAATGAGGATAGATTATTGTGGAGAAAAAGGCCACCCAACTACAATTACCTGTTCAGGCTGAGTGATAGATAGTATGAATACCTCACTGCTGTTTACTAGATTCAATTGTGTACATACTATGCATTTCCGAGCTTGAATTGCTTTCCAGGACGCTAAGTATCGGATATTTTAGGGTATTACCTTGACAGAGCTAGTGGGTGTGGATATCGCTTCCAACCTTGTCACTGTATCTAATATATGAGTTCCTGGAGAAATAGCAGTTCTATATTCTGTCTAGAACAACATCTTAAGGCAATTAGACTTAGCTATCAATAGAGAAGATATTCTCGACTCATATTGATAAGGGAATTTGTGACTACTAGGGATGAAGCACAACTCGAGTTGGCTCCACAGCGTTGGATCCGCGGAGTTTCAAGGAACGAATCAGCTCCATATTTTCCCGATCATATTAAAAGGAAACCTAGCTTGGAGGATGGATGGTACAGCCTGTAAGAGTATAAGTTTCCCGAGTCGGAGATGTCTGGTAAAGCTCGTATAAGGTATAGTAAGATCAGAAACTGATCCTAGGGCGATTGGCCCCGATAGCCAGAGCTTCAAGGGACGATACTACTAGTATTCTGGGAAGAAACGTACCGAGTCATAGCCCCGTTGGACAAGCTTAGGTTCCGCTGTACCCCGTACAATGATGTATTTAAGTACTATGTACTAGCATGTACATACATACACACATACATGCATACATGCTTAATTCTAGTACTTGTAGTACTAATAGCACGGACTGAGTACCAAAAGTCATGAGTGAAGAAAGTAGTAAGTCTACGTGGTGTGGATGAAATTAAATAGATTAATTTAAGAGGAGACGTATATTTTCATAATCATTACCATATATTTATGGTAAGTAAATAGCCATGATTTTATCGGGAATTATAATTGCGGTTGATATCTCTATAGTAAGTGGTAATGCTAATACCATACATACAGGGACTGAGGCGCATCCACTTTGTAGGTCAGCAGATAGCAACAACATGACTGGTCATCACTGGCCGATCCCGCAGGCGGTGAGCAGATGAAATCAGATCGGCGCCGGAGGAGGTCCAATCGTTCAATCGGCCCCGTCAAGAATGTCGCCATTGAAAAACGGCGTCCCTCCTTAGCTCTCTTTTTTTTTTTCTGCCCCTCCTCGAAATTATCATAAATATGTCTCATTATTGCATGTCTGAATAATTTTATGATTACTGCAACTGCTATGAACCCAAGACTTTGAATTGTCGCCTGCTCCTCCCTCATCTGTATACTAAAAAGCGCTGGCCGGCCAATCCATCGGCGTACTAATTTCCCCCTCCACTGAACTACCTAACTAATTACTCATTTGTTTCTACCTTCCTCCACCTCCACCATGAGTTCTGGATCTCCCCCCCAAGGCCCGAAGCCCAAATCCGCTGTTCCGCCTCGTCTGTTGAACGGGAGCTCTTCTCTCAACTCCCCCATGAACTCTCGTGGTGCTCGCGAAAGGGAGAGTCTCAACTCATCTATTCGCTCCTCATTCGCCCCCCGCGTCCCGGCGGAGTTCAATTTGCCAGAGACAGTTGTACATCCTGTCGATGAGTCTACGCCTGTCACTAAAGAATTGAATACTGACTCACGCGCGGTGAAGTAAGTTGCTTGTACACCCTGACGTTCAGATCGTGACTAATCGTGTTTCTAGGCCATCTTTGAATGACGTGCCGGGTGATTCAAGAGATGACACCCGGGCTTTGAGCCCACCATCGACAGCTAGCCGCCCAGCAAGTCCATACACTCTGTATCCTCCAATCGATTTTGATGGACTGAGCTGGCCTTGTAAGTGACATGGCCAACGTTACAATGAACATATAGTCTAACTATTTTTACCCAATAGGCCCTGGCACAAGGGCGCGGCTGGAGTCTTCGCCTGAGGAAACGGAAGAACGAGTTAAAAAATTGGCAGGGGCAGTGAGAACCATCCTAGAGTGTATTGGGGAAGATCCGGAAAGAGAAGGTTTGCGGGAAACCCCAGAGAGATATGCGAAAGCCATGCTCTACTTCACCAAAGGCTACGAGGAGAATGTCAGGGATTTGGTCAATGGTGCAGTTTTCCATGAGGACCATGATGAGCTAGTTATTGTCAAGGATATCGAGGTCTTCTCTCTATGTGAACACCACATGGTTCCCTTTATGGGAAAGGTATGGACAATACCTTGGATTTGGACCATGCAACATTGCTGACCAGTTGTCTTCACCATAGATGCATATCGGCTATATCCCCGATCGCCGTGTTCTTGGGCTTTCTAAACTGGCACGCCTAGCGGAAATGTTCTCCAGGAGACTACAGGTGCAGGAACGCCTTACCAAACAAGTCGCGCTCGCCATATCGGAGGTCTTGAAGCCACTAGGTGTTGGTGTCGTCATGGAATCCTCGCACCTCTGTATGGTGATGCGCGGTGTGCAAAAAACAAGTAGCACCACCACAACGAGCTGCATGTTGGGATGCATGCGATCTAGTGCAAAGACCAGGGAGGAATTCCTGACTCTTCTGCACCGAAGATAATGCCTTCTATGTCTATGACACATACTTGTTACCTTCTTTTTAACAGTGGATGGTATTCATGATTTCAACGGAGTTCGGGGCGGTTTACCTCTCAACAGGTTATTTGGATCTGATTATTCTGATTTTCTACAACGCCACACAGTTGGCAGATCTCTTATTCTTTTATTCTATATACTTCTTCTTATAAGCACTACTTGTATACATCCTGGATTTCTTCATTTCGCTGTCGCTGCAGCAGACCATGCACGATACTTGTCATATTACTTGAGTCATTTTTGTGGAAATACATACAGAACCAATAGAGGGCACACGGAATGACGAAAGGTGAGGGAGAACATTCCTCATGGTAGGATTCAGCTCAGCTATTGGCGTATGACCTTATTACGTTATGAGACGATATTCAATGTCGGTTCAACACTATCGTTGTTTCACGCTAACAATTACATTTTCCCAATACATTTGTTGTCAGTGGGCACCCAGCATCTATAGCAACCGGAATATACCGCAGTGGAGACTGTTGACGCAGCCCAGCTTCCGAAATTCACCTCTTAGTATGAGTAAGAACTGGTTGGTATAATGATTCACTTGTTGAAATAGCTACTGCAGTATTATTGCTCTGAATTTGCATTATCATAGCGGTGTGTACTTTGTGAATTTGAGTGCTAAGTCTGTGCTCACTGTCTCAAGACTGATACTATTTGGATTCACTGGATGCGATGCTTTGAGCTATCTTACGGGAAATACATATTCACTCCAGGGGTTTAAATGTCAATATTAATTTATCTTCTGTCTCAGAAGAGAGTTAGGCCTGCCTTTAAATATCCTGAATCTTGCGTTGAGTGCTTTATACTTCTGATTACTCTGCAAGTATCAATAGTAACAGTCTTCATCAAGCTTCGAAGGTCTGTGTTCCCCGTTTTACTAACACTTGCGAAGTTGTACCTCCACCAGATCGCTGACCATTCTATCTCTTCCAAAGCTCCCTGTTGATGCAAGTGGTGACGAAAAGACCAAGCAACAAGCAAGATGGAGGCGCTAGATGATAAAGATATTGAAGCTGCTCAGACTTTGATTATGCTCTCTACCCCTTCGACGGAACAAGACTCTCGCCATGGACAGCGCACCTCTACAATCGAACCTAGAAGGGGTAGCCATCCAAAGGGCTCGATGCAAAGTAGCACTCCACATGCTGGGCAGAGCATTGATCCAACCACCAATACCTCCATGCATTCATCTATTTCGGACCCAGCTCAGATCTCGACAGACACAATGACAGCCTCAGATAAAGCTCTGCAGGCATACCTAATCCGGCAGCAGCTACTAGCAGGAATTGCGCCTAAGAATATGATACCGATGAGGCCTCCCACAGCTGGTCAGACTCAGGGCGGTAACCAGGACATCGTGAACAGGCCAAACAATCCTTCTTTGGTGCAGATCACGAACAACGGTATTTCAATCCCCCATATACCACCTGCAAGGTTCACTGGTGTACTTCACCCACTTCCTGCTCAGCCAACTCAGGGTTCCCACGGTCCTGTATCTCTTCAGAGACAGTCAATCTTGAGGGGCGGCAGCAATCCTGGCGCGGGTTTGAAAGAGCAACCGCCAGCCCGGGTTCGATCCGAAAATTCTCAAAGCAGGAATACCGTGCCTCACGAAGGATCAAGCGCTTCGGGTGGGCATGAATCTGAGCTTCATGCTAGTGAAGGACCCTGTCAACCCTCTGAAGGGGATCGGATTCGAAGGGCAGAGGCTCGGCGTCCCACGCAGCGAAATAGCCATCTTACCGTGCCTCATCAGCAGGACAGACCACAGCCTCGACTTCAGCTGTTCCCTACCTTAGCCCGCGGCTCGATCAGCCCGCTGACATTGAATAATAATACTATTTCTCCGGATACCGGTAACAAGAGCTCGAATACCACAGCCCTCCCACACAATGGCTTCGACATTCTTCTAGCCTTCACTTATCATCAAGGTCTAGCTCTGGAGTTCACAATGTACCTCAACGTTGAAGAATTGATCAATTTGCTCTCGACCTCCAAGCCGTTCAATCAGTTTGTGAAGAGGAATTGTTTTGATATCATAAAACGCCAGGCGACGAGGGACGCACCCGAATCCTCGCAAATCTTTCCGTTCAGATGTTATTCGAGGCTGTGCATCGATAACACAAATGTCAGGCGACAGCTTATTCCTGCTCGCGACATTGTAGGCGAAAACGGCCTTGCACCGACCTTGTGCTGGTTGCAAATGATCATCTACCGCGAGAAAACAGTTAAGAAAATCATGGAAAACATGCTCGTTGCGGGCCATGGGTTGCCAAAGCCATGTGAGCCAGCCATCAAGAAGCTCTGGTTCCTCATGGATATCCCCGATAACCGACGTCGCGAATGGACGATGATGAACCGCAATTTGTGGCAAGATATCGAAATTTTCTTCGCGATGCTCTTCATTGCCCAGCTCGATGCGCTGTTGAGGGAAAAACGTTTTAATATCACGGGCCGTTTATACCATTTATTGATGGCTCAACCTACTATGACATTGCTTTGGGACGTCTTGAGGGATGTTGCTCTTCGAACCGAGTTCGACACTCTCAAGTCCTTTGTCCGTTGGAAGTATACTCCTTTGCCACATGAGACTGACTTGTACGTTTATGGAGTCCCTCCTCAGGAGGTTGGAGCACTTCAGTATGAAGGATATGGCCGACATGAAAGAGTCACAAAATTTGTCCAGCCCGATGAGCTCATTTTGAGAGAAATGGCCAGGAGGCAGCTTAATCTTGGTGATATGTACAAGAATATCTTCTGGGTTGGTAGCGGGGCTCGTTACTATTCACGGTCCACTCAAGCTGCTACTCCGTGGGATGAAGAAATGAAGCGTGAGGCGGATGCACAAGGTATAGACTGGCAGAATCTTGTCAGATTGAACTAGTCGGGTCTTGACTAGAACGTCAACGACGTCTAGTCAAGACCCGCGCGTCGGCCTTGTTTATTTGATGTGGGACTGTGGGATGGCTGTTTGTATAGGGGGATTGTAATGGGACCTTGTTCGCAGTACAGAGACTGCCTATGTTCCCTTGTGCCTTTCTTTTTTTTCTTTGAACATACGTGGGGAAATGTTTCGATTCACTGCTGTGGCGATATGAATTTTTTTAACCCAGTTTTACCCAAATACGGCAAAAGATTTCACCAACAGCATGATAAACTGGTCTTTCGTGTACACTAAAACACTCGACACTTAGGAAATTCAATCTCAGCCTTGTTAAAAGTAAGATGAAACTTATATCTTGTTTACATGGGTATTCATTGGGCTACCAGAAAATAGACAATAATTTATATGTTTAATACAAATTAGACAGAGAATCTCATGATGCTTGCTATAATATCCAACAATAATATACTAGGCTTTACCAAGCATGTTTATCTATACTCAATTCAAATTCAAGCTGCCTACAAAAAGATCAGAGGAATCTATAGCCAATGACCATGAACTATACTGTCTCAATAATAGTGCCCTTTGTAACAGGAGTCATGTATACCAGATTGAGAGATTTTACAGTTAGAAAAAATGAGTGATAGGATATTGAGCTAGGTTAGGCTTTACACATACCCTTCTTAAAAATGTTATAACTACAATCGAGCTACATGAGTAATGGTTACACAGTTCATTCATAACGTACACTAGAGGCCATGTTGATACCTGAGGCATTAATGTAGGTGGACTCTTCCGCGGCCCGCCGGATCACGTGGATCGCACTCGGTACTCCAAGTCCAAGCCTACAGTAACCTCGACCTCCCACCAAGTTCGCCTAAACATCGTATGCGATGAGCTTGCATGCTCTGGGCCCCCACACTGAGATGTGGCGATCGATCAGGCTTCGCGATCGACCGGATAGGATCGTATGGCCTGCCTAGTGATGCCTGACCCTACCAGGGTTGCTCGATACCGCGATGCTCGGTTTGTTGGGTTGGTCCCGACCTACTCACTAATTCCGCATCCCCACCGCCCATTTACACGTCATGAGCCAACACTTCGCGCCCATAAACGTCTCGATTAGGCAAGAAATCTAGACATTTCCGGGGCAAGAGACATTAAAACATAGTTTCTTCTACAATATACCTTTGCTTGTTTCTCTTCTCCATTCTTTCGATACAACTACTAACAGGCGTTCTGCGGGAATCTGTTATTCTGGGAAACAAGTGCCGGTGACAATTCCGGTCTTTTCGCAAGCTCTGCGAGGTTCCTTTATCAGGTATGTATTCCCACGGGTTCTTGATTCTAAATCGCTCTAGGTTGAGGATGAGCGTGAATGGTCCGCAAATAGAGCTTGGCTATTCCTCAGTTCGACGAGGTGTACCTCGCCATATTGGTAGATCTTACAAGTGTTTTCGCCCTACAGCAAGCCTTGCTGCTACCCATTGAAGTGGAGCATGACTGGGAGTGCCTCATATTTGTGATTATTTTCAAGTAAAAACACAGATGACATTGTCGTTGTCTTTCTTTTGGGCGAGACAGATTTATATCTTTGTTGACTGAAGCACCGAAAGAAAGTTCTGCAGTGCCCTTTCAACATCTACATGCCACGCATCATTGTTGGGGATCTGGTGTATCTCTTTATTTTTCACCCGTTTGGCCTTAATGTGCGACGCAGTGAGGGACTGTCAGGTGTCTTGAAAGGCATCCAGCAATCACTCCATCACTGCATACTAACAAGATCAGGATACCACCTTGTGGATTTTGCAGCCAACAATGACGCAATCCTTCTTTGGCAGATTCATCTGCCTCTCTGTCATTTCTTCATTGTTGGCTTATTGCATCCCGTAGATAGGCCTGTGTGTTACGAAGTGAAGAGGTATTCACTTGTATCCACACTTGGAGACAACCTTACGAAGCCGAGAAGCTCAGAGATTTGGGGTGGGAGGGATGGCCAGAGAGGAAACAAGCCAAGAACTCATACGTCAATCACGACTAACACATCCAGACTTCTCGAAAGGAGGAAGAAGAAGAATTAAGCAAAGGGAAGAACAGGATTATTCGAGCGAGATCCTGAGGGCAAACAATAGCTTCCTTTGATCGACACATCGACATTAGCCGTGAAGCCAAGACCACGACGCTCTGAGGGAAACCCAGACTGTGTTAGTGGTTATTCTGTGCTTTTTACTTTGCCTCGGGCTCAAGGCATCCGAGAATTTCTGATGACTGCAGCTCTTTCCTGTTATCAGTTGCGCGACCGTTGGCCACTATCGTAGTAAACCCGCACTGCAGGCGAAAGAACCAGAGAATGAGGAGACCAGCATGGGAATGACCGATTGACGAGCCGCCCGTCAGTCGCCCACCTGATTTCCCTCCCGCCAGGACCACCACTTAAAATATACTTGTCAAGAAAGTAGATTGCCGTCACCACAACTTTGATTTTATTCGTATGCACTCAATAAAAAAGAGGAAAAGAGAAGAAAGGAGAAGGGAAGAGAACCCAAGCCCACACCCAAACAGCGAGGTGCGTCTTCCCCTTAGAGAAAAGAAGAAAGGAAAAGAAGCCAACCCCTCTTATCTGCTAAACGTTTTTGATTTTGAAAGTTCTTGAGGTTTGACGTTCTGTTCTTTCTCAGATACAGGGCCCTTCTCTTTCCACCCCGGAAAAACCAGGCTTCCGCACTACCCGACAGGAAAGCATTCAGTGAACGCGGCCGACACGCCCGGCAGACTAGACGAACGATAGGCTCCACCGGAATCTCCTGCGCTTATTATCTATATGCGAATCCTTCTATCTCTCAGTGGTCCAGACCATCTGATTCTGACTGCCTCCCTACCTTCATTTATTTAAACCAGATGCAGTTGAAGAAGTTTACATGGCTGGGTCCCGTAGGAGTCCGGTGTTGAGAGACCAGTGGAGAGCCTCCAGCAACACTACAGACCAACGAGATCGGGAAAGGCACAGATCTCGAGGATCGCACCGCGATAGGGGGAGGGAGAGATACCGTGAACGACAACGTCGTCGCCGACCCAAAGGGGGCGGACCCGACCACTTAGGACGGTCGCCGCCACCGCGTTCTTTCGCGCAAGCGGATAACGAAGAACATCGTTCACACCGTGAATTTTCCCCTGGTACTGCGTCGGCTCTAGCCTCCCCTGGTCCTCCACCGTCAGACTTCCAACCAAGCCAGAACTTTGGTCGTCACTCTTCGCCCAAACCGACTGAGCATCCCGATCTAGACTCGCACCATTCTCTGGAGGTTGATAGGCCGATCGAGCGGGACTACCACAGAGATCAATCTCCCTCTGCACCCCCTCCATCAAAACGCAAAAGAACACGAAGTCCTTCACCTGGGCTGTATCCCCGTCACTCTACTCAAGAACCTCCTCGTCACCCGTATAGTAGGCCGGGTGACGACTCTGAGCGAGGTTTTCCTCATAAACGGGGCCGAGGACGTTTCCCAGGTCGCGGTAGAGCAGGCCGAAGGTCACCGCGACGAGGGAGAGACCGCCGGAAGGACGAGGCTGGCCGACGAAATTCTTCCCGCCCAAGACACTCGAAGTCTCCCACTCGTGGTGCGAAATCTTACAACCACCCCCGTCGTCGGTTGCACAGCCCCCATCCTGAAGACGATATTGATCGCGACCTGCGGCATCGGTCTGTATCTCGCCATTCAGCAGAGTCCGTGGGTTCAAGGTTATCTATTGCCTCCCGGCGGGAGTCTATAGCTATGCATTCGGCTAGACCAATCCAGTCTGCAGATAACCCTCTCAGATCCCCCTCCCCCCCTGGCACAATTCCAAGCTTTGGTGTTGAGACTACTGGTGCTTTGGTAGATGGAGATGCCCCACGTGAGTCCGTTTCGATGCATGGGATGCGGGCATCTGATGCACGGGACGCCAAGAGCTCAAACCCCCGTCCGCATCTTGATTCCAGACAATATTCGACATCACCGCAATACGTGACCCCGTCTAATTCCTACCATGGTTCCCCACAATCCACCTCTCCGTACTCTGGTGGACGAACCGGTTGGAATGGGCAGCAGCCTCCGCACCCTGGGTAAGTGTTTCTTCTTTCTTTTATTTTTTTTTTCTTCCCCTTTCTTCGTCTTCCTGTCTTATAGAGGAGCTCTTGCAATAGTGCTGACCTGGACGCAATGTTTAGTCGTTCTCCTCCGTACAGACAGCCACCGACTGGTCCACAGAGCCAGTTTTATCAAGGCCAAAGCCAATTTCATCCGTCTGCGAATCATATTCCCACAGGTCCTCGTGGAGGCTATCGCGGAAACTATCAGAACCAAGGAGGCGGCCGTAGATTCTCTGCTTCAGGCTCCCAAAACTACAGCAATGTACCTTCCCCGCGTGGCCGGGGTAATTTTACCAGTTTTCAGTGGAGTGGTCCCCGGGGTCGGGGGCCTCATAGCCCACATACATCACATAGGCAGACGTCACAAACCCCTCCACCTCCAGCAGCCTCAGAAAATGAAACATCTCTTGGACCTGATCAGAGTAATGTTGCTTTCAGGCCTGGTGGCCAAGATCGCCCGATAGGCGAGGAAAAGCCCGAGTCAGAGGTCGACGATACCCAGAAAATACTACCTACGAATATAGGACAGTCTGATACCTCTGCGAACCCAAATAAGGGAGGCAAGATCAGTTTTGCTTTCAAGGCGAAGACAACTCTAGCCCCTGCTCCGAAACCTGTTCCCGATCTGGCACAAAGGATGCTGGCCCGAGAACCACCTGCCCGGGTTGCCGAGCCTCCGCGTAATCGGATGGTGAGTGGTCCGCCTCCCAAATTCAAGCCTGAGTCACGCTTTGATCGTCGCGAGCGAGACCGTGAGAGGGAAAGGGACCGACATCGTGAAAGGGATCGCGACAGGGGGCGTAATGACCGGCGCGATTTCCGGGATCCCCGTGGGTTCCGTGATCCTAGAGATAGGCGCGACGGTCGAAAGGATGACCATCGCTTTGATCATCGCCATGACAGGAGAAGAGGTGACCGACGACAGGATTTTCGTCCTGAACGCCGCCGGGATCGCTCTCCAGAACCCAAGAAGCAACCTAAAATTCTGACACGGCCGAAACCACGTCCCATACTCTCTGAAGAATTCGCTAAATCGGACTCCGTTTATTATCGGAAACCTGGAAATGAATCTGTCATCGGAGCTGGCACGTATGGAAAGGTCTTCAAAGCAATCCACGTGTATACCCAGAAAAAGGTGGCATTGAAGAAGATACGAATGGAGGGCGAGAAAGATGGTTTCCCTGTCACGGCTGTGCGCGAGATCAAGCTGCTGCAACACCTCCGCAACGACAATGTTGTGAGCTTGCTGGAAGTCATGGTAGAGAGGAATGAGTGCTTCATGGTCTTTGAGTATCTCTCCCATGATCTTACTGGTCTCATCAATCACCCGACTTTCACACTTACGGCAGCTCATAAAAAGGACCTGGCGAAACAAATGTTCGAAGGATTGAGCTACCTTCATCATCGTGGAGTGCTGCATCGCGACATCAAAGCCGCCAATATTCTTATCAGCAACCGCGGACAACTAAAATACGCCGACTTCGGTTTGGCCAGATTCTTCTCAAAGAGTCGACAACTTGATTACACAAATCGTGTTATCACTATATGGTACCGACCGCCGGAGCTTCTCCTGGGTGAAACCAGGTACGGACCGGCAGTTGACGTTTGGAGTGCGGCTTGCGTGTACGTCGAAATGTTCACAAAGAAAGCCGTTTTCCCCGGCGAGGGGGGCGAGATCAGCCAGATGGAGAAGCTCTATAATTGTCTCGGGACTCCGACACGAGCAGACTGGCCAGACATTGTTGAGATGCCTTGGTTCGAGTTGATGCGGCCGACTGAACGAAAGCGAAGGGTCTTTGAGGAGGTGTATGGGCAAATCCTAACCCCAGCGGCTCTAGACTTGGTTTCTCAAATATTCCGTTACGACCCGACTGCACGGCCAACTGCTGAGGAGATACTTGCACATCCGTACTTTGCTTCGGAAGAGCCTAGGCCCCAACAAGCCATTGAGTAAGTGTTCAAGTGGTATGGTATTTTCTAAATGTGTTATCTAACAGAAGACTAGACTGGAGAACATTGAGGGCGATTGGCATGAATTTGAATCCAAAGCACTCCGCAAAGAGAAGGACAGGGAAGCTCGCCGCGCTGAGTATCAGAGAGACAAAGAGAAACGGAAAGCTGGTGGTACTTCAGCTCCACCCAGCGAGAGAGAAACAAAACGTGCCAGGCAAGACGCCGAGGACTCGCAATCTTCAGCACAGCCCACGGAACAATAGGTCAAAACCGGTTACATGCGTTGCATCACTGGGATGCAATATTTGCGTGGGGACTTGGAGTTCAAGAAATTTCCACGAGAAGAATTATGGTCACGCGTTCCGACAGCAAATATCCAATTCTTATTGTTATTTACCACTGGGGCTATTATAGTGTAGTGAATGTATAGAATTTCTCCCATTCGAGATGCACTGGTTTTTATATATTTTCGTACGCATCTGTTATTTTTCTACAGTTTAGGCGCCCAACCGAGGGAGCAATACAATCAATCTACTATTTGCTGGTCAGTATTTAATGAGCAACGCATATCAGAACAGCTGGGCATATGCCATTGAAACCAAGTGCAACAGATCAGACTTTGCCTTTTGAAACCTCACACTCAACCAGCTTAGCCAAAAAAAGGCAGTGTAGAAAAGCGGTTGAGCACCTCGGCTTACCAGAGAATGAATTTTTCCTCATGACTGGTGTTTCAAAGCACGGCGGCCGAGAATTGGCAGAAAAAGAAGTGAACGCACCAGCGTGATAGCTACCAACCATGGACGGTAGTAACAATGGGGGTGGCTTGTCGTTCTTGCTTTTATGTATAAGGTAGAATATAAAACATTTTCTAATTATGAAAAGGTATGTCCCGTCATACAGGTCATCACCGCATCATGGAAGCCGAGAAGCCCTCGTGATGATGGTTTTAGAAGCGGGTTTGAATAGTTGTTCTCGACACACTCATCGGAGTCGCCAGTGCAGTGGAGTAGAAAAAACGTTGCAGCTAGCGATGATTTGAGTTGGTGGTCTTGGGTTATGGTAAAGAAGAAAGGAGAGAAAGGGAAGGAAGAAGGGAATTTAAAGGGAAAAAAGAAGGAAAAATGACGGTGCGGGTGGCCGAGAGCGGGGCTCGACGGTGATTGGACCAGGGCGGAGCTCGAAGAAATGGACGAAACGCGAAGGGCAATAATTATCCATTTCTTCCAATCGAGCGGACAGTGACTTTGAGTTCTTCCAGTTCAATCTTGCAATCCGCATTCTTCCCCCCCACCTCTGCTTAACGTTCACGATCACGATCACGATTTTTACTCCCTTTCTTTAGCTTCCGTTGTTCTTGCTCAACATCTTGTTTAATTAGTATATTAGTCGCTTTTATTCTTCCGCTTTTTTCTCTCGAACTGCCACTATCTACCTTTCGTCTCCATTGAACAATTTAGCGCTTTCCAGATATACGGTATCATTCGGTTTTTACCCTACGCAGTTAAGCCGCCAATTTCTCCGTTCTATTGCCTGATGACCGCTCGTTTTCTGAGCCGTCTCATTAGGTAGCTATCATGGATAACGCAAATCTTTGGACTCGCCGATCCAAGTACGTATACGTCCTTTTTTCTCTCTCTCTCTCTCTTTTACTTTTTGGAACATTCTTCATCCTTGTTTCATTTTCGACATTGGTGATTTTTTGAGGGGTCATCGCTGATCGTTTCACCGCGTCCCAGCTCCTCTAAGTTGTCTCTGTCTATGACGGGAACAGACGGCAAAGACGGTGCCAGAGTCGAACTTCCCCGCACAAAGCGTTTTGGTCCTGATAGCTCCCACGGTCGATCGAATCCCTTCAACGCTCTATCTCCTCTTTCGGGCGGTGTGTCCTCCCCGTCGACGAACGCCTCGTCTGCATTCGGCCTGGGATCCGGCGCCTTTGCATCTTTCGGTGCCCCCAAAACTCCCGGCGGCTCCGACCTCAAGACGCCCCTCGAGAAACGAGACAACCCGACGGAATACGACTCGGCGGAGGGCACGAAGACGAGAGCCACTAGTTCTGTCATCAGAGAACACCCTCTGAAATCCACCTGGATCATTTGGTACCGTCCACCCACGCCTAAATACTCCGACTACGAAAAGTCAACCGTCCCCCTTGCATCTATATCCTCGGTCGAAAGTTTCTGGTCGATATATTCGCACTTGAAGCGGCCTTCTCTTCTACCCACTGTTTCCGACTATCATATCTTTAAAAAGGGTATTCGCCCTGTATGGGAAGATGATGCCAACAAGAAGGGTGGGAAGTGGGTGGTGAGATTGAAGAAGGGTGTTGCTGATCGGTACTGGGAGGATCTTCTCTTAGCTATGGTTGGTGACCAGTTCGCGGAGGCTGGTGATGAAGTTTGCGGTGCTGTCCTCAGCGTACGGAGTGGCGAAGACGTGTTGAGTGTCTGGACCAGGATTGACGGTGGGCGCAATATCAAGATCCGGTAAGCTTTATTGTTGGATTTTCTTTTCGGGGCTCGTCTTGAAAACTTTTCGTTCTGTTTTCTAATGCAGCGCAGGGAAACGATCAAGCGTCTTCTCAGCTTCCCGATCGATACCAACATTGTCTGGAAGAGCCATGACGACAGCATTGCTCAACGCTCTGCCATTGATCAAGCGCGTCAAGAGAAGGCCGCCGGAAACAACGGCCACCACCATCATCACCACCATCACCATCACCACAACAACAATAACAACAGCAATCCACATCACAATCTAGGTACAGATCGACGAAGAGTCACGGCTAATGATGACTCTACGGGAGATAAAGGAAAGGGTGCGGCGTCGTGACATGATTATCTGAGCCTGATTTATGGTCCTGTATAGTAAAGAAAACAAAAAATAATTGGGACGATTTGGGATCGGGGCATTGGGGCGAATAGTGCGTCTGTTTTGACTTGGGCTTGATTTCATTTCTCGTCATTGTTCTATTTTACGCCAGATGCTATACAAGTTCACGGGAACTTTTAGGGGACGCCTGGTACATGAAGCGCGATCACTGCCAGGTGATTTACATTCGGACTGAAATGTATCTATTGTAAAGCTTTAGTCTTTTGATCTTAGTGTGGAGTGTAAAGTGCAAGAGTACTAGTAGTAGTATATTAAAGATCATTCTGAGACTCGAGTTGCTAACGTTTGTAGTGTTTGTCGAGACCTTGGTACAGTTATTGGTTGTTTTTTGCTTTTTCTGAACTCTACCTCATTGATGGCTGCAAATTAAATTCCCGCATGAACAGACTGCGGGCAGAAAGAGTTCCCACCGCCTTTTTTTCTTCCGTCATGATGCTTTCTTTCTTGTCAATTACGTTTCCCCTCTATGTGTACGGGAATCGAATGTCTGCTGAACTTGTCCCGGTGATGCAATGATCTTTAGTGTGAATACATGTTTGGGAGGATTTCAGAATTCTTGTCCAACTGGATCCCCAGTGAACCGACGGAATCCCCACCAACCACAGTCAACCATTTCCCATTTGATGCGACCTCCGACCAAGTGCGACGGACACAGACGTCCGGTGAGAGGACTGGATCTCTGCCTGTAGGGTCTTCTGTTGACACACCTATTCACTCCCCAGATGTATGTGGCCTTTTCTGTAAATTTCTCTAAAGGTTTTCTCTAGTACAACCGAACTACATGGTCGACTTCGGAGATTCATATCCAACTCCGTCGGGGGGGTGGGACTATACCTATGGGCTAATTTTCTTTACTTTTTTTTTTAGATTCAATCAACCCATAGCTATGCCGAAAGACCCCAACGTTCTGAATCTGTACGTTTACAACTACGCCAGACCATTCCTCGACCGGGTGTAGGGATGCGGCGTCTGTAAATATGACCTCGCAGCGCAAAAGCGATTCCGAGTATGCTGATACGTTGGGCGGTAGACTTGGAGAGGATAAGTCGACGCGGAACCAGAAACGCCTACCTACTCAAAACGACGAAGAGAGATTATTGCCCGGCAATACCATACGGTACGTCTTGCGATTGTCATATCGGACTCTGATGGCCTAGCGAACGCGGAGCTTACAGGTGGTTATTTTTCCAGGTCCGACCCTGCTGCGGTAAAGATTGTACCTGGAAGTGTGGGGCAAAAGTATGGTCGCAAGAGTAAATTGGTATGCGATCGGATTCCGGGCTATTGTTCGTCCTTCTTCTAACTATATATGTCCATAGAATATTCAAGCGTTCAAACCTTACGATACAATTTCACGGCGTGTTCGAGAGAGTGGACCAGTTCGCGCGCGAGGGAAAGCAGACCAGAGCAGCAGCAATCAAAGAAGTACTAGAGGTATCGTCACCCGTCCAGGAAATGGTGTCGTACACGACGATCAGGAGCGGCCGTCGAAACGTCGGCGCCGAGAGAGCCAGGACACTTTTGGAGGGGTCATAAGCATTCCCGACGATGATATAATGGAGCAAATCCCCCCAGATAGCTCATACCTCGATAGATACTCGAACCGTTTATCGCCTGCACTTAGTCAACATTCGGAAAGAACAAAGCTACGGGATCCGAATTCTAAACGCAATAGAGTTGACGAGTATCGTGACGTGGAGAGGGGCATTAAACCCCCTCGAACTCCCAAGCCAGGCTCGATAAAGTACCCTCAATTATCTTCGGATGAATACTACGAAGAGCGATTTACTGAAGACGCAGCCAGAGAAAGGCGTGCAATGGCGTCAGACGTGGAACCGGAGTCAACCAAATTGGCGTGGCCAGATCGAGCGGGAAAACATGAAGCTATTGAGAGTATTGAGGTACATTCGCCTCCGTTGAAAGAACAACAAGATGGACCGAATCTCGATTGTCCTTCCGTTGCAACAGATCAGAATCATCTAGACAATTCGAGGGACAGCCCTGATGAACTGCAAGGAGGCGCAACCGTCCAACCAGCACCCATGTTACTGAAAAGAGGCCGTGAAAAGGACACCAGCATTGCTATGTCTGGACTCAAAGAACATCCGGGTGTAATCGGTCGGCTGGCTTCTCCATCCGATATACAGCCTACGATATTCACAGGCTCCTCCCAAACCCATCGGAAATCCGACAAACGGAGAAAGGCCCCGACCACACAAGTCAAATTAGCCGTTAAATGCTTCTATGCCACCTTCGTTCGATTTGGGCTTGATGAACACCGGTCAAGTGAAGCATTTGAAATAAATGTGGAGACTACAGAGACTACAGAGACTACAGAGACTATTATAACATATCCTTGGAACGGTGAAAGAATTTCTCTTGGGAGGCTTGACAAGGTCGTACAAGGGAAGCCGCCTAGTCGGAGAGTTCGGCTACTGTTTTCCAGAAAAGGGGGGCTTGATAACGAGATGGACATGGAATTTTCCACGTCCGAGGAGCAGGAAACTTTATGTAATCTCTTACAGAGATTGCTGCATGGGCAACATGTCCAGCTGCAGTACAAGCGCGAGTATGTCTAATCTACAATCCCATCATTTTGACTCTTTGCACAAAAGCTTATACAATCACAGCGATTGGTTGGAAAATTCATTCATGAGACGATCCGAAGATCTCGCGGAAAAGAAAGTGAATGAAGCCAAGCACCTTGGCGAAGACAAGCCAAAATCAACATTGTACAAGGCGCCAGAAGTCGCTAAGAGAGTGAAATTGTCGGATTCTTTGCAAGACAATAATGAGAATACTGCCGGACAAATACAGCCTTCGGATACCGCTTCGGTGGAATGTTCCAAATCCTCAGCAACAAAAACTCCGGGAACCTTGAACGCCCTAAGCACACGAGAACCACCCTCAAATGAACAGGGAGCGGACAAAGTTCCCGTGAAGAAATCTTCCCCCAGATCATCATTCTCTAATCGGGCAACACGGTCAATGTCGCGTCGGGCACCAGCAACAACAGTCGTCTGGTGAGTGGCCCCTTGCTATGAAAAAGGTTCTCAACTAACTTGAATTGTAGTGATGATGGAGTTGAGGACGATGGCTCTCAGCCAAAGGCTGAAGAGAAAGATAAGAAGTGGCATAAGTATGTGCCCCTCCTTTGCTCTGTGCGTCTTTGTATTAATCAAATGCCAGACCGCTTGTGTATCCCCGCTTTGGCAAGAAAAAAGCTGAGGTTGATGCCCAAGACCGTGAACGGCTGCGTGATAACGAGTTCTTGAATGATAACCTCATAGGCTTCTACATGCGTTTTCTTGAGGATCACTTAGAGCGGACTAACAAGGAGGTAGCGAAGAGAGTATATTTCTTCAACTCGTACTTCTTCGCAACCCTGACAAACGCCAAGGGCAGAAGAAATATTAATTATGAAGGTGTCCAAAAGTGGACTCGCGCCGTTGACATTTTCGGATTCGATTACATCGTGGTCCCTATCAATGAAAACGCACACTGGTACGTCGCTATCATTTGCAACTTGCCGAACTTACCTGGTATTGCCAACGAAAACACGGAGAACCAACAACCTTCTGAATATGACAAGGACAGTTCGGCGGCACCGGAGAGTGAAGGCCGCGAAATCCCCGAAACCCCTGAACCTATCGAAGAGCTACCTGCTGGTATAACAGTGAAGGCCAATGACAACCAAAATTCGGAACCTGCGAAAGAAGAAGCAACCCGGCGGTCATTTGAGACAATGAGCTTGTCAGACAAGGACGAACTTGAAGACAGTGCACCGGACTTGCCCCCTAAAGAGTGGCCAGAGCAAGAAGAGAACCTTACCTTTTCTCCCGCCAAGTTCTCTAGCCCTGCAGCTAAAGTGGAGTCCACCCAAATGGCTAGCACGGCAGGGACTTCTGAGCTAGCAGCGTCTCCCCATAAGGGCTCGAAGAAGAAGAAGAAGGCAAAGCCCAGCGGAAAGCCTGGGGGTGCTCGATTCGATATTCGTCAAGTAACTATAATTACTTTTGACTCATTAGATCTGTCTCGCTCGCCCACCATCAGTAATCTCCGCGATTATCTTTACGAAGAGGCCAAATCTAAACGTGGCATTGAGATCGACAGAAGCTTAATCAGAGGCATGAGGGCTCGTGCGATCCCTTTGCAGTCTAACTATTCAGACTGCGGTCTATACCTTCTAGCATACATAGAGAAGTTTGTTCAGGACCCAGACTTGTTTGTCAGGAAGCTTCTCAGAAGAGAAATGAAGACACAATATGATTGGCCGCTTCTAAAGTCCGGTATTCTTCGACGTCGACTGCGTGACTTTTTGGACGATCTCTATGATGAGCAGGCGCTATTAGACTCTGAAAAAGCAAGTGAAAGGGGAATTCTGGCAGATAAATATCCGATATCTTACCTTCTAGGGTCCTCTACATCGACATCCTCCCAAAACGAAGAATGCAATGACTCGCAGAAGCCGCAACTCAAGGTCTGCTCAAATCCTGAAATAGATCCGCAAAAGCACCCGCTTAGAAAACGGAGACCAGCCTCGAACCAGTCGAGTCCTGCGACATACGACGGTGACCAAGCCTTCAAAGCGGAGAAGGATGGTGCGCATGAAATAGCGCCCAGCCTTAAGAGCCCAGTCGTGGAAATTACCGTTCCAAATGTATCAGGCAAAATAGACCATAAAGTTGTCGAGGTCCAGGTCCCTAACAGTCAGGAGCAAGTTCAGGAAGCCAGCTCTTGTTCGTCGAAGATGCTCAAGGAGAAAGACAAGTCTCCAAACGATCTAGCAGCGATGAAGCCGGTAGATCACAAAGTGTGTCCGGTCGAAAATAAAGAAACGAAAAAGGCTAGGCAGCCAGCGAAGCTTCAAACAGTCGAAGTGCAGATTATACCACCGTCTTATCAAGGCAACATAAAGAATCAGCACTCTGCCAGGCAAAACCCCAAATAGATTTCGGTGAAATCAAGCCTTGACTACGGTTCAATCGCGTCGGTCAACGAAACACACACTCTCTTTTCTTTTCCTTCATTTTTCTTTTCTTCTTTTTTGTGCTTTTGTCTTTTCTGATAACCCCATAGGAGTTGGTACTCGATTCGGCGTTCGGGCATATGAGCAGGAGAACTTACTCTGGGTGCACGAGATACCACGCATTATTTATGGACATATGGATTTACGTTCATGGAACTTCTCGGCGATGCCCACATGTTTGATGTTTCAGCTGTTGGCGTGCTTAAGATTGTACATAATTGCTCTAGACCTGCTTTCGATGGGAGAGATTGTGCTGATTTGGGCCATCTAAAGAACAAAATACATTTGGCCTTCTATGGAAATCTGCTAATGTCTAAAGAAGATATTACCACTCACTTTCATCTGCCCCCACCCACCAGGCCATTTTATCCCTCTTGAATGCCTCGAAATCCCACTCTCCATCCTCCAGCATACTTTCCCCAGCAACATAAACATATGTGACAGCCTCTACCTCCTCCCCTTCATCCGCAAACTCCGCCCCAGCAGCATCCAGAACATCCATCAAATGCCTATCCGTATCCTTCCCATCCAGTCCCCCATCCTTGCCACCCAGCGATTCCCGCAAAATCCTAACCTTTACCTTACTCTTCTCATACTCCACACCCTCAAAGATATCTAATCGATGGACATCACCGTCTGTCAATCCCGAAACAACCGTCCCAAGCACGGCTGCCATACCATTAGCATTCGAATCCGTGTCTGGCTCCGTAGTCGCTGGCTTGGCCGGCACGATGCCTGGGTAGTCGGCTCCCCGCACCCGATGCCGTCGGTACCCGTGCAGAATGGCCGGCCTGAATGTGAGGAGGGCTTTTTGCCAGGGCTCTGGGTCTGGTGAACCGTGAATTACCCGGTGGAGAATTTGAGGGGCCATTAAGGTTCCTTTGCGGAAGTTGTTAGTTTGGGTATATTTACTTGCGTGCTAGGTTGGTTTGGTGGTTTCGTTAGTGGGGTAGATTGGGGTTTTGCGAGTATTGGTGACATGGGGATTCGGTATGGTGGGGTTGTATGAGGAGTGCATGGTTGAGAGTGAGGATTGGGGTACATCTATCGTATCAAGAGAGAGGGCTTACCGTAGAAAAAGAGGACGTGGTCGCCCATTGTGACTACTTTGGGCGTAATTAACTTCACCGGAGCTGCCTGGTATCGCGATCTGGTTGTATTGTGGGGTTGTAGTTCAGAGAAGAAATGATGTAAAGACAGTGGGCTGGGGCTTCTTACTGCCTAGGAGGCTCAATCCTCAGAGAACTAGGGATCTAATGAGCTAAAAGACATACAGAAAGAGAGAATGAAAAAGCAAGGCAGCTATGATAGCTAGCTACTACTTGCTCTTTATATATCTGCTATCTACAACATAGCAAAACGGCCCTTATCGATAAGCCCCGTCTTCCGCTCACCGCCTGCGCGAAAAGGTCCATGTGGCTTCAACAAGCATCATCTCGGAACTCCCTTGTCGCAACAGTATTCCATAGGGAGTTTGCCTCCCTTTTACTTCATAAAACATCCGAGATTGTCTGGCTTGTTTCGTTAATCTGTCAATACCTATACCCGGCCATATTCTCGTCAATTGTATCAAAGAGATAAAGAATTCACCCACCATGCACTCGTCTCTAAATCGAGCGCAGGCCGTCTTCGGCTTCTTTACAACCGTGGCCCTATTCGTCGCTGGTTTTGCGGCGTTGTCTGTCCTGTTATATCCGACCGATGAGGCGAAAGCAGCGGTATCATTGAAGGATGTCAAAGTGTACGTGCAATTCTCTGTGGCTATGTCCATGCAGGTCCACTAACAAGGTCAACACAGAGTCAAAGGACGTCCGCACTACTATTCAAACAAGAAAGAAGAATACGCACAAATGCGCTTCGATCTGGACGCCGGTATGTACCCTTGAATGCCCTCAATCAAAATCCCTGCTCAAGCAAGCAACCAACTAACATCGATCTAGATCTCTCCTCCCTCTTCAACTGGAACACAAAACAAATCTTCGTCTATGTCTACGCCTCCTACTCCTCCTCCGACAAGGAATCCACTCTCCTCCCCCAATCCGAGTCCATCATCTGGGATACCATCATATCGGCCCCGGAATCGCCGTACTCCTTCAATGCTCTCCGTGAGCGCTTCTTCCCGTCCAAGTCCTCTTCGAAACGGACCACCGGTGCCAAGAAGTCGACTAAGAAGGATAAGGCCGCGCCTGGCGTCCTCCGTCTGAGGAACCAGCGGGCTAAGTATCAGATCTCGGATATCACGGGGAAGATGGCGGAGCGGAGTAATGTGACACTTTCTGTTGGGTGGAACGTGCAGCCTTGGGTCGGAGCTCTGTGGTGGAGTCCTGGGTCTGGAGCTGTGCCGAGGACTGATGGTGATTCTGGGACGAGTAAGCCATTCAAGTTTCCAGCGTTGAAGACGAAGGCGAATGCCAAGACGGCGGAAGGCCAGGGTCAGGCGAAGAAGGTGGAAGTCTAGGTTCGTCTTGTGTATTAATTGATCCAGTTAATCATATGTTTTGGATTCAATGGTTGATACGTGTAAGATGCGGCTCGCGGGCTAAATATGGAATTGCAATTTAGGCTGCGATTAATAGAAAACCAAGTGCATTGGTAGGAGTAGCACTCGCAATTATTAATATCTAACCGAAGCTAGGCGTGCTTTTTACGGAAAGAATAACGAATGAATAAGTAGGCCAGGATTATCAGGCATAGGCTTAATGAAACAAGTGTACCGCATCCCTCGTAAGTCGTACCTGCAGCTCCAACTGACTAATTCTGAATGGCACCATAGGTTGTTTCATGGTGACCACCACGCTGGATTCGCTCGGAGTATACACCCGGTGCGCGTCCTGTTGCCCCATCGCGTTGCCTGTAGTATACATATTCAAGGTAGAAGGCGTGGATATGGCCCGGGAGATACCTATTCTGTGTTAGTTGTGCTGTTGACATGGAGTTGAATGTAATCGTGCATATAGGTGGTGACATAGCCATGCTAGTCATCGTGTATTCGGCAGAGAAGACCAGGGATTGGGTTAACAGGGAAGCGTACCCAAGGATCGTCAATAGAATATTAATGAAGAAATCAGCGCTGCAGCCGGAGATGAGGAAAACGCCAAGTGGAGGGACTATCACCACGTCAGTAAACCATCCATTACTATTTCTGTTGGAAAATTGGCGAGCGCTGGATATGGACACGGAGACGGATACGAGCAAGAGTCTGGGGCTATTGGACAGGGGAAAACAGGGACGGCTAGGCGGATAAACTTACTGAACAATGTGACGAGGATCAGGCAAAGCATCGAGCAAGTTCCAGCCATTTTGATTGACCCAAGTGGTGTCTGCTCGTTATTGAGTTTCGGCTGTTGACTTCACGGAGCGTGATTTGCTGGTGTCAAGGTACGTGCCCAGGAAACTGAGAAAGAGAATGGTGAAGAGGAGACCGAATATGTAGATTGGGACGCTGTCGTCTTTAGGGGAATTGAGGCGCTTCATGTTGATTATATACTTGGATTATGATTTGTATTATGGGTAGGAAGATCGACGTCACGTCACACGAGGGCAAGATCCTTTTTTGGGAGAGAGCGATCGGATAAGGCTGAGTTTCTGGATTTTTGTTTGCATTCTTCTTACTAACACGTAGGCAACCTCTTTTTCTCCTTCAGCCCTGCAAGTTCTTCTGGTTGGGAAAAAAAAAGTACATTCCAGATGACGTCATTCCGGTAGGAGCCGGATGAATATCCCTGCGTTTCCTATTCGGGATTGGTTAGGCGTGAAACCTGGGGAAGTGGGTCTGTGGCTAATTTTAAGTCCTTGACTAGTACTACTAGTAGTAGCCACCAAGGTTGTCTGGTCATTTAATATTTCTCTATTGTATAGCTAGTAGGGTTATAGGTATAGGTATCATGTATATAACGGAAAAAACGTCCAAAGAAGCCACGTACTTCATCACACTGCGTCAATCGATGCCCTCGTGGTGACTTGCTCGTTCTTGTTGCCAAGCTTGGATATCTGCAGGAATGCATCCACACCATATCCTTCCAAGCTGTGCAATTCAAGGCTGCCTGCCCAATATTCCGCATACACTCGGCTCATAGGAAGTCCCATGCCCAGGCGAAGGTTTGGCGGCCGTGAGGTAAGAGTGTCAAGTGAGCTCTCTCGGAATGTTTCCTTGTCAGCCCGTTTCCTTTCCTTTGGCACTGTCAGCTCCTGCATAGTGGCTGCCATTGCCGGAACCTGCTCCAGATTTTGAAGCCGTGCTTTACTGTGAGGGCCCTTGTTAAAGGACCACAGGTACGGTAAAACCTCGCGAGGTATGCCTCCTCCCTGGTCAGAAATTCGCATGATAACATGTTGTGGTGCTTCGCATACAAGCACTTCAATAGGTGGTGGCTTCTCAGGCAAACCGGTATACTTTTCACTAACAGCCTGGATAGAGTTTCGTAGAAGCTCTCCAATTATGTATTCCAGGTGGCTTAGCATGTAGGGAAACGTAGCGTCTAGGTGCCCCTGCACGGAAATTTCCGGGATTTGATCGGTTCCTGATGCCTGACGCATCATATCTTGCGCAAGTTTGCCACAACGCTCAATAACCTCCTTTGCGTTGCACTTTAGGAAAACTTCGCCAACGTAGTCCGCATTAACATCCGTGCGATCCTGGGAGCCAGGAAAGTGCCACGGGGAGTTGAACGTTTCTGTTAACGCCAGGTGTTGCTCCGCTATGACTCGGCGGGAGATTCTCTGTTAGGCAACAGTTAGCCACTTCGAAGACATGCTGCGCAACTATTGGAAACTGGCATACCGCGCGAAGCAAAGTGTTCATAAATTGATCCAGCACATCCGCCGGTAGCAGAGCACGGCACTCCAACACACCCATTGCTAATCTTGGGATCACCACAAGGTGTTCCTTCAGCGTCTTTCGCAGGATATCACAAAACTTATCGTTGTCATCGAGTGTTTTAATCTCCGGAATCGTTCGAAACCGTTCAAAGGCTTTATAGTAGAGTTCATATACGAGAGACAGGTGAGGATTAGCTACGACAACGTATGGCAGCCTTTGAATATCTCGTAGGCGATGTGCAAGCCTATCCGCCGAATGACACCAAACCGGTTAGAAGGATGCGCAAGTAGCCATCAGAAGTACACTAACCTAGTCGGAAGCTCCGTTCGCACATAATTAGCCGAACTAATAAGTCGAGATTCTGTCAAAGTGCGCCCAAAAAAGGTCAATTGTCGTAAACTTATGGGTCGGATGTCGCGTTCGACCCACCTAGAAGACATCGCGTCAGCTGCATGTGGTAGTTAGAATGTATGTTTCTAGGGTCCATACTCATCCAAAGCCGAGACAGGTCTCCATGGTGGTGGACTATGGGGTTGAAGCTGATGGAGGCCCGAATAAGGGCGAAGTGTTGGAGCACACGCTTGTCGGAAGGCATGCCAGCGCCCAGCTGGATGACTCCGCAGCATATTGCTTCGCTGTGAACTGGATCAAAGACGTCTCATGGATAGTAAGAATCGCGACACGATGATGTGGTCTCCGACCAGCAAAGTTCACCCAAGATCAGGTCAGGATAAACTTTTCCATACATGGCTCACCGGGTTGTGAAATGTGGTGTCTTTACCAGTGGCATGACATGGTGGTTTTATTTCATGACTTGATGCGGGCGCAGTCGAAGCGGCACTCCGCAGGCGGTGAGAGCTTTCCGTCCTGGCATGTGACGTCCCTGCTTTAAACTCTCTCGTGGGCAGGTTCACGCAGTTTTCCCCCTGGGCATCTGAGATGAATATCCAGGTTTAAACTCGAGATTTTCTACTAGAACTCAATTATCATTGGTATCCTTCTGGGATACTATTTTTGTACCTGAATCATACTGGATAGCTGGTTGCAACAAAGTTCGATGTGAAATAAAGCTGAAGCTTACTTATCTAACTAACTATATAAATGTGACAGGTATATCAGACCTACAATAGTCCCGATGTTCAATGAGCTTTTCCCTCCCATGTTTATCATATCGGGAGGAAAAGGAAATTGCCGCTCTACATTAGAACTTGATTACATCAAATAATTCAATTTACCCGTACTAGACATCCTCTAAACACTTCACGTCCAGGCCTCGGTTAGTTCGAACTCGATCAGTGGCAGAATCAAGTCAGAAGCGAGATGATATCATCGTAGATGATCGTTTGTCCAAGCGATTCACTCATTGTTTGCAATTACCATACCCATATCCAGCAAGAATGGGTACTGAAGGTGGGCGTGAAAACCAATTGAACAGGCATCCGGTCTGCTGCCTGAGGCTCTATATTCAATGTAGTCCAATTAGAAATCGTGTGAATAATTTTTCAAAGACTATTTATTCGATATAAATTTCTATAGTACATACATATATCAAGTACTTTCAGTGCTGGATGTCGAAAAGGTAGCCTATTTGTTTTCGCTTTTCATGCAGTAGTAGTTTAACTGAAAGAATCTTAATAATATTGTCCCGCCGAGGCAAAGCCGTTATTATTGGGTTCTGCGCACTCCGCCACTACCTTAGCTTCAACTCCTTCGGACTGGAACCTCTTCCTGAACCATCTGTCTCTGACCACTCGGCGTCTCTACACGCTGTCAGGTTGACCTCACTCTCTAAATTTTTTTTCTTGCCCCCTTCACTCTTTTCTGTACATTTGACCCCATTCTAAACCCAGTACCGAAACGAGTGTGTCCCTAGATTTAAGTGCGTGGGCGCACTGTTTTTTCCTCTATGGATAACGTAAGTCTTTGTCTTCAACGCTCCATCGCCGCCTTCCTTTGTACCGAAGAGCAACGACAAATGCTTTTGCCTCACTTCAATACTAGAAATACCTAGCTGATTGTGGGATCACCTCCTTAGGTCCCAGATAATGAAATGCTCGTCGACGAATATGAGCAGTATCACAATGACAGAACGGACGATGTTGTTGTCTCTCGGTCCGGATCGGAGGAGCCGGAGCCAGAGCCTCTTGCAGACGATTGTAAGGACTACTTCTATATGATACCTATCTCTTGAATTTGCTTCCTTTAAGTTGGCCATGAAAGTTTATGCGTACCCTCGTCGCGGGGTCGGAGGTTCCACTCGAGAATATATGATGACAGCATTTCCTCGCCTATTTGGGACGTCTTCTAACGCAAATTTCCGGTATAGATGCAGCGATGATGGCACGAATCCTTCCTAAAGATCCGGAGTTGGAAACCGAAGAGAGGCGCATCATACATGGCATATTAAGGACTGGCGCAAGTTGAAGAAGAAGGAACATGGACCGACATTCCAATGCGCAGGATTTCCATGGTGGGTGCACAACTTGGTCGCGGTCTGCCGCTCTGTCGTATGGTTTTAATAATGGCGCATAGGCGAATTCTCTTCTTCCCATATGGAAACCACGTTGAGCATGCATCGTTCTACTTGGAACATGCATGGGAAAATGAGCCACCTGAAAATTGGTACGCTTGCGTTCAATTCGGCCTTGTCCTGTGGAACGTAAATGACCCATCCATCAAAATCTCTCATGGTACGCGTGGCATCTATGTGTAAGATATACCACTTGCTGATTTTGATTAGTTGCGACTCATCGGTTCAACGCGGATGAGGGAGACTGGGGATTCACCCGATTTTGTGAACTACGGAGGCTGTTCAACGTACCATGGGAAGGCCGTGGAGTATCTCTTGTGCAGAATGATGAAGCTATGGTTACTGCCTACGTTCGTGTCGTTAAGGATCCAACGGGTGTCCTGTGGCACACCTTCCAAAAGTATGTCATTCAGAAGAGCTTTCGTCGAGAATGATACTAAACCCTTTTAGCTATGACTCGAAGAAAGAGACTGGCATGGTTGGATTAAAAAACCAGGGTGCCACCTGTTACCTCAACTCACTTCTACAGTCGCTATACTTCACCAATGCATTCCGAAAGGTATGTGACTGAGTACTTTACGCGCATTGAGTGTCTGCCAATTAACTTTCTCGAAGGCCACATACCAAATTCCGACTGAGGCGGAAGCCTCCCGGGATAACAGTGCTTGGACATTGCAGAGGTTGTTCTATAATCTCCAAACGAATGAAAACCCTGTTTCAACAGCTGAGCTTACTGCATCTTTTGGCTGGGAGTCGAGACAGATTTTTGAACAACAGGATGTCCAGGAACTGTCGCGCAAGCTCATGGAGAGACTCGAGGAGAAAATGAAAGGCACGCCAGCGGAGAAGGCATTGCCGGAGTTATTTGTCGGAAAGACGAAGACTTACATTTCCTGCATAAATGTCGATTACGAATCCTCTCGAGTGGAAGACTTTTGGGATATTCAACTCAATGTAAGGAACAACAAGACTCTGGATGACAGCTTCAAGGATTACATTCAAGTGGAAACGCTCGAGGGCGAAAACAAGTACGACGCTGGGCCACCGTACGGTTTACAAGATGCCAAGAAAGGTGTTATCTTCGAAAGCTTCCCCCCCGTCCTACATCTTCATTTAAAACGATTCGAATATGACATCAACCGCGACGCTATGATGAAAATTAATGATCGACATGCATTCCCTATGGAATTTGATGCCACGCCTTACCTCTCCAATGATGCCGATAAGTCAGAGCCGTGGATCTATCAGTTACATGGCGTGCTGGTACACAGTGGTGATTTGAACGCAGGTCATTACTACGCTTTCTTAAAACCTACTAAGGATGGATACTGGTATCGATTTGACGATGATAGAGTTACCCGAGCTACTGACAAGGAAGTCCTTGAAGAGAATTATGGTGGTGAATATGAGCTGGCCAACGGTGCACCCGGCGTCAAGCAACCTTACACGCGTGGTCTATCAACGAAGCGCTCCATGAACGCTTATATGTTGGTTTACATTCGGAAGTCAAGGCTGGGCGATGTACTTCTTCCCATAATGAAAGAAGACATCCCGTCTCACATCGAGACGCGCCTGGTTGAAGAACGCGTGGAGCTGGCACGCAGGAAAAAGGAAAGAGAGGAAGCCCATTTGTATATCAATGTTGGAGTCCTGAATGAGGAGTCTTTCAAATCTCACCACGGATTTGATCTGACGAGCCTTGACCTACCAGCTGGAGACCCGGCACTTCCGAAGCAATACCGGATACTCAGGGCTCTAAAGGTTGGCGAGTTTGCTGAGCAACTTGCACAAGAAAAGGGCATTGATGCCAACCGAGTTCGATTCTGGGTCATGGTAAACCGTCAGAACAAGACAACTCGACCAGATCAGGTTATTAAGGATCCAGATATGACAGTGGAAGAGGCCTACAGCAGATTCGGTACGAAAGGGAACCCGTTCAGAGTTTGGATGGAGGTCGGACAACCCTCCGCGGATGGAACGGTTTCTTGGCCAGACAGCAACAACTCGGTGCTAGTCTTCTTGAAACACTTTGATGCCCCGTCGCAGATATTGTCGGGTGTTGGTCCTGTATATGTTCGCAAAAATCAGAAGGTAGCTGAGCTTGCCCCAGCAATCCTTGAGAAGATGGATTGGCCTGCCGGTACAGAGTTCATGCTGTTTGAGGAAATCAAACATAATATGATCGACGTTATGAAGCCAAAGCAGACCTTCCAGCAATCCGAGATCCAGGATGGCGATATCATTACATTCCAGAAATCGATCAAGGAAGCGGACTTACCTTCCACTGCTCTCTATCAGGATGCGCGACAGTACTATGACTACCTTTTGAATCGGATTAGCGTTACTTTCGCCCCTATAAAGGCTGGCGAAGGCGATGAATTTACTTTAACCCTGAGCCGCAAGATGACTTACGACCAGTTCTCTAAGAAAGTTGGTGAACATTTGAACGTCGAGTCTACGCACTTGCGCTTCGCTCCTGTCATGGCAAGCACGGGGAAACCCAAGCAATTCATCAAACGCAACCCAAACCAAGCGAACCAGACCCTCTATCAAATCCTCAGTGGAACAATGGCCGGATATGGGTATAGCATGCACCGTTCTGATGCACTGTATTATGAGGTTCTGGAGACAAGCTTGAGCGACTACGAGTCCAAGACTTCCTTGAAAGTGACCTGGCTTCCGGAAGGCATTACGAAAGAGGTAAATCAAAGAGATCTTTGCCATATTGTAAATCAATGCTAACATTATACCAGCAAGTTGTGGAAGTCTTGGTACCCCGGGATGGCACCATTTCAGATCTCCTCAGCGGATTGCAAAAGAAGGCAAATATTGATGATGACACGATCCGTGAAGTTAGGATCTATGAGACGCACGCCGGTAAAATTTATAGAGACTTCGTGGGAGATGCCAAAATTGCCGGTATCAACGAGTTCGTAACACTATATGCCGAAGGAATGCCCGAGGAAGAGATCAATATGGGAGAGGGCGAGCGCACAATTAACGCCTATAACTTTGATCGTGATTTGAACAGGCCACATGGTGTGCCGTTCAAGTTCGTTCTCAAACCGGTTAGAGGACCTTTTTATGAGCTGGATTCGTGCTGCATGCTAACGTTCCATAGGGCGAGGTCTTCAAAGAAACAAAGGAGAGGCTTTCCAAGCGGACTGGCATCAAGGGTAAACAATTTGAAAAGATCAAGTTTGCTGTGGTTCCTCGTTCACTATACTCAAACCCGCGATATCTTGAAGACGGTAAATCTATCGACCCTGCGTAGTATACAAATGCGAGCTAACATGTTTATCCATCTAGATGATATCCTTTCCGACATTGTCGGCGATTCTGACGACCTCCTTGGCCTCGACCATGTAAATAAGAACCGCAGCTTTTGGAACAGAAGTGAGTCGTTTTTCATCCGATAGACGGGCAGGTCTGTGCTTGTGAGTGTATGAGATTAGTGCACAATTACCTTGCAATTAGCGGGAAATGCATATGGAAATTCGGTATTCTGGCACACACAAACATGTTTATGAAGAGCTTTATACAATTGAATGAACTTGTGGACATCCTGTTTATCTGTCTTTTACGTTGTCTTTTCCTTTGCTCTCTGTAGACGGGCGGATCTCGATGTTGCCATGATCATAGTCTGTTTAAAAGCTACTTTGAGGACTTTGATTTGATGCATGCCAATGTGAACTGTGTCCTTACATTGCTGTTATGAAAGAAAAAAAATAAGAAATAAAGAATAGAAAGTAATAAGGCAATAGCTTGAATCCTCTTTGTAGGCCACCTAGTCTGGTACTGTAAACTTCAAGTCACCTGTGTAGTTCTCCAGACTGCCGAGATAAAAGCTAACTACTAGGGGCTTAGATCAGAACTGTAATTTGCCAGAGGCAGTACTAGTAGTAGTTCGTTTCCAACTTGGTTTGGGCACATAATATGCAAACATAGCAAACACAGCGGAACACACAGCTGGCCAGAACTTCGACTTGCACCGCGCCTTGTGCCAAATCAAGACACCCCTGGAGAGAATCCCAGCTTGAGCTCCTGGCTCTCCAATCCTTTCCACAATGCGTTTCACAGCTCTGGTCATAGGCCTCCTTGCCACTATCGTGTCGACAGTGACAGCAACCGCCCTCACCTACAAACTCGAAGCCAACGAGAAAGCTTGTTTCTACAACTATGTTGACCAGAGGAACGCGAAGGTCGCCTTCTACTTCGCTGTGAGTGCCTCTCCGTCATGCTGGTATTAACCCTGAGGTGGGCAGCATGGATATTAATCCTCTATGCCTCTCTAGGTCCAATCTGGCGGCTCTTTCGATGTGGATTACCAGGTGGTCGGTCCCGGTGAGAAGGTGGTCTTAGATGGAACCAAAGAAAGACAGGGCGACTTCGTTTTCACGGCACAGAGCATCGGAGAATACAGATTCTGCTTCAACAATGAGATGTCAACCTTCGCCGAGAAGCTGGTGGATTTTGAGATTGCGGTATGCTGGGGTTCTAGATTGCATCATTGCTTTTTCTTTTCTACGTCATTGGAACAATATTGACTGGTTCTTCAACCAGGTCGAAAACGAAGAACGCGCGCAACTCCCTTCCCGACAGGGTGCCAGCCCCGAGCAGGCCTCCGCTCTCGAGGAGTCCGTCTACAAACTTTCCGCCCAGCTTTCGACCATTTCTCGGAACCAAAAATACTTCCGGACCCGTGAGAACCGTAACTTCAGCACTGTTCGTAGCACTGAACGTCGGATCTTCAACTTTAGCGTGATTGAGGGCTTGATGATGGTATCGATGGCTGGATTACAGGTCTTTGTTGTTCGGTTCTTCTTCCAGGGTGCTAGGAAGGGTACGTATTAGGGTGCTGCTCAGTGGCTTTGCTCCCCGGCCCCACATCCATGTTCCCTCAATTCAGGTTGATTATTCAATGCTAACGGGCAAACAGGTTATGTGTGATGAGCATGAAATGTGTCTTATGTTCTTTGATTGTGGCGTCACCTATTGTATCTACATCTGATTATAGGGTCTAGAATCTTTGCATATCTGTATACCTTGTTTCATTTGCCGTTGAAAATGGTGGATTCAAATACCAATGTAGACTCTGATGATAGTTATTTTGTGTCGATTGATGAACATATTGGCTTACTAGACGCTTGTAGTCGCGGTGAAGATAGCCCAGCCTGGTGGCCGGTTACTCATAACACGGTGTGGGGGACTTAATTGCTCTTGATGGACCAACTTTTGAATTCATGGTCCACGCTACAGAGAGTGGTCAATGTTATTCTGCTTGAGGTCTTGGTCTGGTGTTTTCATGGAGTAGGTGGTTTGTACGTCATCTTCTGAAATATAACTTGCATATCTAGACGCAAAAGTACCTCTCGGTAGTTACGCAAATGACGCTTTTGAATTGATTACATTTCTATGCTTTACAGGCCAGCGGAAAACAAGGACGTAGGTATGACAAGGGGAGAGTAAATACTCCGACGAAATAATCGTACCGACATCACAGTAAATATATGATGCTTGTTTCCATTTTGAGATCAATCACGATTGTCATGATTATCCTCCAGTGTGCATGAAGTCAATCCCTTCCTCCTTGGCACACGAGAGCCAACACTCAGAAAATCGTAACGCGCCGAGGGGAGGGTCACATAAGCGAATGGAGCCCTAGTCTGTGTACATCATCCACCAGATGTTTAGTAATATTCCGCAGGTTATCAATTAAGGACTAAGCGTAACCCTAAGGGTGTGTGGACAGCGCCATAAATGTGAAGGAAGAACCAACCCCAGCCTCTGTATGACGTTAGAATGCAGGTCGCATAATGACAGCTGTTGGACGTCCAGAAAGCGTATGTCTTCTGAAGCCTCGCATTTTTGTTCATAGATAGATCCACCGGGTGGCAACATGTATGCTGATCGGGGAGCTTAGTCCGTCACCATTGGTTGGCGTGTAGGGGAAGGGCTAGTGTCTGATGCATTCGGGATGATAGACGATGTTATGAAAGACCGAAGTATGCTTAGAGTTCACAAGCCCTGCACTAAGCACTGTGTCTTCTCGCGAATGTGTCAGTCGAATTACTTAGGTACTTTTCCGACAGACACACCCCGTATGCAGCCTCGAAGGGATGCAGTGGAGTATCCCAGATCATCGGAATAGGTTTCCATATGACTTGGCGATGGGTCTGGGAAGGTCTGAGTTCTGAGTGAAGGGGGTTGTGGATCATGATGGAGCTCTCATTGCTTATCCCAATAACAGTAGACCTTTGTCCAGTTGCATACCCATCGTGCATACGGAAGAGCCCGGACGATTGGATGCTGTAGCCCGCAGTATAGTATTCAAGACCAACCAGGTATTGCTTTTTGATTTTTCAAGAACCGTCGACGCCCCTGACGTCACGGGCCCAACCTCAGGCACACGTTGTCCGCCATAACCACTTCCTGCTCCTGGCATTATCACACGAAAACATTCTTCTCTGGTGGAGTCTTTTTCATGGCTAGAACCCACTGGCTCCCTCCTACTGGCCTTTGTCCCCAGAGTCCAGAGACATGCATCATAAGCTCGGGCCTCTTGAGAAAAATCAAATCGTTTCACATACCATCTCGGTGACCACACTGCCAGTTCCGTACTCCGTATACCTACAGGGTTGGGAACCGGTGCCGGGGCTTTTACATAGTAGTGGTAGCTGCTTCCATTTTTTACTTCTCCACTCCTCAGTTCTGAGCAAATGGGTGTCGTCCTTTCATCCCCTGTGCCGATGATTACTTTGATGGGCATGGGAGACGCCTCGAAATTTGCAGACGGCTGATATCACACATGCTATAGTAGGTAATTCTAGACTCGGTCAATGACATGTTCGGAGTGCAAGGTCATCCTGCCGGTGGCAGGATACTTCGTTGTCAAGGTAGCTGTTTCTGTCGTTTTGCGCTGTCGTTATTCATACGGCGCACATAGGTGCACACGGTGTACCTACCTCCTTACGCTACTATTCCGGAGCAGGCAAGAGACTCCCATGGAGGCCGACTGGGCTAACCGTCACTGTCAGCACAGATCTGCAGGGGGCCTTTTAGTAGTATTGAGTTGGATCGACAGAGCCCATTGGGTTTCCCGACCCAGTGATATTTGTTCGGTGACTTCATTTTGCTTTGAGGAGGATGGTGGACGGGCTAACCATCTGGAGCTGCACCGACCCATGAGTTTGTGGAGTACGGTTAATTCCGATCGATTTCTGAAGTGCCAGGCAAGATAACAATTAATCGAATCACCGGAGCGTCGTGAGAGCGGGGGGAAGTTTTACAAGACTTCCAGAGTACTACTGCGTAATGGAGAAGGTCTCTCGAAGAGCTCCTCGGACCAATGACATCATGGCGCAAGTGGAAGTAAAATGGAGAAGTGCCCATGTCGCCGTTGTGGATCAGTGCCATACGCCTGACTGACCAATGTGGCTTCGACTCTGATCTTCTGCTTGTTCGCTTGTGATCTCATGTCGCACTTGCTGTCCATACTCATCCCTATTAATTTGCGCCGGTTGAACGGATTCAAAAGGTTGGTCTTCTATATTGGATCTTCAACCCTTCTTTGTGGCACCTTTGCATCAAGATTATTCACACAACCACACTTCTCTCTATTTGACTTCCAAGCTACCGTCTTTTACTATCATCCTCGTGGTGAAGGTAAGTGGGAGACTGTCGTTTGAACTCTTATCTCGCATGAAAGCCAGCCGTAACGAACGCCTCTTCCGACCCGGATCTGCGATGTCGTTGGTGCCGCCTCCGAGACGACAATATCCCCGCCGTGGATGCTCGCTGCTATCCCACATTGTGATGATGTTGTGAACTAACTGTTCCTTCTGAGCTAGCAATCATGACGACTTCCATGCAGCATCCCGAAACCGTGCAGCCTATGGTTCCCCCCGATGGAGGAGGGACAAGCCCTTCTAGCGACAGTCATCTTCGAATGAATCGCACGGTCAATCCTCATACGTCTGTTGAGGATTATAGCCGCGTTATGCTGGAGTACACACACAACCGGATGGCGTCCTTCGCCGATTTGGACGCCGACAAAGGCTCTCCCGTCAGTCGCAGCAGCAGAAGCAGCGCAGGTAGTGGCGAGAGCGGCGACTCGGCGGGCGATATGCTTCGTCGAGGCCCTGCACCTACCTCTGCAGGTGTCTCCCACCATGACTTCGGCGAGCGAGGTGGACGTAAAGCTACCAGAGATGATGAGAAAAAACGATCCATCTAAAGGGACCACTCCCTGAGGTGCAAGAGGGGGGTGGCTGAACGTGACACTGGTGTCTCGTTACCTTGACAAAAAGGCACTGCGTGCCTTGCTGACGAGTTGACGATATGATATATAAGATTTTGGCGATTTGGGGGAGACTTCGGTGTCTCCCGGCGTTTGATTGTAGCGAAAGCATTTCTGCTTCAAGCGATATATACAGAGCTATGACGTGCTCGAGCCGAGTTTGGTGCCTGTCCTTCCTTTTATGTTCGGCCCAATTTTGATATGTGTACTCCTTTTGGAGCTTACCCTCATCAACTGATAGATATTTGCAACGGCATCAATTGGTTCCACAGTCGGCATGAACAAGCTTCCGTCCAGTGCTATTCGCCTGATGCACTGGCACAAATGTCCACTGAGAACCCATCTTTGTTTTGGTTTCTGACTTCAACGTCGTTCGCTTTTCAGTGCTCGTGATTGTTTGTGGCCTAGAACTCTGCCAGTTTTGCTTGTCTTCTTGGCTATAGCTGTTCAATGTGTCAAGCTACGGACAGCTAGGAATCAACATATTTCCGTCTTTACTTCTCACACCCACATAATCCTCTTCATCCGGCGGTTTCAGCGGTTTCAGCGGTTTCATATCCTGTACATTATGTTTTCCAAAGTTCCTGTACACTACTTGGTTTGGGAATTAAATGACGGCAGGTTTTCCGTTCAATATACTCCAGTCTACTTATCTACTATCAGCCGTAGTAGTGGTAATACAGTCTACGGTAGTTCTTCCACTGCATTCCCTTCTGCCTTTTCCTTCTACTCATCGGAATGGTTAATTGAGATTCACTTTATGCAGGCACAAGCTAGAATACTCATACATGTTTCTAACTTTCCTCGGAAGTTCTATACTCATCAACCCCTTGCATAATCCTACTCCCCGTCTGAATCTGAGTGTTGGTCACAACGCGAATTCCTTGACGTCTACTGCCAACGGTACACGAGCATCAAGCAATACCAACGGGCCATTGCATCTTCATTTAAATTGCTTTACGACGCAGGGTATCATCCGAATGGAAATATCCCAACCGCTATGTTGATAAGCCTTGCATTCCTTTTTAGTCTTCATTTGACCTGCCATTACATTCCATGCAGGTCTGGGCTACCTAATTTGTTTATCAGCAACCTGACACGCGGATGTCAACGTGTCGCGCCTATTATCCCTTGTTCCTAGCCTCAAAATGTATGGGTTACCTTGGCTGCTAATCCCAGCTTGTCGCACATGAACACAGGGATGAGCTTCCCCTTGCCCTCGTTGTTTACCATACTTGATTACCTACCCGTCCACTACTCTTTACGAACCAGACACTCAAATGCAGCATCTCTCGATCCTCCTCAACCACAAAGCTAAGGGCACCCACTAACACCCACTCGATCACAATGAATCCCAAAAGGATACTGCTCCTTTTAACCACAGTAGCCCTCTCGACTGCAGTCCCTTTCTCCCAGCAACAGACCCCAGTCTCAACCCCAACCAAACAATCCGCACACCCAGCGCAGAGCTCCATGTTCGCTGCCTTGGCTTCTGCCTCACCAGAAGCAAACAACGGCACCTGCCCAGACACCCACCGGTCCAAGCAATGCTGTCAAAGCATCGACTCCATCGGAGATGAGATCACCAAGGGATTGGGCCAGCTTGTTCCAGTGTTAAACGGGGCAAAGTTGTCAAGTATCTTGTCGCTTGATTGTATGTACTTCTTCGCTTTCTTTATGCGACCTTCCTTCATCTTCTTTCTATATCTTGCCGCGCAGCTGCTGATATGACGTAATAATAGGTCAAGCAATGTCTGATACAGATCCGAACGAAAATTGTACAAAAGACGTTATGTGTTGTACTGGATCGCCAGAGGACAAGGTATGCCCCTTTTTTTTCCATTTTTGTTTCGAAGAAAAAGAGCAAAAGCTGACAGAGATGAACAGGGAGATAGCCTAGCCAGATCATGTGAACCGTACGATAAAGCAATGAAGGATATGCAGGAAGCTCTGGAGAAGAATAGGCAGCGGCCTCTTGAGCAGGCGATGAGTTGGGCGGCTATGACTAGTTCGATGCTGGCGGCGGCGTCCTCGTCGTCTGTGGCGGCGGCTTCTTCGTCTCCTAGATTGGCTTCAAGCGGGGTGCATGCTGTGCCTACGGGTCATTAGGGAATGTTCCTTGGGTTTATAAGGGGGGTAGTTCAGGGCTTGATTTACGTGAGGTGGATTTCAACTTTCATCTCAATTCTAGTAAATCTGGCGTTGTTCGTATATTGCGGATTAAATTCTTTCTCTCATAGACTATCATCGTGCTAGCTTATTGTACATCCAAAATTACCTCCATCCACGACCAGATGGGTAGCCATGCTGATTCCAGCCTCTCCCGGAGTGAGGCGGAGGGAAGTGATAGGACCCGGGTGGCATTTGCTGTCCCTGCGGTACATGTACTGGGGGGAACTGTTGAGGAAACTGTCCACCTTGTGGTTGGAACGTCGGCGGAAAGTTCGAAGGGCCGTAGTTTGGCAAAGGTGGAGGCGGTGGAGGCCACGGGCCCTGATAATTGGGCGGAGGCGGAGGGGCTCCTGGCATCCCTTGGGGGAATGCGGGTGGGCCTTGTTGAAAATGCATCGGCGGCGGTTGCGGAGGAAAGCCTGGGGGCGCAGCATTGTCAAACTGATTATGGTGTTGTGTGGGCATGGGCCGCGGTGGTGATGGTGGGCGAGGAGAATAGGATTTCTCCCGTGAACGCGAGCGCCGGGGGCCACTTCGTGATCGAGATACAGAGCGTGACCGAGAATCGTACCGGCCAAACCTGCGAGGTGGAGTACGGCTTCGTGACCTCGATCTGCTCCGTCCGCTGTCGTCGCTATAGCTATCACTGTATCGCCTTCTCTTGCGAGGGCTTAGGCTGCGACTTCGAGAGCTGGATTTCGCATTCCTCCTCTTCATTTGCTGGCAAAACCCTCGAGACCACCCGTAGTATGTGTCGCCGCTGAGAATGTCGCCTGCAATCTTGTCACGTATGACTGTCTGGCCTAGCTCGTCTATATCGACTACTTCATCTTCCTTGGGCTCTGGTCTATCGATTCCGTATATTTGATCAACGTCTTTCAGGAACGCTTTCAAAGCGATCGCCAGCTTTTCATCCGCTGGTCCAGCCAGGAATTGCAGTGGTTTGATCGAATCAGGACGAAGGGGAACAGTTGAGTTAGGGATGATGTGAGGGACAAGGTTGCCTGCGGGAAGGTCATAGTAAGGAGTAGACGGGTCCCCATGAGTAGATGGCATGATGAATGGTACATCCTTGCTCGGAAGCCGGTGGGCGGAGTCCATGTTGCTCTCTTCGACATCAATCGAGGTCTTGACAGGACCCGACAACGCTGAGTTCTTGACCACCTCCCGCAACTTGTTGACATAGTCACTGCCGTAGTAGCCATGCTGCACCCATATATTCAACAGTGTGTCTAGTCGTCCGTGGTGCTTCGGGTGCTTCTCTCGGTCGTAGGAAGCAGCGTAGCCCAGTAACTCCACAATGTACGGCTGCAATGAGCCAGTCAAGGTGGAAAAGGCGGCAGTCGAGTCCAGATGATACTTGGTATGATGAAACAGGTCATTCAGCAGGTAGAGTATGTGTAACCTTTTCCTCTTTGCAGAAATGGGCCGGATTTGCTGTGGCTTGGCTTGCGGTTGCTGCCCGTCTTCGCTGAACGAACCAGACAGCGCGACCAGGTATTTGGCCCAAACATTCACCCGATTTGACGAGGAGACAACGTACTCGAGAAGCCAATCTTTGCAGGTCTAACGGCCGCGCCGAGTCACAGATTTAGTATTGCAGTGTATATCGGTGCTAAGGACTCGCAATCAAACCTGGATGTTTGCTGGGGAGCAATGCGATAGCGCCCTGTCCAGTGATGTATGGAACGTTGTAATCTCGTCGCGCGGGACGGACGTGGGGTCTGGGCGTAAAAGCCCCGCGGAAAATGAGGCCTTCGCAATGGCAAGTTGGTGAGAGGCCATTGCAGGCAGCAGTATCTCTTTGAGGGTGTTGTTGGGTTCTTGATGTTAAGTTGGCTACGGAGTTGATTGCGGTTTGGGTTCCGCTTATCACACGTGATCACTTCTATTTCCGTACTATTCCCTTTCCAACTCCAACACATTAATGATCACAGGAGCTACATATATAGTTCCTGCGCCTACTTTTTTTCTTCTCGAGATGTCTTTGCCATATTTGCAGAGCCTTATATGAAGCGTACATCTTGAGACGAATCTCCCTTCAGCAAGCCGCAGGGCAGAGTTGACATTGACACGGTCCAGCATGAGAGGAGGTCTCCGCTTTAATCTGCGCGCCAAAGAGAAGAGTTCAGTATATCCTAATGACAAAACCAAACGGTCGGCAGCCTAGACTAAGTCCAACTGTACGCAGCTGCGAAATATCGAAATGTACTGAGTTGCAGGGACTCAGTACTTTCAGCAAAGTGTCCAAAGTAACGTACATAGGGAGATCTGCGTGAATATTGCGCTTGTGACCATACAATATCAGTAGGGTAAAACAAGCCAACTGCGGTAATGTCGATTATGAAATCAATCCGAGTGAGGACGGCTGATTTACAACTCCTCCTTCAGAATCATTTACTCTACGTGGTCTTGGAAGTGGATACTCTTTGCAACCTTTAGCTTCGCCATCTGGCTCCCTCCTTAAGCGGGGATTTATATATGGCGGATCAGAAAGAAATACTAAAAAGGGAATGTGACCAGAGGACGATCACCTATGTTTTGGTCCATAGCGGGTCCAATAATGTGGCATTAATTTCAGCGAAACTCGCAGGGCTACGTTAAATGTGCTCACAGCAAACCATCATTGGCACTGTGTCACTCGAACTGGATAGGGGAGTTTCCCGTTGTTATATCTACATGACCACGCTGGGAGGCACCAGCATATTCAGGTCTCCGATTCTCCTCCCGCTAAAATCCTGTGCTAATATTTCTTACGTACAGAGACATTGAATCGATTGAAGGTAACCCTAGGCCGAAACGTGTGAAGATCAAGTATAGCCCTCTATTTCCCTTTTCCCCTTTGAGGCTCCAACGGCTGGCTTCAGCTCTAATCCGAAATGAGCGGATTATATTGGGGTGCATGAGCCGATGAATATGGCTGTGCCAAAGACTTCATCCAGAAGGACCTAGATAAGTGATAGGACAGGAGATACTCGTCGCGCAGTCTAATGGCCCTATTGAACTAGTAACGTCTCACTAATAACGGGGAAAGCTTGGCACTTTAATCACTCCGCTGGACCCTGGCTATTGGGATTACCCTTTTTGTTAAAGCTCGAATCCTACAATGCATAAATGTCTCGCATGTACGCTTCTTGGCATACTCCTGCCCGTCCTGATTTAATTATAACAAAAATCCTTCTTTGCAGCGGAAACAAATTGAAGAGGCGATGGTACTCTGACCAATCTGTTGATCGATTTGGCTGCTCAAACAGGCACGTACTCACATATACTAGTATTATTGGCTGTGCCTCCAACACAATGAACGCTACGAATTACTACTGCGTAGAGAGCTCGAAATGAGGCCGATCTCATCGGAGACTTCTCTCAAAAAAAGGCAAGAACGCACTGGGATCGACAGGAACACTACTCTTTTGGCCACTTTAGCGTTGCCGCTCAGTCTCTGAACCATGTATGTAGTATGAACGGCCGAAGCGTCCGTTGTCCTGAATCAAAAACATGCCAAGGACAAGTCCACCACGCTATCGGAGAGTACCACTGAACAATCATTACACCATGTGAACTACAGATAGGGGATTTGAGAGCAGAGCTGCATGGCAGGAGAGGACTTCTGTTCTGGGAAACTAGACGACGATTGGCTCCTCTTATAGCTGCGGACGCCTCTCGGACATCATGCCCAACACGCAAAGATTCATCTTCACAGCTGATCCCAGCTATACTGATGGTCTTCCTGGTCGCTTGAGTGTTGTAGCCATAACCGCCGCTGCGACGCTGATTTCAGGTCGCCAAGATGGCCAACTTTATTCATTTTTGGCTCTCTTTTAGCCTTTTGATCACCCTATCGCTTCAGCAAAACGCTCCCCTGGTATTCCGCGATTCCGAATCGCCCGAAATAGCTGGGAAACGGCTCCTAGTGAGAGGTGCACGATTTCACAATGAGTCGCACCATTCTCATCTGGAACCTCAAAGGAAGGATTCCTTCTATTGGACTGGTGTGTCTACTTGTTCAACGACCAAAATTAAATAACTCAGGGGGTCTCTCAACTTCTAACTTCTAACAATAGCTTCCCAAGAAGGACGGCCGCTTTCGCCGAGTTTGCCGTTGAGACCGATGATGACACAAGCGTGGTATCAATGGAGCGATTCAGGTATTTACTAAAGTCAATCCATTGTACCAATACTAGTTTAGCTGTCAATTTCAAAAACCAAAAGTCGTTCGAATACACCAAGCGTGCATGGAAATGGGTCAATGAGATTGAACGAAACACCCTTATTGTGGTCGCCGGCACTGGCCAGTGTGGATGGAATACACATAGAGTGCCATTTGCTGTTTCGAAAATTGAGTTTGATGACCACACCAAGACTGCAAAGTTGCAGGCTCGACGATCAGAATGGAAAGATGTTTTCCACTCCTTTGAGCTTTCTGTGGGTAGAGTGGCCAACAAAGTAGCCCACGATACATGTGAGGCGCCGCAGCACACAAAAAGAAAAGAGCACGAGAAAACCTTGTCCATGAGTTTTGATCATCCGTGGAATCTTCCTAAGAAGGACTTTTCTACTCCCGAAGATTCCTTCTCTTTAATACTGTCGTGCGATCAGTGTGGCACAAAAGGAAGCTTCGAACTTGGTTTCTACCTCAGGAACGAGAAACATATACCCAAGGCCGCAACGTTCACGCTTACACCTCACGGCGTGTCTGCAAGAATAGGGCCCAAATTGACATTAAGTGGAGACTTCACCGAAGAGTACTCTCAGCAGTTCGACCTTGCGAAGATACCAATATACGGGTATTCAATCCCTGGTGTCTTAGATCTAGGCCCGGAAATTGTCTTTAGCCTTGGCTTCAGCGTTGGTCCGGTCTCTGGTTCTGCGTCTGTTTCCTCGGGGATAAACATCAGCCTTCTGGACTCTGCAGAGCTCAAAATTGACCTTCTCTCACCTCATGTAGTGCACTCAGGGTGGACTCCCCAGGTTCGTACAGAACCGGTAAAGGTAGATGCTCAAATCGAAGCCGGCGTTAATATTCATGCCAAAGCTGCAATCCAACTAGCCGCAGAGGCTCTTGGTATGTATAACTGATATCATTCACAAAGATAGATACTCACCTGGATAGGCCATGGATTTGCCGCAGGAGTCAACTTAAAGCCTGTCCTGGGGGCCACATTATCTCTCTCTGAGTGTGAGTCATCGCCATGTATAATTATCTTTATTTCTGGCTGACGGATATAGCAACCGCTGGAGTCTGTGCGAATGATGAAAAACATCATCTTTTCGGTGTCAGTGTGGCTCCCTCGGCCGGAGTTAGTCTTAACGCGGAGATAACGAGAGCCAGTGACAAGGGGAACCCTTTGGCAAAGCTCACAATTGCTGTAAGTTGTATACATGTACGATGCATTGATAAGATTGCTAACAACAAGGAGGATCTTAAAGAGGCCATACCAAAGGCGTGTGTTGGCTTCGGTCCAGTTGTTGCAAATAGCAGCCTACCAGCCAAACGAGATTCAAGTGGGAAGGCGAGCAGCCAAGCCGATGCTGATTCCTTATCTACTGCCTCTTCCCCCCATGTTCATCACAGACATCACAGGAGACATCATCACGGTAGAAGGCATTAGATGCTAGCTTCGCATTGTGCCAGTTGTATCCATGGAGACCAGATTCTTCTTCTCCTTTTCTTTTCATGCGTTCTTGTATCTCGACTCTCGCTTTAACCCTATTTTCTTTTCGTGTACATATACCTTTTATGGAATTAGTATCACCACAAAGATCTAAAAGAATCTCCTTTCAAGCCACCGTGTCTATTGCGGAATGGCCCTAGTACTACTAGTAGTAGCGACACCAGCTGCCGTCGATCGTCTCAGGCAATCAGGCCGTTAACCTTCCTGTTTGGGGCGGTGGAGCGTCCTGGCGCTGGGGCTTAATTCCGTAGTGGTCTGATCGGATCTCGTGCAGTCGTGGGTGGAGCATCATTTCTCCAGATCCATACTACTATAGTACTATGTAACAGCTCCCAATATGGAGTATCATGGACATCATTCTGAGCGAGCAGTATGATAGTGTCTGCTTTCTTGGGCCCCGGTTCGGGTGTGTGATTTCTCTGGTCCACAGCGTTCTTAAGTAATGTAACTATACTGCGCAGTAGTGCTTATTGAACCTTTCATCACGGGGGTTATATATATATAGCTTTCGCGAAAATTGTACATACTCCAAACTAAGCACTCAGCATCTCCTGAAGTAGGCAATCAGGGCAGTGGTCAAAGCGGTGCCCTACTTTGCAGGATAAGCTTAATCTGAACTAAGCGAGTGGAGCGACGCAATACTATGCCCTACATTTCCCCAGACCTTCGGGGCCCACGATGCAAGGTACTAGTGACGTTTCTTCTGGCTAGATAATAAGAAAGTGATAGTTAAAAGACATCTATGCGTAAGCTTGTTGACGAAATATTATAAGCATTATACTAGAGATGCAACGTAATGTGCACCTAGAGAAACAACTTCTGAACAAGGAAGTTTTTCTCCCAAGGTTGCCCGGCTTGATTACCGCACGTGGAGAGTATGCCTTAAGGCTGCTTAGCATTTGGAATAGATCCACTAGCTTAAGTTTGCACGTAGGTCTCGAATCCAGCGGTTCGTTATCGGTAATGGTTGGTAAGCTCGAGGGTAAAGGAGTTACACCCAGTACTTTCCAGCCTTGTGGGGTCAAGAAGGGACCCTTTGGAAGAGTTGAACGATCTGAACAATTAATCAGCTGGCTGACGAGTCATCCGATGTGTACAGCACGTCAGAACGAGGGCTTGATCTAGCTTCTCAGAATAGGGGTATGGTACGTTGGGCAGGAGATGCTCGCTTGATTGGACCTTAGGAAACAATTTTGAGCATTGTTTTGGCGTTAGTGTTGACTCACTTTGGTGGAGTCATCAGGCAGACAAAAGGACTTCGGCGTCCGTACCCCTGCGGCCTTCGGATGGGCAACTGCCGCCATCAGAGCACTTGATGACGAACCGATCCGATGTCAGGTTTAACCGTTCAACATTTATTTTAAATCGATTAGGCGCTGCAAGTATGGAATGATGATACGGAAACGCAACTACCGCGATCACCGCCCGTGTTCCTGGACTCCATCCGCCCCGCAGTTGGATCGTCTCTCTTCGGCCGGAAAGTCGCGACCATTTTGCCCCTCAATGGCGTGAGTCTGCACACCACGGAATTTACTCACCGTTAGTTGACGTAGCGGTTGTCCAGCCCACTACTAGTAGTCGAAGTCTTTGAGGAAGAAATACTCCGGCCTACTTGCACTGATTTGGTGTGGGGCATGTATCAACTCTTCGAGTGCAGCTGTACTCCGTACTTTGCACAGTATGTACATGTACATACAGTACATACAACCAAGATGAAATTAGGCGTTAAACTACTACTTCCATTAATACTCTGTATTTACTGTAAATTGGCTCTCGGATTGCTCTTCCGACCCCCCGAGGTCATGGGAACGATATAGGGTGGTATGTATGGTATCGTCCGTACCGTTGCCGCGCTCTGTTTCTTTCTTTATCCATGGCATCATTTCTCGAGCACTAACGACGCAGCCAGAAGACCCCGCAGAAGGAATTCCCCACTGGGTCGCAACAAATCGGCCCACTCGGCTCAGGTGCTCGACTCTATAGTAGCTACCTTACTCCGTACTCACTTACAGGTCGTTGGTACTCCGTACATCGATTATTATATCACTCACCCTCCCATATAAGTAGTAGAAGACCCCCTGGTCCTCTCTTGGGTCCTAAATTCAGTTAAATTTTAAACACTTGTGACCATCGTGCCGCTTCTGTTGATTGCTCACTACCATCGAACATATCGGCGCTTGCTACTAGATCTAGAACTTCACAACGTCGTTACATTACAACACACTACTAGTACACTAGCACACTACTACTACTACTACTACTACTACTACTACTACTACTACACTACAAGATGGCTATCGCTGTTCGGTTCGTCCGCCCAACCATCCGCCATTTCTCTGTCCGTCGCCCACAGCCAGACACTCGCACCTCTCGATTTGTCACCACTTCGTGTCTCTTCTCCGCGGTGGTGCTGCCCTTTGTTCCTCCAGCCCTTGAGAGTTCTCGCGCTAAGAATACAGACGGTTCTAATTGCAATAAGTATGTTCTCGACTTGTCCATACTCTAGTACGCAGGGATTCGGTTGCTGATTGGCTGACCTCTTCTTCTCCAGGCCGCACCCGCCGCTCTGTTTTCATGCCCGTTAATATGTCGTCTCGGTTACCACGCCCGAAGGAGGAATCTGTCACCGGTACCTGACATGCATCGGGACATTTCCCGTATTTCCGCCAATCTTTGATGCTACGGCCTTTTATTTTCCTTTATTTCGATATCGCCATCCCGGGTGGACTTGCAAATGGTGGGCGTACGGACGTTGATACTCATTACACATACCACAACATGGATTCTGTGGTGTGAAACGCATATTGTCGGAACGGAGTTTGCTGGCGTCGTGTTCCTCTTTTTATCTATATGACACATTTCTAATTTTGTTCTCTTGCCGAGTCTGCATGATTGTGAGCATCGGGAACCTGCATACTGTCTCGACCAGAGAAAAGATTCATACATGTATTCTCACCGCAGCGATCATGCGAACTCGATCGCAAACGAAGAATCCGTGCTTCCCTCTGGTAGGGCAGGTGGGGTGACGGTGTTGCTGCAGGTGCAGAAATGAACCATGACAGTTTTGAGTTCCTTACACAAGGTGCCATTTTGTCGAGTCTAATTCACTGGATGAATACTCAAATGAAAACAACATTTTGATTCCCTAACACAGCCTGTAAAATATATACCACGAATCCCCGCAAACTTCGCGAGATTTAAGAAGTCGGCTAGCTCGCAAAGCATATAATCGCATGATATCATACAAAGCCATAGCACACTCAGCACGCTCTCAACATGCGCATATGACGTTTTGCCACCTCTATTGTTTGGGGGAAAATTAACTCCTCCACATGCCCTCACACGTAGGAGTGAACGCGCTCAGCTGAATCGATTGCCTCGGGGAGGTCGGAACGGTTGAGCAGCCTCGTATTTTCCTTTCTCTAGCACTCGGTCTGCTTCGGATTCGGGTTCGTGACGAGTTGGAGCGGGATCATGACTGGCCTCCGTGCTTGGTGAGGCTACATCGTCCGCTGCGCTCTGGAACTGCGCCATATTGGCCCGTTTCAAGCTAGGGGATTCGGACGGGGTTGGGACCCTCTCGTTGAAAGTCGACTGGCGTCGGTGTTCGGCTTCCATCTGTGCGAGCTTCGCTTTGCGCTTGCTCTCTGCTTCATATCGAGCAGCTCGGTCCGCATTGATCGATTTCTTAGCGAAATAATAGGCTCCGCCGCCAGCTGTTTATCGAGGTCAGTCGTGGAGCACTCGAGTGCAAGTACTTGCCGTGGGACATGGGGCGCTTGAGAGTCCCTTACCGACGCAAAGAGTACCCCAGCCTACCCTGTTGACGCGTGCCGCCAGCATGTCAGTAATCTAGGTTCCATGTCGCCCAGGAATATGAAGCTTTGCAGGTTGTCTCCCGCTCACCAGGTAGATCGGATCTATAGATTCCCACAAAACACTGTCAGCAAGGCTTCACATCTCGTCTATTTGCAGTCCTCATATACGTACCGTATTCATTTTTTTCTGTTTGAAAAAAAAGGTGCGGATACCAAGATTGAGCAAAACAGTCCTCAATTGAAGGAAAAATGAAGCCGGAGTAGAAACTACGTCAACATTCGGCCGAAGGTCGGAAGGCTGTTTCGCTCAACTCGTTGCTGTGCCACCGACGAACTGGCCTCTTCCGCCTCTTTCGCCACACCTTGATGCCTCAGGCCTTAACAACGTCGGAGGAAAGTCATCGATCTCATCGGATTACATCTGATTTATCTCCTTCACCCTTCTCTTTCTCTGCAGCCCCTTCAACCCGCTTATCGCTTCCGGCTTCCTTCAAGTTTACACCAGTTGGACGGTACTGCTCGTATCTTAAAAAAAAGGAACATTTAGATTTGCTTGGAGCCCTGCTGAGGCGCTGGTAGCCTCGGAGTATGCACACTCGTTTTGGCATAACATCAACACAATAGACAATAGACATCGGTTTCAGGAGATTATAACACCATACAACAATATGCCTGTTAAGCGCAAGGCAACCGACAGTACGATTCCCACCCAGGGATCAGGTAGACGACAGGGCTGACCTTCGTTAGGCGGTCGGTCGAGTAGAGCTTCGAAGCGTGCGACCCCGGTGCCTGACATTCAGGATGTCGGTAGTAGCGATGAATTTTCCGAATATGACCCAAAGGAAGATAGCCTGAAAGGTATTACAAGTGGGCCTCTTTAAAAGTAACCACCCAGGTGCTGACTTTCTTCAAGAGGTCGTCGACAAGTTCTCCCTCGAATCGTTCAGTAACAAGAAGAGCTCCGCCGTACAAAAGCAGGACCCGAATTTCGGCTACAAAGACTTTTCGTCGCTCCCTCTAAAGCCGGATCACGCGAACCGTCCTCTATGGATCGACCCCTTGAAAGGAACCATTACGTTGGAGAGTTTCTCGCCCTTGGCTCCTCAAGCGCAGGATTTCCTGACCACCATCGCCGAACCGCTGTCACGTCCGACCCATCTGCACGAATACAGGTTGACGGGAAACAGTTTGTATGCGGCTGTCTCGGTTGGTCTCCAGCCTCAGGATATCATCAACTTCCTTGACCGGTTGTCGAAGACGCCCCTCCCGGATACAATTAAATCCTTCATTATCGATTTTACGAAGCCTACGGAAAGATCAAGGTCGTGCTGAAACATAATCGCTTCTTTGTGGAAAGTACCGACCCAGCCATGTTGCAGATGCTCCTGCAAGATGAAGTCATCGGAGCTCAGAGGGTCCAGGGCGGGTCGGCCGGTATCATTCAGCAAGCAGCTCCAAAAATGGGTGGACTTGTTATTCCTGGCACCAAGGATGCAGCAGGAGTGAAGCAGAGTACGGATCAGCAACAGCCATCAGAGGAAAACCAAGGAGAGAAGCGCCAGGAGGATGATCTACTTTTGGCCATTCGCGATGAAGATGACGATGAAGAGCAGGCTCAGGTTCACAGCTTTGAAATCCCGAATGAAGCTGTCGAACCTGTTAAGGCTCGCTGCCAGGCGATGGGCTGCCCGGCATTAGAGGAATATGACTTCCGGAACGATGAAATCAATCCTACGTTGGAAATCGACTTGAAGCCACAAGCTCGAATCCGAAGTTACCAGGAGAAGAGTTTAAGTAAGATGTTCGGTAACGGACGTGCTAAAAGTGGTATCATTGTCCTTCCTTGTGGTGCCGGAAAGACTCTAGTTGGCATTACGGCTGCTTGCACTATCAAGAAGGGTACGATTATTCTTTGTACCAGCTCCATGTCTGTGGTTCAATGGAGAAACGAGTTCTTACGGTGGTCGAATATTGACCCGGGCGATATCGCCGTTTTCACCTCAGATAACAAGGAAAAGTTTCGCAGATCGACTGGTATCATTGTTTCGACATATTCAATGGTTTCCCAAACAAGAGCCCGGTCTCACGATGCACAGAAAATGATGGACTGGATTCAATCGCGTGAATGGGGTCTAATGATTCTTGATGAGGTACACGTGGTGCCTGCATCTATGTTCCGTAAAGTTACATCGGCTATCGCGACCCAAAGCAAGCTCGGATTGACTGCGACCCTCCTGCGTGAAGATGACAAAATCAAGGATTTGAACTTCTTGATTGGCCCAAAGTTATACGAAGCTAACTGGATGGAACTTGCGGAGCAAGGGCATATTGCCAAAGTCCAATGCGCTGAGGTGTGGTGTCCTATGACTACAGAGTTTTATTCCGAGTATATGAGAGAGAAGTCGAGAAAGGCAGCCTTGCTCTACATCATGAATCCCCGGAAGTTTCAGGCTTGCCAATTTCTCATCGACTACCACGAAAAGCGCGGAGACAAGGTTATTGTGTTCTCTGATAATGTCTATGCGCTTGAGCGTTATGCCCTTAAGTTGAACAAGGCCTACATTTATGGTGGCACTCCCCAAAATGAGCGTATGCGGATTCTGGAGAACTTCCAGCACAACGAGCAAGTCAACACTATTTTTCTATCGAAGATCGGAGACACATCCTTGGATTTACCTGAGGCAACCTGTCTGATTCAGATATCATCACATTATGGTTCCCGTCGTCAAGAAGCCCAACGGCTGGGCCGAATTCTGCGGGCTAAGCGTCGTAATGACGAGGGCTTCAATGCATTCTTCTACTCTCTCGTCTCAAAGGATACGGACGAGATGTTCTATTCGTCTAAAAGACAAGCTTTCCTTGTCGACCAAGGCTACGCGTTCAAAGTTATCACCCATCTTCAAGGTATTGAAAATCTGGATGGGCTGGCTTATGCAACCCCCGGTGAGCGGCGTGAGCTTTTACAGGAGGTCATGCTGCAAAATGAAACGTCTGCGGAGGTTGAAGCCGTCACTGATGACTTGTTCTCTGAACGTTCTGGTGGTCCGAGGGCTAAGAAGGGAGCTGTCAAACGCAGTGCCGCCACTCTTAGCGGCTTGGCAGGCGGAGAGGACATGGCATATATCGAGTACAACAAGAGCAGGAACAAGCAGCTGAAGGACAAAGTGGGACACCACCCATTGTTCCGCAAGATAGAGCGGGAGCGCCAGAAGCGGAAGAAGGAAATGGAGGAGTTTGGCATGCATTGATTGAGATGCTAACACAATTCAGATGGAAAACTGTTTCGTTCATCAGATTGGTACTTTTTCTCCTGGTAAAAGGGTTGCACTGGCCATATATCTGTTTGGAAAAGCAATTTGCATCAAACCACAAAGTATACATAATAAACTTACTATCATTTGACAATTCTCTCCCAGATCCATGTATATATATTCTTACAAGTTGTACTCCGCTAGACAGTTGGCATCGAACGATATCCGATTCACAAGGCCCCCGCCAGAGACCGGCCCAACAAGACTAATTTTGTCCGCCCGTCGCACTTATGAGCGAATATACTAGTATACAGCCTGGGAGCCCTATTCAAAATGGAACAAACAAAAAAAAACACTACTTCGGAGGCTACCGAGACGTTTGCGCCTGTCTTCCACTCTCTCCTTCTTCAACTCATTGGTATCGTATATACCCCGCACAACAACCGACAATAGCGACGATTCCCTTGCACGCAGCCTGGTTTCCATAGCCGTTAGTTCGCCCTAGCTAGAAAATGTTTCAAGGTAGGTAGCAAATCGACAAGGTTACAGCGGGACAATGGTGCCGACAGTGGGACTGGAAGTAGGAACCAAAGCGACACTGGAACTAGCAGCGCTGGCACTCGGGCTAACACTAGCTTCAACGCTGTTCTTGCCGTGGGGTCTGTTGAAGATGTTCAGAATGCCTCCCATCCAGTCGGGGTTGATGGCAGCTGGGGCTGGGGCAGCGAGGGCGCTGGTTGCGAAGATAGCGACTGCGAGGGTGAAGAAGCGCATTATTGCAGTATATTGAGGCTGAATGAGTGGATATCGTTAACAGTTGTGAGTGAGTGTAGGATTTTAGTAAGAAATATCGGAAAGAGAGAATGACTGGATAGCTTGTTGTCTATCTTCTTGCGGTAGACCTTGAGTCCTTATATGTTCTATCCTGGCATATCATGGGAAGTAGTGTGTTAATCAATACCGAAGTAAGGTAAGCAAAAGCGCTTGCTAGCCTCCTGGGTCTATAACCGGTAATCACGATAGTAGATCCTAGTTATAGTCTATGCGTACTCAACATGCATCTGCATCTTAGTCTTTCCCAGGTAGAATGCTCTCGTCATACTACATGTGTTGTCCTTACTTCTCAGGAGAAATAGCAGAAGTATTAAGAACCCGTCAAAGCGAGCTGCTCGATCGAAAGCATATAAACCGGGCCCTTGGACCCACAGATCGTCCATAAATGAAGCCTCCGACGTTTTAGACAGCCTCTCCAATACTTAGAAAAGAAGTCAAGCCAAGACTTGTTGACGAAAGCTAGCCCTGCCGGCAAGATACCACTTGCTTCGCCGCCATCTTTATTATCTACCTGATACACTAGGCCGCAATAGTTTCTCACGGTCCATCCTTGAAGTTTCAGTCGGAATCTCCCGAGGTTATCCAAGAAATACACCGGTTCGAGGGCCGGTATGACCTCTTATCGGAAGGTTTGGGGGTAAACCTCGGTGGAATTGTGTACTGTTAGGTAGCTGGGTCGTGATCTTCATATTTGGGCCGTTGAAATGGATCAAGGGTCCCACATTCTATCTCGGGGCATATCCAGGCTTTTTTTTACCCCTGGTCTAGTGCTCCTGACTATTTAGCCTAATTAAGGTGGGCTCGTCCATGATTGACTCGAGTATGGTTATCGAGCTGAAGACTTCAGGCTTAGTTTGTCTTGAAAACGAGGCAGTGTACCGGTTCTGGGACACGGCGATAGATACCGCGATCGACATTGTTTTGTGCACCTTTTCCTGAAGGGTGAAATCTGTGACTGAGCGGTCGTATCACTTGTCCATCATGATTATCTGAGGCAAAGTACCCATCTTCCAAAGAAAACAGCCGTGATGAAGGCGTCATGTTGTGAAGGGTTCCTTGCGTGATTCTGACAGCTTCAAGCCCACAGAGAGAGCGCCTCTCTTCTTGGAGTCAATGGTCAACCGGGATAAGCATCTTCCCGAGTCGACAGTCCAAGACAGGTGACAGGTCTGACACCATGTGTAAGCAGCCCGATCGAAATGCGATCCAGACTCCATGCCAATTCACCCATGAACTCCAGATTCTTCCGTTCAATTAGAGTAGCCAGACCTACAACTAAAATACGAGAGATTGGTCAACTCCGTTTGTATGATTGGCGCCAGGGCTTCATATGACGTCGCTCGGGCGTCGCGAAGCCCCGAAGCGCCGACCTTGATCTGTACACACTAGTGACGGCTCTCCCCGCATATTACATCGATCTATACGCGATGGAGATAAATAAGCTAGCGATAGACAGGTCTTCCTGCTCATCCACCCTCCCCAGCTTTTATGAATCGGAAGACTGTCCACATTACATTGGCAGACTATTGTCGCCAACTCACTGGTATAACACAACGACCGTCGCTATTGCCGAGGAGGCTTCACACCATTCGTCCTCAATGTTTGAGTTCTCAACGCTTTAGTTACTATACTCCGGCGGCTGTTCAACATTTCCGGCGGGTCTCGTTCTCGTCACCATTCAACACAATCGCGGTTGAATCTAACTATCGAGCAGCAGGGATTCGCCTGGCCTCTTCCGAAACCACATCCCGTGTCAATGCTCTGGGAAGCCCAATGGCCACGGCACGAAAAATCGAGCTGTCCACCTCTGACTCCGGGGTCTACTCCACCGGGGTCAGAGAGGACGCTGCTCGAGCTGCTAGCCAAGTCTTACAGGAGAATCTAGAGAAGCACCACATGTACTTCAACGATTCCGGGTTTCATAGTAAGTTCGGTTTAATACCTCGTATTTGTCGCTAGAGGAAACACATCTAATGCTAATGTGGCAGACCATATCGTCCACCATATCCTAACCATCTTTGCCCTTGGGGCTTCCCCGGACGAGATCATGGCTGCGTATGAGCGAAATAAGGCTTACCAGCGGCCTGCTTTACCGGCCAATGAGAGCGTGGTTCAGTCCTTGTATGACCAGGCTCGGTTCAAAGATTGTCTTGGGAAACGAGATAATTACCCCAATTTCTTGGAATTTTTCCAGCGTGAGATTGAAAAAAAGGGCGTTGAAAACGTGATTAACCAATACATTTTCGCCGGAGATGATATCGCGGAAGATATGCTTGTGAGATTGTTTGGAGGTGAGTACATGCATGTATCAGTCCAGTTGGCAATATTCCGTATGTGTAGACTGACTTTTGTTGGAATGCTCAAGGTCTCATTCATCCACTCATCCACTTGGGGTTCGGGATTGAGTTCAATCAGCCTGCCATCGTAGCAGAGGCCCTTGCTCAAGCTGCTACTCATGAGGACTGGACTGGCCCAATGTTCCTCCTACCCGCTGAAAAAGCAGCAGGGGGTATTGGCAAACCCGGAAAGAAAGCATTGCTGCAGATTCTAGAGGAAATACGCAGCGACGAGAAATTGGCCAATTCCGCACATTGGGACGATGGGAATAGGATGAAGGACGGCGTCCTTGTACGGGCACCAGATGAAATGATCAAACATGCTGCAGAATTCACCATCTCCGAGGATCAAATGGAAGAAAAGCTTGTTGAAATAGTCAACACGGTTGGTAAGTACCCACTGAGCTAGGGTCTGCATTATGGGGTACTGACTGTAACGACATTTCAGCCTACTTCACAGCTACTGCTCAACGACCATCCAAGCAGGTTAAGTTTGACTTCTTCTATATACATGGCATGAATGCGTCGATATTCCTCGTCAAGTTCATCTCGCTTCCGTGGCTAGATGTGCGCTCCAAGCTACGTCTCCTCGAATGGAAAGGACGATTGAACCTGTTGCTATATGTATCTCGCAATACACCCGAGCTGTACCTCAACGATGTTATTGAGTATCAAGCTTCGAGGACTTGGGCGGATATTTTCGCATATGCCAATGCACACCCAAGGGATGATGGACACATTAGCAAATTGACAAGAGCCGTAGCGATCGGAGAGAGAATCTGCCGTCCTTACGAGGCCCAAGCCAAAAATTTGGGATTGACGATCACCGGCGATATGTGGCTGAAGATCGGGAATATGGGTGAGTTGAACTAAAACCCGTGCCTTGCAACAGTAGCTGATGACGGATATAGTTATGGATTCAACTTCCGACGAACATTCCGTGTGGGTCCGCTCAACCGGATTCGATAAAGCATGGGAGGAATTTGAAGATCGCCCTCGTCTGTGACCGGATGTGGCTCAGTCATTATGCCTGGATATACTTTTGTAATGTAGTCGGGCAGACAATTAATGTATATTCCAATGAGCGAATGTAAATCGATCATATGTACTCCGTAGTAAGGAAAAAAAAAAGCATTTGCCATGTTTGCAGACATCACGTGGTGATTGTGGATTTCATATACTGAGCAGGTGGGGCGATAAATCCCCAACAGCTTCAATCGATCACCACGCTAACGCTTATTTTAGTCTCATACATCCCCCATCATCTTCTTCTTTTTCCATCTCAAATTTCATCCGGATCGACATCCACTTGACCAATTTGACCTGTCTCTTATTCTGATCTGACGTATCCCTTCTCGAGACCCTTCTGCTGGGGAGGAACCAACCATGGCAGGTGACGACAATGCAAACCGCGACAGAGACCCGTCCGCGCAGAGCTCCCAACTATGGCCCGATGACGACAATCCGTTTGTTGCTTTCCGTCGCTTTGCCGACGAACAGATTTCCTCCGTGTTACAGTCAGTAACGGGACTGCCATCGATGGTCACTGCCCCGCCACCCGACCATTGGTCTATTTTCGCAGACGACAGATACTACAAAGACGCGCATCCTCGCCAAAGACAAAGCGGTGACGGCAAAGAAGGAGACCATTATGTGGACTCAGAAACTGGCGCGTCATCCAAGTCGACTGATAATTCACCATCGCGGCCGTGCTGGCCAGGATCAGATGACCCTTGGCAGTCCCATCCTACCAGAAGACAGAGTCCGCCTCACGATCCCTTCGATATCGATTTCTTTTTCGATTCCTTCTTCGACAAGTTCTGGTTTGATGACCGCGTTTCTTCCCGCTTCTTCCATCCGTACAATAGGCCCCTCTTCTCAAGCATGGTAAATGATGAATCTCCGGCTTGGCCTGTGACCTACCTCATGTTCAGTCCTTACTCCCCTCTGCATCTGGAGCGTCAGGCACAATATCGGTCCAGTCGCGAACACGGAGTGTTCTCATCTCTCATGTCTACTCTGAACCTTTCTGCTGAACATGATCCCGCGGAGCCCCAGTGGCGGGAGGCTTTTGAGGATCTTTTGCGACTTGAAAACGGAAAGCCTATGCTCGACAGGGACCCTGCAGACGTCAGCAAGAGGGAATCGGGGAAGGACTGGTTGCAGGGGCTGGTCAAACGTGGTAGTCTTGGGGATCGCTTCAAGTACATCTCTGGAACAGAAGGCCGGCCATGGTCGACTATCACGTTCGATAACTCGAAGAACATGGAAGACAGCCACAGTCTGGCCGAAAAGGAAGCCTTGAGTGATAGTGCAAAGGCAGAAATTAGTTGGGGTGATGCTGAGCCTGACTCAGTAACAGAACTAGATATGTACGACCGTTTCCTTGCGGACATCGAAGCTCGTGAGCGGGAGTTCTTCAACGATGCACACGAAAGTCCTCTCCTACGCCTTCTCTTGGAAGACAGATACAGAGCCGCAGATAACAGAGCATCATTAAAGCAAGCAAACTGGGTTGAAGATACAGAAAGCAGCCTAGGCCGGGTGCCTGGCGAAAACCAGAAGACTGTCTCAAAGACAGACTCTCAATCGGCCACGGATGCATCTCCTGCGGAGACCGACAAGTCAGTGGCCGAGAAAAGTTCATACGTCATATCCACCAAAACTTCAACAGAGCGTATCCGACTACCTGATGGATCGATTCAGACAAAGACAGTAAAGACTCAGCGGTTCGCAGATGGCCGGGAAGAGAGCAATGAATCTGTCGAGGTGGTCAATCCTTCTCAGGTTAGTCGGGAACTTACTAGTCTAGAGGGAGCCCCATCTGATGGGAAACCGAGCGGTTGGTTCTGGAAGGGTGAATAAATTGAGAGATCTTAGCTTTTTGTTGTTTCTTTCCTCTGATCATGCTTTTTTTCACACTACTCTCCTTTACCTACCCGTTTTTCATACCTTTCCTAAGTCTTGTCTGCTTAGCGCTGCGTCTTCCGAATTGGCGTCTTGTGAACTGTTTCTATCCCCTTTCTCAGATTAACTTACTAGCAAACATTACGCTAGTCAAATTCATATATTCAAGTCCTATGCCGTGTACTGGTTACCTGGATATGCTAAGTCATCTCTTCAAGATGCAATATCTGCCAAATCTTACATATCTCAACTGATGTCTCATGGCGTGTATCTCTCTTAGTATATTTCTTAAAACACATATGACCGCATTCATATAACGGGTAGCTAAGCTAGATCCATCTAGTCTGCCTTGACGTTCTTCTTCTGTGCTTTCCCAGCAGTCCATCCTTTTGATTCCCAGTATTTCACGCTGTCTTCCATCTTTTTGTATGCCCAAGTAAAAGAGGGGTCTGGTGGCACATTAGCAAACTCTAGAAACCAACAAGTCGACTGCGGAAGACTACTTACACAAGAACTGCCGCAGGTCATGCCTATTATCATCAGGAGAGTACTGTTCCGCATGATAACTCGGGGTAAGTACGGTCATTTTATGGCGGTTAATGGCATAATTGTAGAAGAAATGACGGGTTTTCTCATATATTTCGCGAGGGCTGTACTCATTACCCCACACATGGAGCAATCTTTCGTACATGGACCAAGGTCCTAGCTTCGCGACCTTACGTAGGTAACCGAAAGTGGACAACTCAGCGTACGTTACACCCATGTCCGCTTCGTCTGACTGGACGTACGTGGATGTTATCGGTTCCAGCTCGGCGGTTGGAGTGGCGTTCAGGAATTCGTGAAGAATAGGCAATTCAAACGAATCTCGAGACCAGGCGATGAATTTCTTCAAGTCGACTTTGCTGATGGAGCCAATTGGGTTCAACTAGTTTTAAATCTTACTGTTAGCATCAAATCTCTCCGTATGAAGGAGAGCGCCAGGAAAGAAAAGGGCTGAGACGTACATCCGCGCTGCTGGCATCGTATTTCGTCAAATAGCCACGCAAACTGTGCATTTCAGTCAGTATTGAACGAATTATAGACACGAGTACTCGGGGCTAGAGGAGTCAAGCTGTATATACCATTCTGCTGACAGTTAGCGAAATCTAGTACGTATAGGAAAAACCACCTACCATCTACATTTGATGATGCTAGAACGAGCAGTCCACCTCCACCTGGCCGCTGTCGGACTGTAGGAAGCAAGGATGCAAACAGGTACGAAAGCACCATTCTTAGGCGGGCTTGAACGTTCTGTAGCGCTTGGTTCTCTGCCCGACTACCTCCATGAACCTTGAACTTAGGCTGGAAGTTGGTAACCATCGTGAACAAATTTGTCAAGGAAGTTACAACTGTATCGAAATTAAAGTCGACATGATAAGAGCCAATGTCGGTTGAGAGCCTCTTTGACCGGTCCCTTGTCTCCTTGCTAGAATTTTGGGTGCCCATATAGCTAGTGTGGAAGATGCGACTGAAACTGGATTAGCATCCTTGATTAGAGGTTTGAAGGTTGGAAAGATCAGTCTTACTTGCACACTTCTTGACTCGTAGTAGGAAGCCAGGTTGAATCCGCTGGTTCAGCGCATAGCCTGCGAACATCTTTGATCACCTGCTCATTTCCTTCTGACACTGCCTTGATGACTTCCCTGCACATCGAGTGTACAATAATGGCAGTAGCACAGCTGTCAATACCACCACTCAGCGGAAGGAAGAACCCAGCGGCACCACTCCTTCGGAGATAATCCCAAAGCCAACAAGCTGGACCGAGTGCGACTTCTTCTTCAGGAGCGTGGTATCGGGGCGCAATAGTCTCAGATGGGGCAAGGCCGGGTTCGGCCTCTTCGTTTTTACGAGAAAGTCTCATGTCGAGGTCAAGACGAACAAATGGTGTCTGTTTGCTGGCTTGCATACCACGACTAGCACTAGAACGATACGTCCGGACCTATCCTAGTTAGAATTTCGCTACAATATCCAGAGTTTATGAAACCAAACCTCTTCTATATCAACGGTAGCTGTAACAACCTCGACATCGTTCAAGGAGAATTGAGAGCCCTGGGCCACGATATTGCCATTGACGACGATCATTGCACAGCCATCGTAATACAGCCTGTCACCATCACAGCCTTGCTGGTTTGCATATAGATAAATGCCTCCGCTCTAAAACGCCGTCAGCCTGCGAGTTAATGCTCTCTTTACAGGCAACTTCACCAGTTTCGTAGCTTGTGTAACCAAGTTGATACGAGTGTCAAGCTTCCTTAACTCGTGATGGCTTCCTGAAGAATTGGAGATGATCTCCACGCCTATCAGAGAGGTCAGCGATCTCTACCAGAACAGGGCTGCATGGTGCAATTATGGCTATACCGGCAAGACCGTAAGGAATATGAGGCCTACATAGAATTAGCACGATAGGCGCAATCGCGTAGTCAGAGTATGTACCCATTAGGAGTGAATAGCTCTTCGCAGGTCTCTAAACCTAGACAAGTATCTCTTGTGCTGATAACTGCATCTCCGAAAGGAACCTTATACTGGCCTGTAATTTTACCAACGATTGATTCAAGATAGTAATCTTCAATCTCTTGAGGGCGCTGCCAGGGGGTAAAATACCGCATCTCTCTATAGTTCCCATCTGATTGAACCACAACCATTAGCGAAGGATAGTTTAGGTTAGACACAAGAATAAGACGAAGTGTCGGGATAATCAAGGCATAGACAAACCATTGGCAAGCCACATCTTCGGGCGAATCAGAATGATCTTGCGGTTGTAAAAGATAACGCTTAAGAAAGATTATTAGCGAGGCCAGTTTACTGACTTGAAAACCACACACCGGCAATTGTATCGCACATTCCTATGCCGAACAGGCATGCCGACGTCCACGACAATGTCTTGACAGTCAGCGTGGTCAACGATACGTGCCAACATTTCCCACGAATGGAGGAACGTATCGCCCTCGAGGAATCCATCAAGAACACCATATCCTAGAAGAGCGTATCAACGCAGCGAACTTCGTTGTGATAGCCAATGCTCATGTTACCGGTGATTTCGAGTTCAGGTCCGACGCGTAGAGTAGCTCCAGCTTTCTTAGCCTGACGGATACTCTCAATAATCCGTTCGCAGTTGCCTTCAAAATCAAGGGCCCATTGATTAAGGGAACTGGTGGGGAAGACAAATCAGCGCGACCTTACAAGTTAGATGGCGCAAGTAACTGCTCGAGTAGTACCTACCATGTTGCAAGAGTGACAAGGTGGCCCATGTTGGATGAACGGGGACAATTTCAATTAGTGGCCGATCTTCGATCTCTAGATCTTGAAACCGGATCTTGTCAACAACTTATTTAAGGAGGGCACACAAGAAACCTGTCATTCGAGCTTTCCCGGCGATAAGAATTGAATTGGAGATGGCCGACAATGACGCCCGTCACGTGTGTGGGGAGCTTCCCCTCGTACCCCGCTGTGGTTTTGGTATTACCGGCACATTCGTAGTAAAGATCTCTGAGATGCATGCGGTGATGGTATCCGGAATACGTCATTTGCCGCGGTGTTGATCCTCGGATAAGTTGAAACAGCTGATTAATCACTCGTTATCAGGGCGTCTACATTTGCGCTTGCGACTTCTACTCTGCCTCCCCCTCTTTTTCTACTTGCTATTGTGTTTCTAGTATATATTTTTCACCCCAATTCGTTCACTGGCCCAAGTCATACATAGATTTCATTATGAGCAGTCACCCCCAGATTCCCACTCCTGCCCATACGCAAGCTGAGTCAATGCTGTCTCGACAGTTTGGGAGAGAAACCGTAAACTACTTCTCCAGTAGAGCCACCCCCCCCCCCCCCCCCCCGGTTGTGATTGAACGGTCTTTTACGATACTGATATCACTAGGCTCGCCTTTAAATCGGCTCTCGTTTCTACGGACCGAGCATGCTTTTCTTTCGGCAGCTATCAGGCATCCTTCCACCCGCTTTGTACTTCTGAAGGATCTTGCACCCCTCACAAAGTCTCCTTCAGAATTACATTATGCTCACTATAATGAAATTCAAAAGCTTGTCCCCGAGACGATTTATGATAAGACAGAAGAGGAGACAATCAAGGAATATGACTCACGAAAGACCACCGCCCAGCTAATCTTCCTTGGACTAGACGAGAGCCGTAAACAGGATGGGCTCGCTTGGAAGATCTATACCGGTGCTCCTTTCTTTGCTCTCGATGTAACCCCTAAGGGGGATGAAGAGCAACAGACCAATTCCAAAGCTGTGATTAGTGCCATGGAGGAAAAGGGATTGAGCTTCTTCCAGTCGAGAGTGGTCATGACCTTTTCGGCTGACGAGGGTAAGCTTTGCTGAGATATAGAGAGCAGACTTTGTTTACTCACCGCATCCCAGCTGCCATTTACGCCCAAGCCCGCGCTCTGATGGATTGGAATATCCGCAATAGCTTCTGTGGCACCTGCGGTAATCCTACGCTCTCTGTAAATTCTGGTACCAAGCGTGCCTGTCCACCTACAGACGTTGCCCGTGTCGCAGAGGGGAAACCGGCCGAACGACCAGCCTGCAACACGCGCACTACCCTTTCTAACCTATCCTTTCCACGTACCGATCCAACAATCATCGTGGCCGTTCTTTCAACCGATGCCAAGCGGGTGCTGCTTGGTCGCTCAAAACGCTACCCACCCAACTGGTATTCAACCCTTGCCGGGTTCATCGAACCAGCAGAGTCAGTTGAGGACGCTGTCCGGAGGGAGGTGTGGGAAGAAGCGGGCGTTACTCTTTCCCGTGTCATTATTCACTCATCCCAACCTTGGCCCTACCCAGCAAATCTCATGATTGGAGCAATCGCACAGGTTAGCGATCCTGCCCATGAAACGATCAATCTAAGCCATGATCCTGAGCTGGAAGATGCGAAATGGTTTGACGTCGAGGAAGTCGAG